CCACCTCCCCCCCCCACTCCACCTCCACTCCACGCCACCTCCACTCCCGCTGCCACCTCCACCCTCCACCCCCGCCTCCACCTCCACCCTCCACTCGCCACTCCACCTTCATTCCCCACTCCCAGTTTCCCAGTTGACACCTAGACCACCTCTCGCCTCCTCAAGCCTCAAGCCTCAAGACCTCAAGACGCCGAGCTCGTCTCGCAGAGACACTGTGACGCTGGCTGTTGCACTTGGAGTTGATCGCCCAAGTTCAGCAGTTGGCCCACGGTGTCTCTGATGGCCCCTTTGCGAGTGTGGCCACACTTGCACTGGGGTAGCCAGTGGCCTCCACTGATTGTAGCCCGTAGTTGTAGCCGTAGACCCACACTCTCCCCCTCCACTCTCCCACGCTCTCCCCCTCCACTCTCCCACGCCCCCTCCCCCTCCACTCTCCCACGCTCCACTCTCCCACGCCCTCGCTCATGGGCCCAACCCTCCAGCCATGTCCTCCCTGGCTGGTGCCGCCTGGCCTGCCAGGCCCAGCCACTCCGACACCTCACTGCCACTGGCCTCTCCGACAACCTCCACCGGCCCGCCTCGACACTGGCCGCCCTGGCCTCTCCGACACTGGCCACTCTGCTACCGGCACTCCGACACGGGCCGCTCTGCCTCGGTCACCGCCACTTTCCTCTGCGACACTGGCCTCTCTGCCACAGGGCGCTCGGGTATTGGCCCGCCACTGGCCTCCTCGACACAGGCCTCTCCGACACTGGCCTGTGGCCACTGCCACCGGCCGCTCTGCTACCGGCCGCTCTGCTGGCCTCCGACACGCCTCTCCGACAACCTCACTGCCTAACCTAGGCAGCTCCGACACTACCCTCTGCCGAGTCTCATCGCCTTCAACACTGCCTTCTCCGACTCTGTCCTCGCCAATGTAGGGCTTTTCGACACCGCCTACACTCACAGGCCCCGGCACTCAGTCGTCCACTGGGCCAATCTGACCGCCTCCACCAGGCCCCGCACACTCTCCCTCCGACGCTGCCCGCCTCACGACAGCATCTTTGCGGGGGTCCTGGCCAATGGAGGCCCCGCAGAGTTGCCTATGCCTTGTTCCTATACTCTAGGAGCGACTCTGGGCCGCCGCGGGTCGACGAGCTCGCTTGGCCTTCTCTCCGTCTACGCCACCTGCACCTTCAGCCGCCTCTCTCCGCATGCCACTCCGCCGGACCACATCCCGGCCCTTCGGCGTCTACCGACGTCATACACTCATCCGAGGCAGGTGTCAACTATCGAGACACCTCCATATCCACCGTTGCCTCGGACGGTGCACCATAGTCTTGATCACAACTGTACGGTAAGTAGCTGTGATGTATTGCCTGCGAGCACGCGAGGGCGGTTAGATCGACTTCTGCGCACGTTACGTAACGGTTTGTGGTGATCGGCGTCACCAGGCCCGTGGTCGATCGCCGAGTTGCCGATGCACACTCCGCGTGGGATGTCCGGGACGGCGTACAACACGTGTGGACGACATGCCAGCCATTCCGCGAGGTGGGGGTGTGGGGGAGGCGCGGATAACGGTGATATCCGAGGGGTCACATGGTGTTACATCATCCCCCGTGTGAAGCACCCGATCCAATCCGTCCCGGCTATATCATCCTCGTCTACTCTACGCTCATCCCATCACTCTCGCCATGCCCACCGACAAGCACATCAGCCAGCTCCTCCAGCGCGCGCTCAAGGGCGCCAAGAGGCCCTACCTCCTCGCCGACCACCTCGCCCTGACCCGCATGGGCCCCGCCTCCATCAGCGCCATCCGCGACTCGGGCGCCACCTACGTCGACAACCCGGCCACGCACTGGGTCCTCCAGAGCTTCCAGAAGCTCTCGCCCGAGGGCTCGGGCGGCAAGGAGCGCGCCCAGGCCGCGAGCAAGGTCCTCGACGAGCTCGTGCAGCTGAACAAGGGCGCGGACGACCGCCTCCGCAAGGTCCAGGACGCAATCCAGGAGCGCATCGAGAAGCGCCGCGAGGGCCAGACGGACCCCGCCGCCAACGAGTGGTTTGACAAGTTCCGCGACCAGTGGAAGAAGGCCCAGCCCATGAGCATCTCGGGCGAGCTCGACTTTGACGGATACCCCGACTCACCCGCGTCCCCCTCCCCCCAGCGCTACCTCAACTCGTTCCTCTCCCTCATCGACGCGCTCGGAGAGGGCGAGATCGTGCTCGTCTCCGGCTCGCCCACCATCGTGAACAACGTCAACAAGTTTACCGAGGACGACGGAAACGTCCAGACGATCGTCGTGGGTGAGGACTAGGCACGTGTTTCATGACCAAGGCTCAGAAGAAAATGGTTGTAGTATGCATTAAATGAGATCCTCTACCTTCTCTATCGGCTCGGGCTCGGGCTCCGGCGCGGGCGGCGGCGGCGCCTTCTTCGGCCTAGCCGCGTCAACAGCGTCTGCAAGAAGGTGCACAAGGCGGTCGAGGCCGGTGCCGTACTTGGCGCTGATGACGAGGACCTCGGCGTCGGCGGCCTTCTTCAGCGCCTCGACCTTGTCCTTGACCTCGTCCTCGGGCAGCTCGTCCGTCTTGTTGAGAGCCACGATGCGGATGCGCTCCGACAGACCCTCCTTGTACGCTTCGAGCTCGGTGTGGAGCGTCTGCATGTCGGCAACGGGGTCGGGCCGGCGCGCGTCGAGCACGTACGCGAGGGCGAGCGAACGCTCGATGGAGCGGAGGAACGAGTGGCCGAGGCCCACGTTCTCCGAGGCACGCGCGAGCAGACCGGGATTGTCCGAGATCGTGAAGCGGGTCTTCTCGGGGACGTCGCGCTTCGCCGCACGGGGGAGGGGCTGGTAGTCGCCCCGCTGGCGCGCCGCCTCATCGGCTGCACGCTCCTCCTCCGTGTCCTCGACGGGGTTCTGCATCGCCGCAGCCCACGTCCCGTCCTCGAGCACGCGCACGACACCGATCTGCGGGTGCAGCGTCGTGAAGGCGTAGTTTGCCACCTCGGCGCGGCGGCCAGTCAGCTGGCGGAGGAGCGTGCTCTTGCCCGCGTTCGGGAGGCCGACGAGGCCGACGTCGGCGAGCAGCTTGAGCTCAAACTCGAATGTCCGCGTTGGCGGCAGCACACCGCGGCTCGCGAGTCGGGGGTGTCTAGTTGCCAGAGTGACGAAGTGGGGGTTGCCGAAGCCGCCGACACCTCCGCGCGCGAGGAGGATCGGCTCGGTGATGGGCTCGCCGGCGGCTCGACGTCGAATCCCGGCGTCGTCCGCGACCACCGTCCCGCTCGCCGCAGCAGCGTCTCCGCCTCCCTAATATCGCGGTCGCTCGCCTCCAGATTCGGGTGCTTCACCAGCCATCGCTCGCGTGTCCGCTTGTGTCGCTCCTCGCGCGGGAGGTTCAGGTCGTCGTACTCGCGGCCGACCTTCTCGGCCTCGCCCTCTCGCCGCACCTCGCGGATCACCGTGCCGACGGGAACGGTGACGACGACGTCCTCGCCTCTCCGCCCGTGCTTCAGGTTGCCCGCACCGTTACCGCCCTGCCCGCCGATCAGCCGCTTCGACACTGACGACAGCGACGACAGGTGCGGATTCGTCGTGAGGTAGACTGCGCCGCCGGGCCCGCCGTTGCCGCCAGACGGCGGTCCGAGGCCGCGCTTCGTCGGCAGGAACGCCGCTGTTCCAGCTCCGCCCTTGCCTGCGGTCAGCAAAGTCTGAGCAGTTACTCACCTCCGCGCACAGTGACCTTGAGAAAGTCGACAAAGTCTCCGCCCTGGCGCCCCCGCTTGACCTCCATCTTTTTCCGCCGCCGGTGCAGCTCGCCGGTGACATTGCTAAAGTCGTCCTCCGTCTCCTCGATGTGGACCGGGTCGGGCTGCGCAAGCGTGTGCTTTAGCCGGCACGGCCAGGCGCGTCGCAATGGTCGGAGCATGGTGTATGTAGCAATGAACAAGGGTTTCGGAAATTGGGCAGACGAATGACATCAAAATCACGTGATACAACAGATCTACTTCTTCTGCTCCTCCTCCTTCATGCGCTGCGCGAGGATCTTGGCCCCGACGTTGCGCACGTTGGTCGCGGCGCGCTCGATGCCGCCAGAGTGAGCCTTCTTGTACAGTGCCAGCGCCTGCTCCAGGGAGTTCGCTGGGGTTAGCTAAATGTTGCTGAAATATCGCGTTCCCAGGGCTAGATCCCGTAAAACGAATGCGGGTCAACTTCTCTTCAGCCGAGGCCCGGGTGGTCACTCACTGGCTTCCAGGATCGCCGCGAGGTTGTACTGGATCTCGGGGTCCTCCGGGGCAATCTCGAGCGCAGCCGTCAGCGCCTTGATCGCCTCTGGCGCGTTCGGCGGCTGGCTCATCATGTACGCCGAGCCGAGGTTGGTGTAGGCGTCGGCACTCGGCTCGAGCTTGATGCTCTGCTTCCATGCCTCGATCGCGGCAGGCAGGTTTTCTGTCATTAGCGAGTGGCGCCACCGACTCACGCAGCTGGTACTCGCACACGCCGAGGTTGAAGAAGGCGCCGCTCGTCGGGAGCGCGGCAGCGCTCTGCTCGTACAGGTCCTTGGCCTTCTGCACGTCGCCCTGCTCAAGGGCGTGGGTGCCGTCCTCGAGCAGGCTCTGGGCGTGCTGCAGCTTGGAGTCGGAGGACGAGATCGGATCCGGGCCAGAGGCGTAGCCTAACGTCAGCCGTGTTTTCGATGCGCCTCACCTCGGAAAGCGGGGCGGTAACGGGGGACAGCCCACGGGACCACCCTCGCCGACGCGCGCTGGACGGTGCGGGCGAGGCGGAGGGACCTGACGAATGCGCGGGACATGGTGAGATGGAGAATGCGGTCGATGTTGGACTTTCTCATGTACGTCATGAAGCGGGGGCTTGAATAAGGTTCGCGTGTCCAATAGCGCTCTCGATAATGTTTTTGTTTTCGGTGTTCACCGTATGCTCAGGACGTTGACATCGCTGCGACCTCGCCTCGTTCACATGTCCAGCCCCGTCGCAAAGAAAATGAAGTCTACCAAGGTCATCGGCACCCACTCGGGCACCTTCCACTGTGACGGTCAGTCTCCCCTCGTTCTCGCTGACATCAGAGGCCCTCGCCGTCTTCCTCCTCCGTCTCACCGACGAGTTCAAGGACGCCGACCTCGTCCGCAGCCGCGACCCCGCCAAGCGTACGTGCCGTGACGAACGCGCTGACCGTAGTCGACCCCCTGGACATTGTCGTCGATGTCGGCGGCGTGTACGACCCCGCCAAGCAGCGCTACGACCACCACCAGCGCGGCTTCACCGAGGTCTTTGGCTTTGGCGGCTTTGACCGCACCAAGCTCTCGTCCGCGGGCCTCGTGTACAAGCACTTTGGCAAGCACATCATCGCCAAGCAGCTCGGTGTCGCCGAGAGCGACCCCAAGGTCGAGACGCTCTGGCTGCAGCTCTACGGCGAGCTGATCGAGTCGATCGACGGCATCGACAACGGCGTCAACATTGCGCAGGGCGAGCTCGCGTACGCGCAGCGCACCGACCTGTCGTCGCGCGTGCGCCGCCTGAATCCGCGCTGGAACGAGCCCGCGTCGGACGACGACTACGACGCGCGCTTCGCCGTCGCGTCCAAGACGACCGGTGACGAGTTCCTGCAGCAGCTCGACTACTTTGCCAACGCGTGGCTCCCGGCGCGCGACGTCGTCAAGGAGGCGCTCGAGAAGCGCCACGAGGTCGACCCCTCGGGCAAGATTGTCGTGTTCAAGCAGGTGAATGAGGTCCGTGGAAGAGTGATGTCGCTGACGCCAGTCCGCCCCCTGGAAGGACCACCTCTTCTCGCTCGAGCCGACCATGGCCAAGGAAACCAAGATTCTCTACGTCCTCTACCCCGAGAACCCGGACAACGAGAACTCCAAGTGGCGCATCCAGTGCGTCCCCGAGTCGCCCGACAGCTTCACCAACCGCAAGTCGCTCCCCGCCGCCTGGCGCGGCCTCCGCGACGAGGAGCTCTCGAAGGAGTCGGGCATCCCTGGCGGTGTCTTTGTGCATGCGAGCGGATTCATCGGCGGAAATGAGACGTTCAACGGCGTGCTCGCGATGGCCAGGGCCGCTCTGAACGAGTAGGAGTGTAGAGAAGCCGATGTAGACGTCGAGATTCGACGGATGTAGATGTTGATGTATTCGGGACCTCCACATTCCAACTTTTGGTGACACCTCATCCGCCATGATCGCGGTCATCATCGCCATCCTTGCCGTCCTGATCTCGCCCATGTTCTTCAGCAAGCGCCTCGATGTCGCGGGCAAGGTGCGCTGCGCGTGGATTGCGCTAACTATAGTTTTGCTACATCCCCGGCGGATCCGCGGGGCTCGGCAAGTCGCTCGCCGAGGAGCTGGTCCGCCGCGGCGCGCATGTCGTCATCGTCGCGCGCGACGCGAAGCGCTCGGCCGCGACCGTCGAGGGGCTCAAGGCGCTCGCCAAGCCGTCGCAGAAGATCTTTGCTGTCAGCGCGGACCTGATGTCGAAGGATGCCGGCGACCGTGCCTTGACGAACGCGTGCGAGCTCGTCGGCGCGCTGCCCGACTACGTCTTCCTCTGCGCCGGATTCAGCAAGCCGCAGCTCTTCATCGACGCGTCGTGCGACGATCTTCAGCAGGTGAGTAACGCCCAGACTGTGCTGACGGCAGGGCTTTGACGGCACGTACTGGGTTTCCGCGTGGACGGCGCACGCGGTCACCAAGCTCTGGGTCAAGAATCGCGTGTCTGGCACGCTCACCTTCGTCTCGTCGTTCCTTGGCTACACGTCCTTTGCGGGCTACAGCCCCTACGCGCCGGGCAAGTATGCCCTCCGCGGCCTCGCCGACTCGCTCCGCTCCGAGCTGCAGCTGTACGGCATCAAGGTGCACCTGTACATGCCCGCCGGCATCCTGTCGCCCGGGTACGAGAACGAGCAAAAGACCAAGCCGGCCATCACGAAGAAGATTGAGGAGGGGGACACACCCATCGCGCCCGAGAAGGCCGCTGGCCTGCTGATCCGCGGCATCGAGCGCGGCGAGTACCAGATCACCAACGACCTCGTCACCGACCTCGTGCGCAGCGTGTCCCGCGGCCCGGTCCCGTCGAATGGACCCCTCGACTATGTCTACGGCCTGATCGCGGCCGTCGGACTCCCCATCTGGCGCCGCATCACCGACGCGCAGGTCCGCTCCGCCCGCCCCGAGGTCTACAAGCAGCTGGAGGAGCGCGGGTTTTTCAACTAGTAAATGCATACATAATCACTGGAGTCTCTTTATTGCAGCTTGGCCTTGACGCGGTCGTACGCACGGGCGTAGCGCGTCCACTCGGGCGAGCGTCCGACGCCCTCGTCCTCCTTCTCGCCCCGGATGTCGCTGCTGCCGCTCTCGAGCGCAGCGAGGCTCATGGCGCGCTCAAAGCTCGCCAGCGCCTTGAGGAGGGCGGGCTCCGTGCCCTGCTTCTCCTCGAGCACGCCCTCGGTAAAGTGCGCCTCGGCGCCGGTCTGGAGGGCTTCCCGGCGCAGGCGCTCGGCCGGGACGAGGAGCGGCCCCTTGTAAGCGGCCGGCAGCGGCTCGAGGGCGGCAATCACCGCGTCAGACTCCTCCGCTGCCAGCGCGATCGTTCCCAAAGGCGCCGTCGATTTGCGGTCCTGCGCGTGCGCAACAGAGCCGCGGTACAGGTCCAGCAGGGCACGGCGCTGCGCAAGCCACACGCTGTGGAGCACCTCGGGAGCGTTCGTGTTGTTCGGCGTGACGAGCCGTTCCGGTGTCGGGATCATGGCGCGGATAACCTCGTGCTCGCGGGCGGCGTGGTCGAGGTCGCCAGACTGCGCGGCCAGCGCAGAGTCGGACAGGAGGAGCGCAACAGTCGCACGGCGGACAGGGGCGCCCAGCTCTGGCACCGTCACCGGCTCAGGCTTCGGCTTGGACCACCACGAGCTCTTTGGCGGCTCCGGGATCTGCACGCCGGCTGTCTGCAGTCCCCACTGGCGCCACTTGGCCGCGTCCGCCGAGTCGCCCGCCCGGTTCGCGAGGTCGGAAAGCTTGAGCGCGAGGCGGATGGAGAGCGCCTGGTTCAGCTCGGTTTGCGGCTTGGGCGTCCGCGCAACGTCCTCGTACAGCTCGCGCGCCTGCTCGAGCGTGTCGGGCGTGCCCATGCGCTCCAGAATGGACGCCTTGAGCGTGACGAGGTCGAGGGCGACGGGGTCGGCGCCCTCGTGCGGCGGGAAGACCATGCCGCGCTTCTCGGCGTCCTTGATTGCGACGTCGATGTACTGCTCCGCGAGCTCGTATCCGCGGTCGATCTTGTTCAGCCCGCCAATGGCGCCGCTGAGCTGCGGGTGGATGCTCTGCCGTGTAGAGATCGCGCCCGGCACTCCGGCACCCTTCTCCCAGCACAGCCATGCCGCCCGCAGCGCCATGCGCGCCTTCCAGCTCAGCTTGGACGTCGTGCCGCCGTCCTCGCCCGTCCAGCTCGTGTTCTCCTCCTCCCAGCCGTGGCTGCCCGGCTTCGACTTGGCAGACGGCATCTGGTGCTCGATGTAGAGGTGCGCGGCCTCCCAGCCGGCCAGCGAGAGCGCGGCGAGTCCTGCGCCACCAATAACAATATACTTGACCGTCTTGCCGAGCATGTTGAACGCGTACATTGTCGGTTAGGCGTAGTCCTCGCGCGGCATCGTGGGCGGCATCTTAGGCAGCGTCGTGTGCGACAGGTCGGAGTACGCCCTCCTCGGCGCGCGGGCCAGCGGCCGCGAGAGGCGAACGAGTCGGGACATGGTGGTGTGGGTGGTCGAGAAATCCGGGCGGCAAAGGCGAAAAGTGGAGGTGGATGGGCTTACGTAAACGTTAGTGGCGAATGCGTCCCAGAGCCATACTCGCTGAGTTGTGTATATGCATACATGGTGGTACAACAGTCTATGCACTCGTCTTGGTCTCCTCGATGACGCCGCTCCCGAGGCAGCGGTCGCCGTCCCACACGCCGACAATCTGGCCCTCGGCGACGGCGCCGACGGGCTTGTCAAAGTCCACCCTGACCCTTCCCTCGACCGACACGCGTCCCGGGACCGGCTCCATGCGATGCCGGATCTGAATCAAAGCGTTGTCAATGTGTTCTGGCGGGTGGCCAGCGATCCAGTTGAAGTCGCTCGACCACAGCTGCTCGCAGTAGAGAGCCGGGTGGTCCGCCCCCTGCACCAGGAGGATGTCGTTGCCGTTGACGTGTTTCCGCGCAATGTACCACCGCCCGCCCGGAAGTCCGCCGAGTCGTGGCCGCTGCCCAATCGTGTAGTAGCAGTTGCCGCGATGCGGCGCCATGCGCTCGCCCTCGAGGTTGACAAAGTATCCCGGCTCCGCCAGCGAGGTGTACTGCGAGACAAAGTCGCCAAACTTGCCCCTCTCGCCGATGAAGCAGACGCCCATGCTCTCTTCGCGCTCGGCCGTCGGAAGATTAAAGTGACGTGCGAGGTCGCGGACGCTCGGTTTCGGGATTCCGGCGAGAGGGAATACAGCCTTGGCAAGCTGCTCCTCGCGCACCTGGCTCAGGTAGTATGTCTGGTCCTTGTTGGCGTCGAGCGCGCGGTGCAGAGTTGCGCCGTCGGGAGACCGCTTAACGCGAGCGTAGTGGCCTAATGTCAGCTAGATCTAAACCTGACTCACCTGTTGCGAGGAAGTGCCCGGGCGGAATGTGCTGCATCAGCGCGCCAAACTTGATTTCGCGGTTGCAGGCGACGTCTGGATTCGGGGTCTGGCCCGCCTCCCACACTGCAATCGCAGGCTCGAACACTCGTGTCCAGTACTCTTTCGACAGGTCGACGAGCCGGATGTCCGACTGCGGGATGCCGACGTGCTTGCAAACGCGCTTGACGTCTTCCCAGTCCCGCTCCCACGAGCAAGGCGAGTGCGTCGCTGGCGTTCCGTACGAAAGAGACAGAGGAAGCTCGTCGGCGTTTTCAGAGAGCAGCGGGTCCCAGTTGCGCATGAACAGGACCGAGAGGTTGAGCGGCAGCTCGCGCAGAACGCTGAGCGTCACAGACGAGTCGACACCGCCAGACATTGCCACGACGACTGGGGTCAGCTTCGCCAGTCAGCTTACTCACCATTGTCACCCTTCTTCAAGTAGAGGTCCTCGAGCGTCGGTAGCCGCACGGCAGCTGTCGAGTAGCTGCGCGGTAGCCAGCTCAACGCTGGCCGTACGCGCATGGTGGATGATGCGGAACAGACTTTTGGGACCTCCACCTGCGGCTGAACACCGGGAAAACAACGGCGATTCGGGGAGCGCCGCCCACCTGGGTCACGTGTTTGTCTCCGGGGCCCGACCACGCTCCGGTTACCGGCAACTAAAGTCCCCTTCCAACACTTGCCATCACCATCCACACCATGTCCGGCGTCACGAAGAAGGAAGAGACCAAGGACACACCGTCCCCGAGCAAGGCTCGCCCCGCCCTCGAAGGACGACTACCGCTCCCGCGTGGAGAGCGATGACGACGATGACGACCTCGACGACCTTGATGGTGAGCATCACGCTGACCCCGCTGACAGCAGACGTGCTCGACTCGTTCAACAAGCCCAAGTCTGCGCTTGGCAAGCGGCCACAGGGCGCCTCTACTTCTGCTTCGGCTTCCCCCGCGCCCAAGGCACCTGCACCCGGAGGCCCCAGCGGTCCCAGCGCTGAGGGCAGCGAAGAGTTTGAAGCCCAGCTGATCGAGGGCATGGAGTCGTTGCTGCGCCAGCTCGCGAACGAGAACCCGCCCGGGCCCATGGCCGGCGAGACGAGCGCGAAGGCGGAGTCGCCCAAGAAGCTCAGCGCCGAGGAGGAGGAGAAGGCGTTCCAACAGGCGCTCGAGGCGATGCTCAGCGGCGAGGGGCTCGAAGCGCTCGGCGTGGACAAGAAGAACCCGCGCGCGCCCCCCGCGCCCCCCAAGCCCGGCAAGCCGACGAGCTTCGAGGAGACGATCAAAAAGGCGATGGAGAACATCAACCAGGGCGGCTCGAACGCCGGCGGCGGCAGCGACGGCATGCCGGGCGACCTGGCCGCGCTGCTGCAACAGCTGAGCACCGACCCCTCGGCGCTCGACGGATTAGAGGGGCTCGGCGACGACGACGACGAGCTCGGCGGCCTGCTCGACGGCATGATGGCGCAGCTCATGAGCAAGGAGGTGCTCGAGGAGCCCATGGCAGAGCTCGCGCAAAAGTACCCCGAGTACCTCGCGAACCCGCCGAAAGACGTCAGTGCGGCGGACATTGAAAAGTACAAGAAGCAGCACGAGCTCGTCAAGCAGATTGTCGACGTGTTCAAGCGCCCAAACTACGAGGACTCGGTCGACGGCAAGGAGGTCGCGCGCCTCGTCGGCGAGATGCAGGATCTCGGCGGCCCGCCGAACGAGATCATGGGCGAGCTCCCCGAGGGCTTCGACCTGGGTGCGCTGGCCGGCAACGAGGGATGCGTCGTCATGTAATGCATTCTATGTGCAGCAATTCTAGATGCGTCTAGTAGACGTAGGGGATGAAGCGCCAGCGGACGACCTTGCAGTACTCGTCCCAGTCGTCGCCGTACTTGCGCTCGCACTTCTCAAAGTCGCGGCCGCAGCGGTGCGTGAGGACGGCGAGGAAGAAGATGGGGTACCAGAGCGTGATGGGCGTGTTGAAGCCGGCGGTGAGGCCCCAGGTGAGCGCCTGGATCCAGTCGGCCGAGTAGTTGGGCTTGCGCACGTAGCGCCACCAGCCGGACGTGAGGAGCTTGTTGCCGTGCTTGGTCTGGATGAACGTGGGGTTCTCGACGACGCTCCAGGGGAGCTGCGGGAACGCCTTGCGGGGCTTGTACTCGCCCTGCTGCTGCATCTTGAAGGCCGACTTTTGCGCCATGCTCGTGTCAAAGATGTAGTAGCAGGTGAGGAGCGTGACGAACATGGCGACGCACGCCCAGGTGGGGAACTCGTACGTCGACGGGTCCGCGCGCACCATGTAGATGGTCGGGTAGCAGTACGTGAAGGGCACGCCGGCCATGTTCCAGAAGATGAGCATCCAGCCAAACTTCTCGTGGAACATGTCCCACGTCTGGGGGATCATCTGCTCGCCCTTGGCGCACGCGTTGATGTAGAGGCCGGTCGCGAGCAGCATGTGGAACATGTTGTACGTGACGTGGCCGAGGTCCTCGTACTGCTTGACGACGCCCGAGAGAGAGATCAGGAAGAGGAGCACCCACGGGACGCGCACCTCGGCGAACATCTTGAGGTCGATGGGGCCGAGGCGCGGGTTGAGCGAGACGCCCATGAAGTGGTCGTACACCGCGACGCCGGACATGCGCAGGGGCGCGCCGCCGTAGTGCATGGTGCGCGCGAGAATGTCAATCGTCGCCGAGATGGTGTACGAGGTCACGATGGCGACGGTCATGATGCCGCCAAAGTTCTCGATGATCCACGGGAGGCGGTAGATGCTGGTGTAGTGCAGGACGCCAGCGAGGATGAGCGTCGCGTACCACGACCAGAGGGCGTTGCACTTGTAGAGGAGCGTCTTGTAGCCGAGGGAGGGGACGGGGAGGCCGTGCTGCTCGACGCCAGGCATGACCCAGGCGAAGAAGAGCTCGATCGCGGTGAGGCCGAGGTACGTGCCCCACGCAAAGGCGGTCGGGTACGCGCCGTCGACACAGTGGGCCCACATGCGCTGGAGGAAGGGGCCGACGTCGGACAGGCTCGAGGGGTGGACGAGGGCGCCGTCGTAGTACCAGAGGCAGATCCAGAGGTAGTACATGAGGACGGGGAAGCCGAGCATCATGGCGGTGACGCCGACGGGGCCGCCAAACTCGTAGGTCTGGTGCTCGTCGAGCTTCTTGTCCATCGCCTGTCCGTAGGCGGTGGGGATGGCGTTCATGATCTGGGTCGACTCGCCGGACGCGACGACCTCGGAGGTCTTTTTGCGTTGGCGGACGCCGTTGGCGCCGTTCGTGGAGCCGTTCGTGCCGTTAGCCATGGTGCCGATGGTGAGGAAACAACAACAAACGATGCGGTTTTAAGCGGCGTCGTCGTCGGCGACTGCGCCACGGACATTGAGCCTCGATCGAACGATAAAAAAGTGGTTTACGTAAGACACACGTCCGCGTTTAGTCACCGGCGCTGACCGACGCGTCAAATCTGTCCGCAGATCACGGACGTCGATCCGATCTCCGTATACCCCGCATCTCCGGGCCAAGACTTGCCCGACATCAATGATCGAACGACTCCTCTTCTTCTTCACTCTGCATCACCATGGTCGACATCACGACGCAGGCGCGGCAGTACGCCGACACGCTCCGCACCGACCCTGCCGGCTGGCGCCTCAAGGTCTCCGAGGACTCGCACGGCCAGCACAAGTGGCTCTACCTCCCCCCCGAGCAGCGCGATGCCTGGCCGCAGACCGCCGTCGACAAGTACTCGATGGGCGAGCCGACCGGGCTGCCCGACCAGCCAAAGGCCAAGACGCCCCTCGAGGCGGCACGAAACGGCCTGCGCTATTACCGCGAGCTGCAGAGCGAGGACGGCCACTTTGCGACCGAGTACGGCGGCCCGCTCTTCCTCACGCCCGGCCTCATCATCGCCCTCCAGGTCTGCGGTGTCGAGCTCCCGCAGCCCAAGAAGGACGAGCTCAAGCGGTATCTCCTCAACAAGCTGCGCCCCGAGGGCGGCTGGGGTCTGCACACCGCGGCGCCCCCGACGGTGTACGGCACGGTCATGAACTATGTCTGCCTGCGCATGCTCGGCATGGGGCCGGACGAGGGGCCAATGACCGCGATCCGCGCCAAGATTCACGAGTTTGGCGGCGCCGTCGCGATCCCGACGTGGGGCAAGGTGTGGCTCAGCATTCTGGGCGCGTACGACTGGGAGGGCGTGAACCCGACGCCGCCAGAGTTATGGTACGATGATTTTAGCGCCGCGCTAACAACAGGTGCTTGCCGGACTGGGTGCCATTCGCACCGTGGCGGTGGTGGATTCACGTGCGACTCGTCTTCACCCCGATGGCGTGGCTGTGGGGCGCGCGCTTTGTCGCCCCCCAGACGGAGCTCGTGCGCGAGCTCCGCAAGGAGATCTACGTGCAGCCGTACGAGTCGATCGACTGGCCGCGGCAGCGCAACAACACGCACAAGGTCGATCTGTACTCGCCGCACCACCCGGTCTACGACGCGCTGAATGCCATTCTCGGCGTCTACGAGAAGATGCCGTACCTCCCGTGCGTGCCGGGCCTGCGCAAGGCGGGCATGCGCGCGGCGTACCGCCAGATCGTGTACGAGGACGAGAACACGGGGTACCAGACCGTCGGACCCGTCTCCAAGGCGTTCAACATGATCTGCCGCTTCGCGCAGGAGGGCCCCGACTCGGAGGCGGTGCGCATGCACAAGAGCCGCGTCGACGACTTCCTGTGGCTGTCCAAGGACGGCCTGTTCATGACGGGCACGAACGGCTCGCAGCTGTGGGACATTTCCTTCCTCGCGCAGGCGGTCGTCGAGACGGGCCTCGCGGACGAGGCCGAGAACAAGCAGACCGTGCTCGGCATGCTCGACTGGCTCGACAAGTGCCAGATCCGCCACAACCCCAAGTGGTACCGCGCGGGCTACCGCCAGAGCTCCAAGGGCGCGTGGCCGTTCTCGACGCCCGAGCAGTCGTACACGGTGTCCGACTGCACGGCCGAAGGACTCAAAGGCGTGATCGCGCTCCAGAGCCTGTCGTACACGGACAAGCCCGTCACGATCGACCGCATGCGCGACGCCGTCGACGTGCTCCTCAGCATGCAGAATCCGTCCGGCGGGTTCGCGTCGTACGAGCTGATGCGCGGAAGCGCCAAGCTCGAGGCGCTCAACGCCGCCGAGGTGTTCGGCGACATCATGGTCGACTACATGTACCCCGAGTGCACGACGAGTGCGCTGTCCGCCCTCACGTACTTCAAGAAGCTCGACGCGCAGTACCGCGCGGCGGACATTGAAAAGTGCGTCGACAAGGCGATCCGGTGGATCCACTCGGTGCAGCGCCCCGACGGCTCGTGGTACGGCTCGTGGGGCATCTGCTTCACGTACGCGACCATGTTTGCGCTCGAGTCGCTCGCGATCGCGGGCGAGACGTACGAGAACAGCGAAAGTGTGCGCCGCGCGTGCTCCTTCCTGCTTAGCAAGCAGATGGAGGACGGCGGCTGGGGCGAGACGTACATGTCGTGCGTGTCGCTGCAGTACGCGCAGCACGAGCAGAGCCAGGTCGTGCAGACGGCGTGGGCGCTGCTCGCGCTTATCTACGGTCGCTGCCCAGACACGGCGGCCATCCGCCGCGGCTGCCAGCTGATCATGAGCCGCCAGCGCCCCCGACGGCAGCTGGCTGCAGGAGGACACGGAGGGCATCTTCAACAAGAACTGTGCCATCGACTATCCCGCCTTCAAGTTCATTTTCTGCATCTGGGCCCTCGGCCGCGCGCAAAAGTATCTCGACGCCAACCCTTAGAATCCTCGACCCACCGTTGTATGAAACACGTCCCGGCCATCGTCAGGCACCACTTTGACGCCCATGATGCATAACGCGTATACCCGTTTGATGCGTCTTGAGAGGAAGCGATGCCAGGGCAATACTGTCACGCGAGATAAGCGCGGCGTGTCTAGCGGCGTACGAGGCGTGCGCAGCTGTCGCCGGGTGCCGCGAGCTTGTGGTCCCGAGAGCTCGGAGATCAGCCACAGTCACCGGCGAGGCGCAAGGTCAACTTGACCGTTTCATGGCACGGTGAAGCGTGCTTCTCCGCTGGATAAACTTCGGCCCTGCAGTGCCTGCCTGGCGACTGACAACCTTAAGTCGGCAGTGACTCTGAGGGAACATGCATGCGTGACAGCACGCTTGCAGTACATTTCTCTCCCCAAGCATGCGTATCGGAGGAGTTCTGCAACCAGGAGCGTCTGCCAGCAATCTCAACAATTGGTAGGTCCTGCAGGTCGAACCGCCACTTGGCAGTTCGGTGAGTTATGGAGGATTGATCTACCTTGACAATCGCCTTTTGAATCATTCCAGAAGCTGCAGATCCGATCACATGTCGCCGAGACCGTGCCGTGTCCCACGAGATGATGGATACTCTGTGCCGAAACGGCGACATGAGGGCGTGTCCGGCGTGAGCCGCCTAAAGGGCGGTTTCAAGACCGCTCGGCACTCGGGGTATGCTCACCGTGCAGCGCCACCTTGGACTGTGAGTTTCTTGGGTCCGCTCCAAAAGCTTGTCATGAACTGTGTTGCGGCGATAGCTCCGAGAAATGGGCATCCGGCCGGGCAGTGTCGAGATGCTTTCGGAGCGAGGGGTCGGGAACACTCAAAACTCTCAACTTCGGATTGCGTCGAATTGACCGAGTTCGGGGAATACTTTATCACTGACTTGAGCTCTTGGGCCGATTAACGATCGAGAGTCAACAGTCTCACCCGTGCTTTACGCACATCAAACAGTCTATTAAGGTACCGTTCGATGTTCCGGAAGCTCGACGGGATGTCGCTCCACAAAATGAAACGCGTCGACGATCCTGTCAGCAATGATTAGGGTTGCCAGTGGCGGAGGCGGAAGTGGTGACAAGTTCGGACTATAAAGACGTGACAGAGCGCAGTCTTGAACTCCAACGAACCATGGTCGCCCTCAGCCTGCTCCTTCTCCCCACCGCGGCAGCGTTCCCCGCATTCGCGGGACTCGGCGCTGCCGACATTGCCGCGCTCGACGAGCGCGCTAGCATCTTCGACCCGCTCAAGTACCAGGGCATCAACCTGTGGGACTCGCTCGGCGGCGTCTTCCGCGCGATGAACTACCAGGACATCACCGGCCTTACGAACGCGGTCACCGAGGGCATCCGCGCGATCGAGGCGGACGCCCATGCGAACCCCAAGTTTGGCGGCTTCCCCGTTGCGCAGCTTGTCGACGTGCCGCGCGACCAGCTCACCAAGGACGCCATCTACGAGGCGTACAAGCTCGACCGCTCGATCCCGCCCATCTGGGGGGAGCAGGAGGACGAGGAGCACCCGTGGATTGCGCCGGGCCCCGGCGACATCCGCGGCCCGTGCCCCGGCCTCAACACGCTCGCAAACCACGGCTACCTGCCCCGCAACGGCATCTGTACCCCGCAGGAGCTCATGATGGGCGTGTGGAAGGGCCTGTCCATGTCGCCCGAGCTCTCCGGCATCCTCGCCATCGCCGGCGTCGTGTGGAAGGCGGACATCAAGACGCTCAAGATCTCCATCGGCGCGGGCACCCAGGGCACCGGTGTCGGCCTCTCGAACCACGGCTTCATCGAGGGCGACGCGAGCGTCACGCGCGACGACTCGATCATCGGCGACCAGGTGCACGTCAACGAGACCAAGCTGCACCGCTACTATGACATCATCCACCGCCTCGGCACCAACGGCTACGACATTAACCCCGAGGTGTGCGCCGAGTCGCGCTACGTCGCGTGGAAGGACTCGGTCGACTCGAACCACGCCATGGACTTCAACCCCCTCCGCCACCTCGTCGCCTATGCCGAGAGCGCGTTCGCGATGGAGGTCTTCCGCGGCCAGAACCAGTCGTGCACGTCCGAGACCATCGACTGGTTCTTCGTCAGGGAGCGCTTCCCGCCCGGCTGGTCGCGCCGCAACGTCCCCGTGTCGACCAACGAAATGTTCACGTGGGCGCTGCTCTTCAACTCGATCCGCACCGTCTACCCCGGCTACACGCTCGGCAGGACCGGCGCCTTCTACAACTTCCCGCTCGCCCAGTTCGGCGGCGGCGTCACCAACTTCCTCTCGCCCTCCTCGCTCCGCGTCAACGCTTGCAAGTTCGTCGCCACGTTCGCCATCTTCGTGCCCACGGGGCTCATGCAGTTCTCCAAGGGCCTCGGCGACCACTTCGTCAAGGGCTTTGCGTGCTCCTAGTGCTGTAGTCACAAGAGATGTAAGAAGCGTTTAGCGTAGCGGATAGTGTCCCCCGTGTCTTGAGATGCCCTCCCCTCAGATGTGACGTTCTTTGAGCGACAACTATGACTCGCAATCGATACAAGCACGGTCAGGGAATTTACGTGTCGATGGTGGCATTGGCCTCAAAGCATGCTTGCGCACTTGAGGATGTCAGGTTTCTCGAGGGCAAAGAAGCGCCTGATTGAGAGGCACTATGGTCGCAATGGTGGGGAGGGCCCTGGCGGGCAGGGTCTGACCGCAGGTGCGCGCGATGGTAACGCCGACTGAGGTGACCCCGGCAAAGGGGGCCCAGGCGACGGTGACCCAGGCGGTGGCGATGGCGGAGGCGTTTGGCTTATAGCCAGGCCAAGGCTAGGCGATGGCTTGAGTGCTGGGGGCCTGGGAGGGCGCAGGGTCCTTAGCGATGGCAGCGGCCCATGCTGTTCAGCTTACGATGGGGGACACTCCAAACATGCGGTGCGCATCAGTGACCACTTCCACACTTGAAGTATCGCCGATCATGACGATAAGTTTACTGGTAGTGTTTGTTCCCCGTATCCCCCTCCTGGTCAAAGCTGAGACAGTGCCTCTTGAGCGTGCGAGTCGCAAGATGTCCGGCGGGCAAACATTCACGAGCGCTCTGGCCTTTGAAGCTCGGGGCTGGATGCAGCTTCTTCGTACTAGTGCCCCCTGCCGTGATCATACTCACAGGACGCACAAGCCTTCACCTCGCTCCGTTGAATGCCAAGGAGATCCCATCTTGACGCGTGCAAACCCCTTTGCCAATCATCCACTTCTGACACTTCTCATGCCTGGTCATCTTACTCTACGGGAGGCGACCAAGATCCAAGAGACCCATGGCCCTCTCGTGTGTTACCGAGTGCCATGTAAGTCTCCGCAGCTACAGAGCTAACCCCAGTACGTGTCTTCCACTACGTTGTCGACCTCATAGTGGCCTTTGTCCGGCTGAAAAACCCGTCGTACCAATCGGAGGATGCCGCATCCGCCTTCCTCTACTTTTGCGACCCAACTTCTCGCAAGGCGTTCGGGTTCAAGAATCGGTTTTATCAAGACGCAGCTCCGTATGATGGACAATATGCACTCCATCGAGGAGCGTGTGAGCTTTCCGAAGACTTCAAGTGGGCATTCGATATCGATGCCTCCTCTGTTCATGAAGCTATAGGGTGGTATGTGGCGAGGGTTCAGGAAAACCTTGCCGCCTCGCTGGTAGAGCAGTCCCACTTGGAGCCGGTGCAGTTTCCGGGTGCAGACTGGCAAGCTGTCGGCGCCTGGAGGAGGGCAGAGACAAGTGGGTGGCAGCGTACCGCGCAAGCTAACGACAGTCAGAAGAGGTGGAACGTTCGGCGCGGTCCACCCCTGCCAGCGCAGTATGCTGCTGGAGAGCTGCGGAAAGCCGACCAAAGGATCAAAGGACAGAGGACTCGTTCATCTTAGGCATTGGGCTCCCTATATCCTCAGGTTCGATTGGGTTTCCGGCCCAGTATTCCAGTTTCCGCCCATCAGCCACGTTGTTGGCACGATGGTATGCCATCGAGAGTTCAGCGAGAAGGTGGCTCTGGAACTCTACGGCGTTTTCCTCGACTGCAACTTACGGCTGTACCAAAAGCCCGACACTTGTGATGAAAAACGCGACCCCTTCGTCGACAGACTGGTTACCGGCATCAGCGGCTTGACTGTGTTGTTCCTGGCCTGCACGATTGTCTCTGATGAAGTGGCGTGCGCCAAGTTGCTGCAAATGCCCACCGCTGGCCTCCGCATATTGAAAGATCTCCACGACCAAGGACTGGGCGACTTTTGCTCGAAGGTGGTCCGGCCGCAGGTCAAGGCGATGCTCCAGGCTCTCTTTGAGGGTGAGCGCGATCTCACGACAACTGCCTGGGGCCAAAGACTGTCCCTCCTCGTATCGCTGCACCTCTGCCGACCCAACGGGAAGTTGGCCACGTGGGGGGAGACGGATTATCCGGAGCCGCTGCTGCTGGATGTCTTGCGACTCGGCCCGTCGAGAATCAGAAGCATTCCGATCGAATATGAGGCGGCCGCCACCGGCTTCTTTGCGGGAAACGCTGTCGGGACTCTCATTCAGCTCTTGTCGAAACGCATAATCGAGAGGGAGGCCAAGGGACGCAAGCACAGAACCCTCGTGACGCTAACCACTGAATGGACCACCAACCTTGTCAGTGTTGGCCAGAGTGTTGCCCCGATGCTTGTCGGCAGCGGTGGCGGTTACGCAACCCCGTTTTCCTTGGAACAGACGCGAGGTCTACTTCACGATTGGATCGACGAGAGGACAGCTCGACAAACCAGCTCCCTGCGAAGCGCGTGCGACCATGTTCTTGAGCTTTTCGATGAGCGTCTGTACAAATTCGACCGGAAATTCGGCAAGGACGTGGATCTGAGCCCGTTCCGCACACAGGGCTCGCAAGCTCTCAAGATTGCGCTGGACGCAGACCCGCAAGCCCACTACGACAGGTCAATCCGCGCCCGCGGGTCCTCGGCCAGATATCGGTTCCTCGTTGACTGCCCGTCCAAGCGGTGCAACGGACAACGCGAGCGATTCTGGTCCAACCTCTTCGAGAAGAAGCTGGCTTTGATCGACCAGGATGACGACGCTCACGGCGCCTATGGATTATTGTGAGCAGGGGTTGTCCTCCACGCTGACTGCAGGATCCGCAGATCTTCCAGCCGTCGCTCCGACACGAGTCCCCGTGCAGCAGTCAGCGCAGCATCCAATTAGTTCCTTGCATGCAGCTCACGGATGACACTGGTCAAGCCGCCGGATGCCATGCGCCCCAGTCGACCAGAGGCAGTTGGGATCTGCAGCTTCACTCAGACAACAGCCTGTATTGTTTGAGACACTAGTTCTCCCTCCACGAGGCTCTGCGTCACGATCGATGTAGGCATGAGTCATTGCCTACGCGGATGTTGGTGCTTCAGTGGGTCACTTCGGTGCTTCGGTAGGCTACCTCCAAGGAGAGCAACTCTCGGCGATGTACATATAGAGCTACATCACGCAACCGGTGTGAATGTCTGTGACGGATGCACAAGGCTTCGCTGTAGTTAACCTCGAAGCTCGATTCGTGTGATCGGTGGCTTGGTGGCGTCTTCGCGGGCTTGGCACGACAGAGTGACTCAGTGAGCCCGTGTTGAGCGTCCTAGTCGTTGGACAGAGCTCCGTGGCAACTCCGGACTGGAGCGTGCACAGACCCCAGAAGGAAGACTGCGTCGGTCCCGTCTCCGCTCTCTGCATGTTATAGACTGTTACCAAGGACTGATCCTTCCATGCTTATCCATTCCCATGCCCGGCAACCTCACTCTCGAAGAGGCAAAGGAGATCCAGCGTCGCTTCGGCCACATCATACACTGCCGCCGGGTGCCTAGTGAGAGCGACCCTGACTTGGCTGACCATCAGCGCGGGCCTTTCATCTCGTCGTCGATCAGATAGTGGACTTGGTCCGAGGGAAGGATCCTGATCAACGCTCCGGCAACGCCGAGGGATGCTTTCGACTCTTCTGCCGCAACATCCGTGACTTCGTTGACGACGATTGTCGGATCAGATTTCATTTCGAGTTCGATTCCTTCCGTGACCACGAAGTGGGCGACTGCGTCCTCTCCGCGATGTGGAAATGGGAGTTTGATCTTACGAATGCGAGCCTCGCGGCAGCCGTGGGCTGGTGTGTGAATCGCATTCAGGAGCGGCTCGCGATGTCTTTCTGCCCGTCCGAGCCTGTGGAATTCCCCGATCCAAACTGGGACAATCCGGACCTTTGGTGTTGGAGAGAAACACCGGTGCCCTACGACCCGTTCTGGGGATCTGGACCGCGGATGCGCCTCGACTGGCTGGGGGTTCCGGAGCCGATCGTGCAAGATGTCGCCCTTCTTGCCCACTGGGCCGCCTACGTTGTCAGGTGGGAGGCGTCCTCCATGCCGCCTCCGCACTTCTTGAAGTGGCTCCCGAAGCCATATCGCTTCCTTCCACTCAGCTCGAACGTCGGATCCATGGTCCGTCACAACGACTTCACAGAGCGAGTTGCCCAGCAGCTCTATGGCGTATTCCCCCGCTGCGGGATCTGGCTGCAAATGGCAGACGGCAGATCTCGGAGCCACTTTGACGACCCGTTCACCGTCAACGGATTGACTGTCCTATTTCTGGCGTGCAGCATGATCTTCGACCCGGTCGCGTGCTCCAAGCTGCTCCAGATGCCCAGCGTAGGACTCGTGATTCTGAAGGACCTCGGGAAGAATGGTTTGGGGCCCTTCTGCCAGGAAACCGTTAAGCCGATCATCGAGCCTCTGTTGGATGCAATGTACTTCGGGAAGTCAAACTTGACGATGCGCGCTTGGGGCCAGCGCTTATCATTGCTCCTTTCTATGCACGTCTGTCGACACGACGGAGCGCTTGCAAAATGGGAGCAAACCGACTACATCGAATCGCTTCTGCTGGACGTCCTGAAGCTAGGCCCATCGCGACTTCCCAACATCCCGATTGAGTACGAGGCAGCGGCCGTCGGCTTCTTCTGCGGTTCCGCCGTTGGGACACTTGTTCAGCATCTAGCAAAACAGATCACTGCGGCGGAAGCACGAGCCACGGAGCTGAAAGCAAGGGTGGCGCTGTCGGCGGAGTGGGGCCAAAATCTCATCAACGTCGGCGAGACGGTAGCTCCTCTTGCTGTGGGAACAGGGGGCCCGAGTGCCACGCCCTTCTCCTTGTCGGAAACGCAGACATGGCTACAAAGCAAGATCGACGATCGAATGTCTTCTGAGACCAGAGCTCTGAGGAACGCCTGTGAGGAGATCTTAGCTCTGGCCGATGAGCGCACCCGGAGATTCAGGTTGCAATTCTGTGGGGAAGTCGATCTCGCCCCCTTCCTCGCTCAAGCTTCTCAAGCCCTTATGCTAGCGTTGACCGCCGACCCCCAAACCCACTTCGAAAGATCTCGCAACGCCCCTTTCTCAATGCCACGATCCCTGCTTCTTATGGAATGCCCTGCTGAGTTTTATGGGGGGATTGGGGACAACTTCTGGAGAGGGCTGTTCGAACAAGACCTGAGTCTCGTTGATAGGAGGCGCTTAGAGTTCGTGTATCAGTAAGGTAGAGCGCTCATCTTGCAGACCTCCCCGAATCACCGTCGAGCGTTCTGTTGCCACAACCTCGCCTCGAGTAAGGCCGCGAGGGCCGCGTGTTAATCTCAAGGCCATCCTTCGCAGTCGATGATGGCAATGCCGCCCCCGAACGATACATGCAGCATTCTAATCGACACACCGACTCTGCCTTTACGTAGATGACAGGACCCCCACTTTCACTAGTAGACTCGCGGGTGCTTTCAGATTGGTGTGTTCGTTCGGTGGTCAAGTGATCAATACCGAGCTCGACGGAGACTCTCCGAGACCTCGTCTCGGAAGTCTGATCGGCCTGGTACACTTGCTGCCAGGGCTTAGTCCGTCGAAGCGGTGCTCGTGAGTCTGGCCCTCATGACGCAGGTCAAGGGAATTAGAAGCCGTTTGGTGGGGCAATATTACGGCGTCAGCGTGACGCGTGAGAGCAGTCCGCTTGTATTGACCTACTCGATTACCACGTACTCACGTCGATGTGGGAACTCGCTCGGAGCCGCGCACAGAATACTAATGAGCTCATTCTCACGGCGCCTTCTTTGCCCACTGGCGAACGCCGGTTTTCCGTGTACATCCATCGCACTGAATGACTTTGCGTCCGCGGGTGCGTAACTCTATTCACGTCATGCAGCGGCTCGACGTCGACGGCGTGGGCACTTGTAGACGACGGCGAAGCTATATAACGGCGCAGAGACCGGGTTGAGCAACAACAACGCAACATGTTCACCCTCCTTATCGCACTCACGGCCGCCTCTTCCGCCCTTGGCCAGGCACTGCCGCAGAACGGCCCGATCAAGCGCCAGGGCGCGAACGTCTGTCTCGACAACACCTGGGGCGACCTCACCGACGGCAACCAGATCCAGGTCTACGAGTGCTTCGACACTGCGCCGAACCAGCAGTGGACGTGGGAGCCGAGCCGAAAGGTGAACAACGAACAGTTCTTCCACCTCAAGTTCGGCGACAAGTGCGTCGGCTTCCAAATCCCCTCGACTGGCAACGCGGCCGGCGCGCACGTCGCGATCGCCCCGTGCGACAGCGACAAGTGGCAGCTCGACTGGCGCTGGGCCGGCGAGAACATCTGCTCCACGGGCAACCGCTGCATGGAGGTCGGCAAGGGCAACAACGACAAGGTGACGATCGGGTCGTGCCCGACCCCGTTTGTAGTGCCCGACCAGGCGTAATGCATCCGTAGCCTCGGTCACGTCAGGGACAACTCGCTGGAACACTGATCATGACTTCTCAACAACAACATGCTCGCCACGCCCCGCATCAAGCTCACGCCCGTTGCGCCCACCTTGGGCAACCCGGACCAGGTGCGCTCCGAGGAGACGACCATCATCCTGCGCAAGAACGCGTGGGATTGGGGGGTAAGTGTCTGTGCGTTCTCGGCTGATGCAGTCCGACTACGCCGTGCAGGACACGGATGGGTACACCATCGTCGTGGCGTCCGCGACGCCCGGCTCGGCGCGCGACAAGATGGAGGTGCTGAACGAGGTCGGCACGCACCTGTACGACATCAAGAACCGCATCAGCGTGCACCGCACGATGCAGGGCAAGCGCGACCAGCACGAGTTCTTCGAGGTGCAGAACGAGAAGACGCAGAAGGTCACGACAGACCACGAGTCTGTCATGACGGGCTGGTGGAAGGACACGTCGGGCACGCGCCGCTTCGCGATCAAGGGCAACTGGTACAAGGGCGAGGCGGTTGTCTGGCTCTCCGAGTCGAACCACCCGATCGGCACCATCCTCACGGCCGACTCGCAGGAGGGGTACCAGCGCGTCGGCGGCGAGACCAAGGGCGAGGAGGACTACCAGGTGCGCGTTGCGCCCGGCGTCGACCTGCAGGTGTTTGCCGGCATCTGCATCGCGGCGGAGACGATCCTCGCCAAGGCAGCTAAATAGAAGGGCATAGAAGCTACGTCATGTTTCCGGCGGATATTCTGCAATTATCAAGCACTGCGCTCCGATGCTCTAACCGCCAGGGTCAGGTGACAGCCCTGCAAATCTGATAAGGCCGGGGCTTGGGCAAAGCTTATCACGCCCTGAGCCCTGGGGCAGCTGGGCTGTTGCAACGCACGAGGACGACTGACAATTCATGCACATTGCGCTCCCTGACGGCATGTCGCGGCTGCTTCGTATCGGCCGACGCTCCTCAAGATCCAGTTAAAGCTTGGCGGCCGAATTGGGGTGACATTGGGGTCTAGCGATGTCGTGCTGCCAAGGCAATTCTCCTGCGCTTGTTTCGGTGGGCCGCGCACATATAAAGCAGCCGGCGAGAGAGGATGTCCTGCAAGCACCATGCGTCTCACTTACCTCGCCCTCCTCGGCAGCGCCCTCGCGGCGCGGCCCTTCCTGTCAGAGCCCGACACCGGCATCGAGGACGTCCTCGGCGACACGCCGAACGGCACCCTCGCCAACCTCACGCAGTTGGTCGGCCTGCCCGACTTCCAGTGGGCCGCGCGCCGCTACCTCCCGCCCGCCAACTACACCTACTACATCAACGGCGTCGCCGGCGAGTGGAGCGCCCGCAACAACCTCGAGGTCTACTACCGCTACACCTGGCGCCCCCGCCAGCTCGTCGACATCACGCGCATCCCCGACACGCTCCAGACGACTTTCCTCGGCTACAACTTCTCGGTCCCCTTCTACATCTCGCCCTGCGCCAAGGCGTTCGACGGCAACAAGGACGGCGAGCTCGGCCTCGTCAAGGGCGCCGCCAAGAATGACGTTCTGTACATCTCGTCGTCGTACTCGTCCCTCACCGTTGAGGAGATCTTTGGCGCGGCCGAGCAGAACCAGACCATGTTCCGCCAGATCTATCTGAATGGCAACATTACGTACGACGAGGCGCTGATCCGCCGCGTCGAAAAGGCCGGCGCCAAGGCGCTCATCTGGACCGTCGACTCGAACGCGGGCAGCAACCGCCAGCGCGCGGACCGGTACGGCGTCGGCTCCCAGTCGCTCTTCTCCGACAAGGCGCAGCTGTTCACCTGGGACTACTACGAGAAGCTGCGCTCCCTGACGCAGCTCCCGATCGCGCTCAAGGGCATCCAGTCGGTGCAGACGATCCGCGAGGCGGCCGAGCACAAGGTGCCCGCGGTCATTGTCTCGAACCACGGCGGCCGCTCGCTCGACGGCGCCCCGTCGCCGCTCGAGGTGCTGCTCGAGATCCACGAGGAGAGCCCCGAGCTCGTGAACCAGATCGACATCTGGGCCGACGGCGGTGTGCGCTACGGCGGCGACATCCTCAAGCTCCTCGCGCTCGGCGCCAAGGGCGTCGGTATCGGCCGCCCCTTCATGTTTGGCAACATGTACGGCACCGACGGCGTCGACCGCGTCATCCAGATCCTCAAGAAGGAGCTCATCACTGACGCGGGCAACGTCGGCATCCCGACGCTCCAGGACATCTCTCCCGACTACGTAAGTGCAGTAACGTACCCGCTGACCCCAGCTCCGCCTCCAGCCCAACTACTGGTACAGCTAGTCTCAAAATAGGTATGCATAAGCTTCGGGACCCCTCCCGTTTCGTATTATACTGTTCACAACTTGTTCTGCGATCTCTACGCCTTAACGTCGACCTCGGCAATGTCGACGGGCTCCTCGAGCACGCCGCTCTTTGCGCGGTCGCGGTAGTTGGCGCGGAGAGGAGGCGGAGGCTGCGCGCGCGAGATGCACAGCAGGCGGCGCTTGACAAAGTACGGCAGCCACTGCTTGGTCTGGTACGAGATGAAGCGGCCGCTCGGGACACTGAAGACGTCGTCGAGCTCCTCGAGCGAGATGCCCTTGGTCTCGGGGACGAAGAGGAAGATGAGCACGAACGCGATGGCGCACAGTCCGGCGTAGAAGCAGAAGGCGCCGAGCGGGGTCATGGCCGTCTTCATGGCGGGGAACGTGAGGCCGAGCACACCGGCGAAGAGCATGTTGACGAACACGGCGAACGCCATGCCCTGCTCACGCTGCACGGTCGGGAACACCTCGGCGCCGTAGAGGAAGCACACGGGGCCCTCGCCGACCGAGTAGAAGCAGGTGAAGAGGTAGATAAAGGTCGCGACGACACCGAGGCGTGCCTTGGAGCCGCCCTCGTGGTACGGGATCAGGAACGAGAGACCGGTGCCGAGCAGCGTGATGATCATGAACGGGAACGTCGACAGCAGCAGCGAGCGGCGGCCAAACGTGTCGATCGTGAACAGCGCGGGAATCGCGAACGTAAAGTTGAGCGCACCGAAGCCGAGCGACGCGTAGAGCGCCTGCTTGTCCGAGAAGCCGGACTCGACGAAGACGGTGGACGAGTAGAACGAGATAATGTTGATACCGCACATCTGCTGCGCCAGCATGACGACGGAGGCACCGACGGTCGCGCGGCGGATACGGGGGACGGCAAAGCAGTCGCGGAGACGCGCAAAGTAGCCGGCGCCGCGGGCCTCGGCGAGCTCCTCCATGTAGAGCACGTACGAGTAGTACAGGTCACGGGCGGCAATGATCTCGCCGTTGCGGATGCGCTCGTACGAGTGCAGCGCCTTGCGGTACTTGCCCTTCTTCATGTACCAACGCGGCGACTCGGGGCAGAGGTAGATGAAGCACGCGAGGGGGAGCGCGGGGATGAAGGCCGAGCCGAGCTGCAGGCGCCACGCAATGTCCTTGACGTTCATGACGACACAGTTGGCCGCGAAACCGAGGAAGATACCGAAGCACACGTACAGCTGCCAGCCCATGGTCAGGGCGCCACGAATGCGCGTCGGAGCAAGCTCGGCGGAATAGACCGCCACAGTGGCAGCTTTAGCGCCCATGCCAATTCCCATCACCAGACGGATCGCCAGCAGCTGGTACCACGTCTGCGAGAAGCCAGAACCGATAGGAGTCGCAACAAGGATGACAGCAGTGATGAAGATCTCTCCACGACGCCCGAACCAGTGATTCAGAGGGTCCGAGAGCCAGACTCCCGGAATCGCGCCGGCAAGGTAGGGAGCAGCGTTGATGACACCGACGATCCAGTCGCCACGGCTCTGACCGGCGCCCTTGGCGGGGCCGGCACGTGGGAGCAAGTCGCGGCGCTGGGCGCCCTCAGTCGCAGGCGGGGGGAGCAGGCCGAACTCGACGGGGAAGGACAGGTTGGCGCCGTTGGAGCCGGTCTGGTCCCAGCCCTGGACGGCGGCACCGAGGGCACAGACAAACATGGTGAAAACGAGCATCTTGGGGACGCGCCACTTGTGGTCGCGCTCAAAAGCGAGCTGGTTCTGCTCCTCGGGGGAGAGACACGTGAGGCTCTGGAAGTTGTCGGGGTCGCGCGCGACGAGGGCCGCCCGCTCAAAGAGGTCCTCCTTCTCGGCGAGGTCGTGCGTCGCGGCAAACTTGCGGCCCATGACTGCGACCTGCTCCTGCGAGTAGCGCTTCCGTCAGCCACGCTCGACATTGTGCTCACCTGCAGCGGGTTCTCGATGATCATGCCGCCGACCATGTGCGAGCCGCGACGGCCGGCCATGGCGTCGGCCTTTGCGTCGTCGTACTGCTCGATGTACTGATCCTCTTGCTTGTCGCTCTTCATGGTGGAAGCGAGTCTGGGGAGCCGGATGCGGGGGGGGCTGGGGCTTATATCGGTGGCGCCGGCGGCAGGCGGGGCAGGCGGGCCAGGTGGGACTCCTGTGCGGGCGCCTGAGACATCACGCGCTGCGCCCTTGGGTGTTGCGCGCGAGGGAGGGCGCAAGCGAGGTGTTGGACCCATGGGGCCGATGACGGCTTGGCGTGCTTGGCCGTGTCATCATTGGCTCCGAGGACGCCGTCTGTTTGGCTGGTCGCCGGTCGCCAGGGTTGTTTCAGGGTCCCGACGGCGATCCCCTGCCCTGACCCCACCGGGACGTGGGAACCTGGCCCCAGCCTCGGGCCGCCGTCCCAGAGCCGTCACGTGGGGTGACGGGGGTTTTTGCCCGTTCCGGTATAGTCGCGGGTGCGCCCTTCGATTCAGTCTGGTACACTGGACCCTGACACGTGATGCCCACCTGCTGCGGTGACGCCCCTGGGCCCCTTTGCGTTGTCGTTCGTACGACCAAATCTGCATTGCGATTGGTGTTGAATCGTCTTTCGAGGATCCAGAACCGTTAGGAGAGCCCAAGATAGCACTAGTCGCCCCCGTCTTTGCCGCGTTTGCCGGACGCTGCGCGATCGCGCGAGCACGATCGGACGCATACCGCCGGACCGGGGTAAGGCCGCCAAGACCGCGTGACGCTGGCATGGCCTTGTCTCAGCCTAGTGCGCGCGCAGCTACCGCCGGCAAAAGGGCTTGGCAGCTCGGTTTGGTGTGTGAACCGAAAGGCGCACACGACTACCGCGTACAGACTGCGATGTCTTTCTGGGCGGAGCGTATACATGATCTGCGCAGATATGCATGTGACTCTGGATCACCGAGAGTCATCGACGGGTGGGGCTGACTAATGCAGGGGGTGTCGGGTCCGAGGAGGTATGCGCCGACACAATTTGGGCCTGAATCGCGACCAAAGGAGCCCTGATAGCACCGAGATCCCTGTGGAGATGTCCAAAGATACCTCCGCAGCTCTTGGTTCTCTGCGTAGTTCCGGACCGCGCGGAGCATCGTCCGGCAGAGCTTTAGCTTGCGTGCTTAAACAGATCACGTGGGCGCATCTCGAAGCTGCACCGATGTGGCGGAATATCCAACATGCGCAGTTCGCCGATGATCGTCGCCGCTGTTGTTGCTCCGCACCCGTTTCAACTGCGCATCGGAGCTGAAACGACGAGGGCGCCGGAGGTGACTCACAGCTCCGCAGCCACAAGATTGCGGCACATTATGACCAAAGTCTCGACCGTCGGGGTCGTGTGTCTTCGCCTCGATCATCGAGTTCACCCTGCCTCACTCTGGTTTGTTGACATCGACAGTGGTTTGACACGGATATCACAGAGGCAGAGTTCGCGAGCAAGTCATGGGCGTCGCGACCCCGGTATTGGCACGGAGTTTGGCATTGACCTGGATCGTCTCCATGGCAAATCCGGCGTCATTGGTCCATCTCAAGTCCGCCATGTCGTCGGCGATGCATTCTCCCGGGGCCTTTCTATCAGTCTTCTAAAGCAGACGGGAGCCGCAGCGATAGTGAGATCAACGTACACACCCAGGTGGTCTGAAATTCCGCAAAATACTCCGAATCACGGTCGCTCCTGACACGGCCGGCACGCCAAGTGTCCGTGGTGACTCGCCAAGCCCACCCACTGGTAAGTAGGCAGGGCCATCTTAAGTGGACGTCCGGCGTCGCTCTGAAGCGTATGCTTCCGCCTCTGGGACAGCAATCTGCGTCTCCGCTCACTGACGTCGATGCTGGCCAGCGTTTTACATTGACAATGTCCTATCCCTGTCTACAGCGGTGGAGGCGAGAGTCTACCAAGTAGGCGACCAAGGGCAGTCGTACTTGTACAGCTCGCTGTCGCGAGTCTCCTTGCACTTGGCGTTGCCCCCGAGCGCGGGCCAGTCGCAGGTAGAGTTGTACCTGCCCTCAGCGGGGCGATACTGCTCCGCACACCGGCTGCCGACCGGCTCAAGCGGGCAGGCGTACGTCTTGCCGCCCTCATAGTTGTCGTTCGCCTTGCAGTCGGGCCCAAATGGGGCGGGTCCCAGGTCGGTGTTGCACGAGAGCATCTGCGTGTTGTACAGCGGCACGAGCGTCTTGTTGCAGTACGCCACTGCCTGGCCTGCCGTCGGCTCGGGGGCGGGGGCCGAGTGGGCCGCCGTCGCGGTGCCTGCTGCGCCCGGCCACCACAGGCTGCCAGTGAAGACGTGCGATTGAGCAGCGACAGCAGTGAGAAGGGGGAGGAGCGTGGTGATGGCAAGCATGGGGAGGTCTTGGACTTCGAGTCTGTCCTGGAATCGTCTATATACGACCATACCTGAAAGTTATGCATGTTGACCGAAGCCAAACGTGCCGGTGGCACAGCCTCGCAGCATGCGGCACACAGGGCCGCCTCTTCCGACGGAAGAGGACATGTGGACAGTCCCACGTTCCGTTCGATGGTGTCTTCCAATTGCACGCCGAGGACGAACACACCGATGAATGCAGAAGGCGGAGCGACCCTCAATCCGGCGGGAACGCACAGCCCCGTGTGCACTCACTCTGTGAAAGGTTCATTTGGACTCACGATCAGTGCGGGTGGTCCGCAGAATACATCGAAGACGGGCATCAGTGCGCAGACGCCACACGCGTCAGAGTCATCTGAGGTGCCGTGAAGCCAAGTTGATCGATCGTCTTCATCAATCGACGTCAGTTTCAATGCCGAATGCCGATGGATTGTTAAAATGACCTCAGAAGTGACCGACGTCTTGCTGATGAGCGATTGCAGTGCTACTTCATAATCGCACGCGTGACCCTTTGGGGTCATCTTGCAATGCATGCCTGTTGTGAGTCGTCAGTGACTTCAGCTCCCACCAGCTGTGTCGCAGCTGGTTCATGGTTAACTGGGTTGGCCGCCGAGGAGAGATCCCGGTGGGCACAATAACTCCCGTTCCTCGTCACTATGTCACATGCATTGCCCCACCCGATCGTCCCTTTACGCAGGAGGATAGTGCCCGCTCCAGAGCGCGAGTCCCACCGCAGCCCAGAGGAAGCACCACCAGATCCACGCCTTGCGCATACCCGCATTAGCAGCCAGGGTCCACCACAGCGTCGGGTCAGTAACCGCGAGACGGAGGGCAATCTGCGTGTGGCTCGTGAACAAGAGTGTCAGGGCGAGGAAGAGGCTGAGCGCGTACACGGCATCGAGGAGGGGTCCTCTTGCGACCTCGTCTCCCGTCGTCTCATCCTGCACGTCTCCCTTCACCTCCTTCACCTCCGCTGAGGCGCGGACGTTGTGCGCCGACGAGATCGCGTACGTCGTGGAAGCCTGGATGGACGCGAGCGAGTCGGCCCGGTGCGCCGCCTCCGAGTGCAAGCTGAGTGTCTTGCCCGAGAAGTACGCCCAAATGCCCGCCAGTGTCGGGATCAGAACGGGAAGCGCGATGATGAGGTTGGGGATCTGCTCCGGCGTCCAGTAGTGGAACAGGCCAATGTCCCAGTATATCTTCTGCACGGCGGTGTAGGCCAGTGGGAGGCTTTTGCTGCACCACTCGCGCCCGGGGCAGGCAATCTTCCAGATGTACCCATTGAAGACGATGAACGGGGCGGCCACGATCCCAGCGAGGGTCACGGCGATAACGGCGCGGATGAGGGTGCGACCGGGGTCGCGGAGCGCGGCGCAAACATACGACGTGAAGGGAATCGAACGCTTGACGTCTGGCGAAGCCGGACGGCGGGGCGCAAAGACGAGCGCCCACGCCAGCACAGCGGCGGAGAACACGCCGGTAGCACGGAGGGAGGTCGCAGCTGCGAAACACAATGCCGCACCCAGCCATCTCCTCTTCGAGCACGCGAGCAGTCCGGCAAAGTACGCCGCCGCGAACGCCGGTTCCGTGTACGTCAGCATCGCAGCGGGCGAGGGCGGGTACGCGTAGAGCAGACCGGCGGCGACGGCCGTCTTGCGGTTGAACAGCCGGCATGTGAGTCGATACAGCGCCAGGCTCGCTGCAATCCGTGCAATGAGGTTGATGGCGATGGCGGCAATCTCGATGTCGTCCGGTGTGCTCGTGACGCCCTCGACCCAGAGTCCGCGCCCACCGCCTGCCTTGCTGATCAGGGGAGGATCGATGCCGAGCCATTGACGGATGGAGCCGACCGCATTTGCGCCAGAGTGAAGGAGTGCATGCCAGCCAGGCTGGAATGCAACTTGCTGCTCGTACTCGTACCCGTTCCTCGCGACTGAGAAGAAGTGGACGGAGTCCCAGCGCCCAAAGACGGAGCCGGATGTGTCGAATCGGGGCAGGTAGGAGAGCGCATTGAGGGCGAGCAGCGTGCCGATGTAGCTCGTCGCCGTGACTGCCGTCAGGAGGTACTCGTCCGTCGACCTGTGGCGAGACTTGGGCGATCCGGGTGTCGCCGTCGGCGCAGCAAATGTGCGCGTCATGGTTGATGGTGGTTTGGGTGGATGGAGAAGTGACGAAGTTGACGTTACGGGGGCCCCGGCACCGGACCTCCACCGCTTTGTGGAAATGCCTCGCAACGATGATTCCTACTAATGCATATGCTTTGTACTTTTGGCTCAGAGTTCCGGTCAAACCTATCAAGATAGTCTGCTACTACGACCCTTACTATTACGACGCTTAGACCATTCGCTTGTCGCCCTCCTTGACGTCCTTCTCCCACTGGTCCTTTCCAGTCGCAGCGGCGGTGGCGTTGCGCGCGGCCTGGCCGGCGACAGCGGTGCCAAGACCACCGGTAGCGGGACGGGCAGCAGCGTCAAGCCACGTGTACCGCTTCACGCGCTGGGCATCCGCCTCGAGGTCGGTGACGGTGTCGCGGATCTGGTCGTTGGCCGCCTTGGAAGCAGCCTGGAGCTGGTCGGCCGCGTTCTGAACGGCGTCCTGGCCCTTGGCGGCGAGCTCGGACGCCTTGGCCTGGGCCTGCTGCCACTGCTCCTGGGCCGCCTTCTGCGCCTGCTCAGCAGCCGACTGGGCGTCCTTGGCCGCCTGGCTGGCGTAAGACTGCACAGTCTGCGACGCCTGCTGAGCACCCTCCTTGGCCTGCTGGCCGAACTGCGACGCCCAGTCCGAGGCGGTCTGGGCCGCGTCCTGCGCCTGCTGCACGCCCGACTGCCACGCCGCCTGGGCCTGGTCGGCGGCAGACTGGGCCGCAGACTTGGCCTGCTCGGCCGCGTTCGACGCCGCGTCCTGCGCCTTGTCGACGCTGTCGCCGAGACGCGAGCTGGCGGCCTGCGCAAACTGCTCCGCGCGCGACTTGGCGTGCTCGGCGCTCTTCTCGACCTGGTTCACGCTGTCGCCAATGCGCGAAGAGGCAGCCTTGGCGAAAGCCTCGGCACGCGACTGCGCGTTCTGCAGGCTCTCCTGCGCCGAGTCCTTGGCCTCGCGGCCCCAGTGCTGCGCCTGCGCCTCGGCCTCGTTGCTCATGCGGCGGCCGGTACGGCGCCACGCGTCGGCCTGCTTCTCGGCGTCGCGGAGCGTGCCGTGCACGCTGTCCTGAACCTGCGAGGCGGCGTCACGACCGGCGCGCTCGACCTCGTTCAGCCTAGCGTGGAGGGCGTTCTGCGCCTCGGTCGCCTTCTTGGCCGCCTCGCGCGAAAACTGGGCTGCCCAGTCCTCGACCTCGGCCTCGGCCTTGGACACGCTGTCCTGGATCTGCTGGCCCCACTGGGACGCCTGGGCCGAGGCGTCCTTGCTCCACTGCGACGCCTGGCGCTGCGTCTCGTCGATGCTGTCGCGGAGCGAGGCAGAGGCCTGCTTGCCCTTCGCCTCGGCGTCGTTCAGGGTCGAGTGCAGAGCGTCCTGCGCCTTGGAGCCGTAGCGCTCGGCCTTGCGCTGCGCATCAGTGAGGCCGTCCTGCGCCTCCTGTCCGATCTCGCGCAGGTTGGCATCGACCTGGCGGCCCCAGGAGCGCGCCTGCTGCTTCGTGTCCTCGACGCTGTCCTGCGCCTGCTGGCCCCACTTCTGGGCCGTGCGCTGGGCGTCGTCGGCGCCGTCACGGAGGGTGGCATCGGCCTGGCGACCCCAGGAACGAAGACCGCGCTCCGCCTCGTTGAGCGTGCTGTGGAGCTTGTCCTGGGCCTGGGAGCCGGCGCGCGAGGCCTGGTCCCCAGCGGAGCGGAGGCCGTCCTGCGCCTCCTGGCCGATGTCGCGGAGGTTGGCGTCGACCTGGCGTCCCCACGACTTGGCCTGCTGCTTCGTGTCCTCGACCGAGTCCTGGGCCTGCTGGCCCCACCTCTGCGCCGTGCGCTGCGCCTCGTCAAGTCCGTCGCGGATCGTGGCGTCGGCCTGGCGGCCCCAGCTGCGCGCCTTGCGCTCCGCCTCGTCGGCTCCGTCGCGCAGGGAAGCGTCGGCCTGACGGCCCCAGCTCTTGGCCTGCTGAGCCGCATTGTCGGCCGCGTTCTCGGCTCCAGCCTCGGCCCGGCGGCCCCAGCTCGTCGCCTTCTGGGCCGCGTCCTCGGCACCCTCCTGCGCCTGCTGGCCCCAGGAGCGAACGGTCTGCTTGGCGTCGTGCGCCGTGTCCTTGGCCTGGTCAGCCCACGAGCGCGCCCTGCGCTCCGCCTCGTTGAGCGTCGAGTGCAGCTTGTCCTGGGCGTGCTCGCCGTACGACTCGGCCTGGCGGCCAAGCTGGCGGGCGTGCTCCTGCGCCTTCTCGGCACCGGCGCGGACGGCATCGTGAGCCTGCTGGCCGTACTGCTCCGCCTTGCCCTTGATGTCGGTGGCCGAGTCGAGGACGCGGCGGCGAGCGTCGAGCTCGCGCTCCTTCTGGCTCTGCTGGCGCTGGACGTCCTGGAGCGAGCGGCCGAGAGACTGCGCCTCGTTGCGGATCTGCGCCGCCTCGGCGGCCACACGCGACTCGTCCCACGGCAGGTTGCGCGCGGCGTAACCCAGTCCGACCTGGTCCTTCCACGACGACGTGATGGCGAGGCCGTTCGGCGACTCGAGCAGCGACGAGATCTCGTTCTTGATCAGACGAGGAGTGCCGACACCGCGGTAGCCGAAGGAGGTGTACAGCTGGACCATCGAGGCACCGGCGTGCGCAAAGTCGAGCGCGTCCTGGCCGGTGAAGATGCCGCCGCAGCCGATGATGGGAATGTTGGGCGGGAGGAGGGGGCGGAGCTGGCGCACACCGTTGAGCGCATACGGGAAGAGGGGCTTGCCGGAGAGACCACCAGTCTCGTTCGCGTTCTCGCTCTTCAGGCCCAGGTCGCGGCGGATCGTCGTGTTCGAGATGATGACACCGTCGACGCCCGCCTTGCGAACCGACGCAGCGACGTCGGCGAGCTCGTCCTCGGACAGGTCGCAGGTGACCTTGACGGCGACCTTCGGGAGGCCGTCGACCGCAATGGCGTTGCGCTCCTTGACGACGGCGGAGAGGAGGCGGGTGAGCGAGTCACGGCTCTGGAGGGCGCGGAGGCCCGGCGTGTTCGGCGACGAGACGTTGACAACGAGCACGTCAGCATAAGGACCGAGCAGCTGGACGCCCTTGATGTAGTCGTCGTCCGAGTCGGCAGCCGATGTCTTGTTCTTGCCGAGGTTGACGCCGAGGACGTGGTCCTTCTTCAGTGAGCGGGGAACGCCCCTCGGCGGGACGAGGTTGGCGGCGTCAGGGTTTGGGAACAGGTCGGGGTGCTCCTTGGCGAAGCGGTGGACACGCGAGCGCAGGTGCGTGAGGGCGGCGCCGTGTCCGAGCGAGTTGAAGCCGTAGCGGTTGATCGCGGCATCATCCTCCTCGAGGCGGAAGAAGCGGGGCTTGGGGTTGCCCGGCTGCGGGAGCGGCGTCACGGAGCCGACCTCGACGTAGCCGAATCCAATGTCGAAGAGGCCGTCGATGCACTGCGCGTCCTTGTCAAAGCCGGCAGCAATACCGACGGGGTTCTGGACCGGCAGGCCAAAGATCTCGGTGTGCAGCTCCGGCCCGTCGACGCCCATGTCCCCGGGACGAGCCCACGACGGGAGCGAGAGCAGCTTGACGGCAAACTTGTGTCCCTCCTCGGGGGTCAAGAGCTTGCGGAGGGCAGGCATAATGAGGTGCTCGTGGGCGATGCTCTCCGAGTCGTAGTAGTACGCGAGCAGGAGGGCGCCGGTGCCGACGGCAAAGGTGCCGGCGACGAAGCGTCCCGGCTTTGAGCGCCGAAAGTTGGAGGCATGTCGGACCTGGCTGAGCTGTGTGGATGAGCGGGCAGCGACGGCCCTGTGAGCGAGCGGCCTCGATGCTTGCCTGAACATGGTGGTGAGTGGTTTTTTTCAAGACCAAGATGCGGTCGCGAGATGGAGCTCGGTGTGAGGAGTCGCGACCCACCCGGGCCCGGAAATGACGATATCGGGCGGAAAAGTGGCCTATCCGAGGGCGGCTGCGACGTCATTGATCGCCGCAGATTTAGGCGAGCGGGGAGTGGAGGGATGAGGCGTGTGTGGAGATAGGCTTCTTACCACGCGATGTCCACGCGAGCACCACGCGCCTAGGCGTGCCGGACTAACCTGGCCGAGCCTGACTAACGGTTCACCCATGTTAGAGCGGATGATGACGTCCGCCCTGGGGATCGGGAACTGGGGTCGGAGCGGAGCCCGGGGACTTAATAGTGACTGACGTATAACATCCCGCAGTGGACAACGTTCTCACCTCTTCCTCATCCTTCATCTCATCCACAACCACCATGTCCAACTCTCTCGACGCCCTCAAGGCCTCTGGCACCACCGTCGTCTCCGACTCGGGAGACTTTGAGTCCATCGCCGCCTACAAGCCCCAGGATGCCACCACCAACCCCTCCCTCATCCTCCAGGCCGCCAAGCTCCCCCAGTACGCCCCCCTCATCGACTCGGCCATCGAGTACGGCAACAAGGCCTCGGGCGACATTGACCAGAAGACCGACGCCGCCCTCGACGCCCTCCTCGTCAACTTTGGTACCGAGATCCTCAAGATTGTCCCCGGCCGTGTCTCCACCGAGGTCGACGCCCGCTTCTCGTTCGACACCAAGGCCACCATTGACAAGGCCCGCCACCTCATCGAGCTCTACAAGGAGCGCGGTGTCGACAAGGAGCGCGTCCTCATCAAGATTGCCTCGACCTGGGAGGGTATCCAGGCCGCCCGCCAGCTCGAGCAGGAGGGCATCCAGTGAGCACAGAGAGTCGACATTGCTGACGCCCAGCTGCAACCTCACCCTTCTCTTCTCCATGCCCCAGGCCATCGCCGCCGCCGAGGCTGGTGTCACCCTGATCTCTCCCTTCGTCGGCCGTATCCTTGACTGGTACAAGAAGGCCACCGGCAAGGAGTACACTGCCGAGGACGACCCCGGAGTTGTCTCCGTCCGCGAGATCTACACCTACTACAAGCAGCACGGCTACCCGACGATTGTCATGGGTGCGTCGTTCCGCAACACTGGTGAGATCAAGGCTCTTGCCGGCTGCGACTTCCTCACGATCTCGCCCAAGCTTCTCGAGGAGCTCAAGAACTCGACCGACCCCGTCCCCCAGGTCCTCTCGCCGGAGAAGGCCAAGGCCGCCAAGCCCCTGCAGAAGGTCTCGTACATCAACGACCAGCCCAAGTTTGCCTGGGACCTGTTCGAGAACCAGATGGCGTTCGAGAAGCTCACCGAGGGCATCCGCGGCTTCGCCAAGGACGGCAACACGCTCAAAGAGCTCCTCAAGGGCAAGATTTCCGCTTAAGCACGAGCAGTGCGTTGTGTATCCCGGAGTCAGCAGTTCTTTAATGCAGAAAACAAAATCGTAGTCACTGTTAGTTTAGTCGCTATGAAGCGTGATCATCGCACAGTCGACGTGGGCAGTACGGACTTGAACCTTGACCCGATGGAACGTTCGCTGTATTCTCGGCAAGGTGGCGTCCACGGGCGTCTGGGACTCCAGACTATGACTCGACCGAGATACTCACCCGATGATGCAATATAAGCGCACCTCCACACTGCGTCTCCTCGACTCTCACTATCCCACCATGCTGAGGACGTGGGTACGACGAGCGCCGCATGTGCGGCTGCCCGCTAACGCGGCCGTGTTTCCCCTCGGCACGGGCCGGGCAGACGAGACGAGGGCGCTGCTCCGCTTCCCCGAGTCCGGGTGGACAATCGACGACAGCAACACGGAGGGCTGGGCCATCGTGGGCGACAGCGAGGGGCGCAGGTTAGCTGTCGAGGTGAGTTGCGAGCGTAGCGTAGCGAGCATGCGACCCTCGACATCGCTAACATCAGACTCTTCTGGGACGACACCGCATCCTCCCCGCCCAACCGGGCGGCGCTCTCCCTGTAACCCAGTCCGCGCCGCCCTCAAGTGTAGACCCAGACGCATGGCAGGCCGTGCGGTACCTGGCCTTTGCGCGGCCGGCGGCTTCAGGCGAGTTCACAGACTACACTGCCCGTTATGGAGCATTGCTGGACGAGGACAAGCTCTCTTTGCGCGAGAAGCTGTCCCGTTCCGCGGCCGCTCTGCCGGGACAGGAGGACCGGCCCATCCCCGAACAAGTCATGGATGGCGCGTTCACCCTCATGGGCCTGAATGAGCTGGCAGACCTGCCCGCCATCGCTTTAAGCAGCGGGCAGACGCGCAGGGCACGTATCGCCCACGCACTCATGTATAGACCCCGCGTCCTCCTGCTCGAGGATCCCATGGCTGGTCTCGACGCGCCCAGTCGCGAGCGGGTTAGGAGTCTGCTCGGACAGCTGAATGCGAGTGGGCAGCCGCGGGTCGTGCTCGTGCTCCGGGACAGGGGCGAGGACACACTCGCCGACTGGGTCAGTAACGTTGTCGAAGTGCGCAATGGTCGTGCGTGGCTGGGGACGAGGGACGAGTGGGTCGCCCGCCGGCGCGAGCGGGGGGAGAGGGAAGCGGCGACGTATGCCGCGAGCGAGAGCGCCGGCCCACCGATCATCGAGCTGAACGGCGTCTCGGTGTCGTATGGGCAGGGATCCCGCCCCGTGCTCAAGAATATCGACTGGAGCATCCGCCCAGGTTCAAGGTGGCATTTGCAGGGCAGTAACGGAAGCGGCAAGACGACGCTGCTCTCAGTCATGCTCGGCCTGCATCCGCAATCCTACTCGCTCCCGGCCTCGAGTCTGACCATCTTTGGTCAGCCGAGACGAAAGCTCGCAACAACGATTCTGCGCCGCAAGATTGGCCATTCGTCGCCCGAAATCTTTGCCGCCTTCCCGCGCAACATGGCCCTGTCGGCGTACGATGCGATTGGGACTGGGTTCGAGGGCGTGTTCGCCCGCCGTACTCTGACGGCTGAGCAGAAGGCCACAGTCCTGGACCTGATTGAGCGCTTCAAGCCCTCCCTCCGCTCTGCCAAGGATCCCGAGGACATCCCGACGAGGGAGATTGCACTCCGCGACTTTAGCCACTTTACGCCGCCTCAGCAGGCCCTCTTGGTCTTCCTGAGAGCGGTGGTGGGACGCCCCGAGTTACTGGTACTCGATGAACCGACGCAGGGCATGGATGAGGAGATTTGGGCGAGGTGTCGCGAGTTCCTAAAGGAGGAATGGGAGGGTGGCGTTAAGCAGGCGGTGATTGTCGTGAGCCACTATGAGGACGAGGTGCCGTGGAACAATGGCCGGGTGCTGAGGTTGAACCAGGGCGTGGCCGAGTTTGAGTAATGCGTCACATTGTTTATAACTATGGATTGCGTTCAGTCTAGACCCGCAACATCCTTGTACTTCCTCTCAAGCTCGCGGTGCTTCGCGACGAGGTCATCGAGCCTAGCGCGCTGGGCGGGGATGCGAGTCTCGGGCGGCTCGTATGCGCCCCCCCGGCGCTCCCTCAACCACGCCTCGTGCGACTCTTCAGACTCGACGAAGCGTGCCAAATCGGTGCGGAATCCTTCCTCGTTGCGGAAACTGAGAATGTCGCCGCGCGGCTCGCCCTAAAGTTAGATGGAATGAAGAGGCGACTTACATCAACAATGCGGTGGATCAGAGGCACGCCGCCCCCGCCCCATGCGTCCAGCGTCCAGTTGGCATCGGACATGACCCTGTGGGTTAGCTGACTCTGTACAGCGTGTGTAGGGGCACCGCTCCGCTCGGACTTGGTACTCACTCGTTCATCTGCAGCCGCACAACGATCGCCGTAGCGTCAGAAGTACCGAAGAAGTCTTGGATGTACGGCTCCATCTTGGCGCATGGCGGGCACCAGTGCCCGCTGTCGTCGCTCGAAGAGGTGAGGATGACAATGGCGGAGGGCGCCTTGGCGAGTTCGTCCTTCAGACCTGCGAGACTGGGGTCAGCTTTATTGGAGGGAGGACTCACTTTGTTTCGATCAAAGGCATGTTTCGTTCTTGGAGTGAGTTTGAGTGTTAGTGAAAGAGAAGTTGAGTCAAGGAAGGCAATGAGTGCATGGGTGGCCAGCTTTGCATCGGTCAGCTGAGGACGGCACGTCGCGTCGTTAGCGCGCTCGTGGATGAGCTAGTGTCGAGAAACGACGCTATTGCAGTTCCGGTCACTAGTGCATTAGTTGTTGGCATGGGTCGGAGCCCCACGTGGCACCACTACTGCCTCAGTCATACACGCAACAGTCCGTCTGCACGTCTACAGTCTAGATGATGCATCACATATGGCTCTGCAGCCAGCTCACCACCTCCCAGCTCAGATCCGGCCTGACCGAGTCGCCCAGGAACGTCCCCACGCCATCCAAGCCCTCATACCTCAGGCCAAGGCAGCACTGCGCGATGCGTTCCAGCGCATCCTCATCTTCCTGCTGTTCCTCTCCTCCTCTTCCACCCGACGTAATCTCCAGCGTCATACTGTTGATGACACCATGCTTGCTCTCCACCTCGCACCGCACCTCGCCACACGACAGCGAGCCGCTGAAGTGGTTCTCGAACGCCGGCGTCTGGCCATACGCCCACTCCCACCCTTGCAGCTCGGCCATGCCGTCCCTGATCCCCGCCTGGCCCTTTGTGTCTACGAGACCTCCGCCAAACACGCTCTGCTCACTCACGATCTGGACGTCGCTGGGGCCGTAGACATCGGCAAACTCGCCCAGGACGGCGGACACAAAGGAGCCATGTGTGATCTCGCGAGCCGAGGGGGAGCGGTGCAGATTGATCGTCGAGACGGGCACGCGCATGCTCTCGACGCCCTTGCTGACCATGTTGGGCGAGGAGGAGCGGAGCGCACGGCCGAGGGTCGAGAGGTCGGAGGAGATCAGCATTGTGCCGTGGTGGTAGGCGCGGTGCTGGATGATCTTGTACGCGGAGCCGGAGACCTGGGCCGTCAGCTGGAGGTAGAGAATTAAGCATACCTTGAGCTCCTCCGGATCGCGGACTACGACGTCGTGCCTCGCGTTTGTCGTGCAGGGCGGCACGTCGAGCCTTTCCCTCACAGCTTTCGCAACGAGGATGGCGCCCGCGGACCGCGTGAATGCGAGACGCGGGAGGACGATGGAGAAATTGGTGTTGCCCATGTCCTTGTCGTCAGCACCTGCAGCCCTACAGAACTTACATGGTACACTGTCCCTCCACCTGATCGTCTCCGGACCATCGGCAGACCCAGTTCCCGCAGTACCCGCGGCGTCGTCTCCTTCCATGGGTTCTGGTTACGCCCGATGACGACGCATGGTTCGTTCCTGTACAGAAACAGGATGGGCTGGTTCCGTGGTGTTCGTCGCAGCAGCCAGTCCTCGAACGAGAGGTTGAAGTAGATGTCGTTGGATGTTGAGACGTAAGTCGCGGGCTGACGTTAGTTGGGCAGGTGGGGGTGACTCACTGCTGATAGCTCGACTGTCTCAGGAGCAGCTTCGCTGTATCTCTGGACAGTGTAGGAGAAGGCTCTTCGTCCAGCGGAGTGTATCCGTGTGAGTCGTATTGATCTGAGCGAGTTCATGGTGGTGTGTCGGAATGGTCGATGTGCCTTGGGGTGGACGGAAATCAGTGATTGTGATGACCCAATTATCCGAGACTGGTCCGACTGATAGGAGTGGAGTCACGTGTCCGAGGTCGGAGATTAGGGTGTAGTCTCCCACGGATGCCCCCATCGGCCAAGCCCTCTGGCTGACTGTACCGGCTCGGACCAAGCGGGGGTGGATTCCGGGGCTCAGCCGCCGACGTGGGGCGGGACTTGCAACAGACAACGCAACGCAGAGAGCATCGTCATGCATCCGCCATCAGCTGAGCATTCATAACCAAAGCATAAGGGGACAACTGTGCATCGTCGTATCTCCTCTTCTCACCACCTCTCATACACTCATTGTCCAACGGGATCGCCTAGCCGACCGCGGACATCGACGCAGCATCGAGGCTCGAGTTAGCCGAACCAACCACCGCCCACCCACGGAGACCTCCACCGGATCCATTACCCGAATTACACTCTTAGCAACCATGCGCCTCCCCATTAAACAGGCCACTGCTGCTCGCTGCATCGCTAGATCCTCCCCTTCATCTTCCCTCCTCACACGCTCCTTTGTCACCACCATGCCTGCAAAGAGCAAGACATTCGAGAACCAGGACAAGCTCCCCCGCCTCCCCGTCCCGCCCCTCGACCAGTCCCTCCAGGGATACATCAAGTCGCTTGAACCCCTCGTCGAGGCAAAGGTACGTCGATTTACTAGTGGCACTCCTGGAAATTGTTGACCCCGCGCCCGGATCAACAATTCCCGGTGCCAACACACCATCCGAAACCACACCATGCTGACACCCATCCAGTACGGCCAGCATGGATTCCAGAAGGAGATGGAGAAGCGCAAGCTGTACGCCAAGGACTTTGCCAGCGGACTCGGCGCCAAGCTGCAGGAGCGTCTGAAGGACCTCGACCACATTTCGGCCAACAACTGGCTCGACGACAACCTCTGGCTTGCTCTGGCTTACCACACGTGGCGCGCGCCCTCATCGTCAACTCAAACTGGTGGCTCACCTTCAAGGAGGACCCGCGCAACCCCGCTCCCCCCGTCGCGCCCGGAGCGACGAACAAGACGGTCGTGCCCCTCGACCCGAATCCGGCCAAGACGCTGCCGCCGGGCGCCCAGGGCGGCGGCCAGGCGTGGATCGACGCCCACCCCAACAAGAAGGACTACTACTACCCCGTCAAGTACGAGGATGTGACGCAGCGCGAGTGGATCACCGAGTGGCAGGTGCGCCGTGCGGCGTGGCTCGTGAGCCGCTTTGCCGGCCTGCGCACCATGGTGCAGAAGGAGGAGGTGCCGCCCGAGGCCTCGCGCCTGGGCCCGATGTGCATGAACCAGTACCGCATGCTGTTCAACATTTCGCGCATCCCGCTGCCCAACTGCGACGCCTTCTCGGCGCAGGACAACGACGCGCGCCACGTGACGGTGCACATTGCCGACTTTGTCTACTCTGTCGACGTGTTTGAAAAGGTGCCCAAGGGCGAGATTGCGAACCCGCTGCCGGTCGGCGAGATCGAGTCGCTTCTGCAGGCGGCTGTGGCCGATGCCAAGTCGCGCGTCGAGAAGGGCGAGAAGCCCGCGCAGGTCGGCATCCTGACGGCCGACGACCGCGACACCTGGGTCGTGAACCGGGAGCGCGTGCTGCTGCACTCGCCCAAGAACCGCGCGAGCATGGACATGATTGACCGCTCCCTCATCGGCCTTTCGCTCGACACGTACACCCTGCCGACGCTGCCGGCGCGCGACGACCCGCTGCGCATGGCCCAGGTCGATGCGCAGATGCACAACGCGCAGGGCGGCCTGAATGGCGGCGAGAACAGGTGGTTCGACAAGTGTCTCACGGTCGTGGTCGAGACCAACGGCCGCGCAGCGATCATGGGCGAGCACTCGCCCGTCGACGCGCTGATCCCCTCGTACGTCGTCGACTATGCGCTGAACGAGCCCGTCGACGACTCCAAGTTCACCGGGGGCAAGGCGGCCAAGCTCGGCGAGGGCTTCCAGCGGGAGGACTTTGAGATCTCGCCCGAGATTGCCGACGAGATCGAGGCGTGCCGTGCGCGCAACCAGGCGATCCTGGACGACAGCGACTGCCAGACGCTGTGGTGGGCCGAGTACGGCACGGACTGGATCAAGAAGAACGGCAAGGTTGCGCCGGACGCGTTCGTGCAGCAGGTGCTGCAGCTGGCCTGGTTCCGCGACCAGGGCTACCCGGTCGCCACCTACGAAACCGCCTCGACGCGCTTCATGAAGCACGGCCGTACCGACGTCATCCGCTCTCTGTCGCCCGAGAGCCGCGCCTTTGTCAAGCTCATGCAGGACAAGAACGCGTCCCAGAAGCAGCGGTACGACGCCCTCGTCGCCGCGACCAAGGAGCACTCCAAGCTCACCATGGACTCGTCCTTTGGCAAGGGCTACGACCGGCACATGATGGGCCTCAAGGTCCAGCTGCGGCCCGGGGAGGCGCACCCCCTCTTCGACGACGAGCTGTACAGCAGCTCCCAGGCTTGGAAGCTGTCCACCTCGGGTCTCTCTTCCGGCATTCAGTTCCACGCCACGGGCTTCGGCGCCCCCTTCGCCGACGGCTACGGCATCAACTACATGGCCGGCCCCAACCTTATCAAGTTTGGCCTCGAGAGCAAGGTGTCCTGCGACACGTCGTCAACCACCAGGTTCAAGCACGAGATCGTCCAGGCGTTCCGCGACATGCGCGAGCTGTGCGAGGCGCAGACCGATGCCCCCGCCAAGCTCTAAGCACACTCCGAGCGAAGCGAGGAGTGCGAGGAGCGCAGGCGGCCGTGCTGCGTCGCCGAGCGTAGCGAGGAGTGCGAGGAGTACGGGCGGCCGTGCAGAGAGCCGAGCAGGTAGTTCCGGACGCGGCTCGGTCCCCGCAAGAGGGCTTGGGCGACGTGGCGCGGAGCATGCGGGGCATGCGGGGCGGACCTTGGGGGGCTCGGGTATGAACGACCGGGCCAAAGCCTAGCAGTAGAAAAAGTAAACATTCGTTTCCATGACCATGGCTCTTTCTTTCCATCAATCACAAGACGTTTTCACACGTTGTATGCATAATTCTGGTTTCCACTTTTCTAGGTGACATCGGGCAGGACAGTCGACAGTCGACAGATGATGGACGTTGCACCCGGTCCCCCAAGAGCTCAGAGCGTCAGGGACGTGTCTTGTCGGATCTGCCACTATGCTTCCTCTTCACTTCACTCGTGCATCTCGCGGATTGATCGAATTCGCAACAAGCCCCAACTCTGCTTACAGTATGCTTATAGACATTTGACTCGACCGTCCTCTTGCACAACCTAGCTAATAAGTGTACGCCCCGTATCTGTCGAAACGCCTTAACTCGCGGAAACCGTCTCGTCAATCGAAGGGCGCGTTACTGGAATTTCTGTAGGTCCGTTTGCATCCTGCTACGGGTTGCGGGCGTGGCCGGCGCTCATGGGGTTGTGAGCGACGGCGGGGCCGGGACCATCCACTCGCGCGAGCGCAGCGAGTGAGCGAGTGATTGAGGGAGGTTGGGGAGTGACATGAGGGTCAGATCTGCCGATGGAGCATTTGGTCATAAGTACATTCGTCGTTTACATGGTCTAACTCTGGCCGTCAGTTACCGTTGGGTCCGAGTCAAACTCACCTGTATCTACCGTCCTCTGTATCCCTCCTTCTGATCCACCATCCCGTCTGAACCCCGTGCAAGCTCGCCATCGCTCGCTGTCGCTCGCTCAGGCCCGTCCATTCAAGAGCTGACCCAGCTGCGCCACGCCCAACTTGAACCGTTCGCTCTCAAACCATTCTGGCCGGATATCGGCGGGGTCTGCGCGGAACATGCGGTTCTGCGGGATGGGCTCGTTCCGCAGGGCCTGGAGTGTTAGCTGATGACGGACGTTCAGCTTGGTGGGGACATTACCTTGCCATTCTTGACCTCCTTCGCATCGTCCTTAGCCGGGGAGTCAGGGGAAGGAGCAGAGTCTGCTGGCGCAGACTCCGCAGACCCTGCAGACTCCTTTGGCGGCAACCCAGCCAAACTCTCCTCGGTATGCCGCACGGCCTTTGCGGGGGTGGCATGGAAGCTCCTCGGCAGGCTTAGGAAGGGATTCGAGATGACGCGGAGGAGCAGATTGTGCAGCGCCCTGAACACCGAGACAATGTCGCTGTCCTTGATCGCGGCATCGACCAGCGCTACGCTCAGGACGAGCCGGAGCTTCGTCGTCGTCTGGAAGCCGTAGCTGGGAGTTAGCTGGTTGAGCCGACAAAGCTTTCAGCGGGGAGAGAGGGAAGGTGACAAGGGAACGATAGAGTGCTCGCTTCGCTCGCAACTCACAAAGCCATGTCCTCCATACAAAACAGCAGTCCGAGATAAGAGTCAGCCGGCCGTGACGGCGTGCTCATCATGACGACTGTGGTCAGCTCACGGTTCCGTTCTCCCAGCTTGCTAGTCAGCAGCTATTTGCCCCGCTGCACCCGCTCCGGTTGCCCGGTCGGTGAGGCAGATTGCAGCACCTCGTTCCGCTCGGTGCTCGCTCGCGGTACTCACTCCTCTCCTCAATCACATCGACCGCCGCATGCGCCAAATGGTACGCGCGCATCTCGTCTTCCGGTCCCGTGAACGCGTGCACGTACAAGGGCGCATTGTCGGGACCAAGGATAGCGACGGAGGTCAGGTGAAGTGGGACGGAGGGGGGTCTGTCGCCCATAGTTTTCTTCTCGTTGGTGTTGGATGTTGGAGGTTAGTTGGATGTGCGTTGGGTGGATCGAGGAAGGCGGGGAAGGTGGTGAGCAAGGTGCTTGACAGGGTGGAGGTCGATGACACCACGGGTGTTTGATCCCGCTCAACGGTCCGAGCAAGACGCCGATCTGGCGACTGACTTTCCAGAACCACACTCCCGGACCCAGTTCACTATCTACTCCTTGCTCGCTCGAGGTTGGTGCTGTTGAAATGCATGCTAGATGTTACACTGGCCTGGGGAAGGCACTGTTCTATGATTTGCTATTGCGATATATAAATTTTGGTGGTAAAGTGTCTATTTGGCACTGGCGGCTCGCTATAGCTCGCCGCTTAGAAGAGACCGACAATGTCACCCGTCTCGGGGTCGAGGTCAATGTCGTAGAAGCCCGGACGGGTGGTGAGGCCGGGCATGGTGCTCATGTCGCCGACGAGGGGGTAGACGAAGGACGCGCCGGCGGAGAGACGGACGTTGCGGATGGGGAGGGTGAAGCCGGTAGGGACGCCCTTCTTGCTCGGGTCGTCGGAGAGCGAGAGCGCCGTCTTGGCCATGCAGATGGGGAGGTTGCCGTAGCCCTGCTTGGTGTAGCGCTCGACCTCGGCCTTGGCCTCGGGGGAGAGCTCGACGCCGTCGGCGCCGTACATCTCGCGCGCGATGATGGCCATCTTCTCCTCGAGCGGCAGCTCGGTGTCGTACAGGAACTTGAACTGCGACTCGTCCTTGCACGCCTCGACGACGGCGTTGGCGAGCTCGACCGCGCCCTCGCCGCCCTTCGCCCAGTGGTTGGCGGGAACGGCATAGTCGGCGCCATGCTCGAGGGCGTACTTTTGCACGAGCGCCATCTCGGCGTCCGTGTCGTGCACAAACTTGTTGATCGCGACGACGACCTTGAGGCCAAACTTCTTCGCGTTCTCAATGTGCTTGCCCAAGTTTGCGCAGCCCTTCTCGAGCAGCTCGAGCGACTCCTCGGTGTACACCGCGTCGAGGGGCTTGCCGGGCGAGACGGCGGGGCCGCCGCCGTGCATCTTGAGCGCACGGATCGTCGCGACGAGCACGACGGCGTTGGGCGAGAGACCCGACACGCGGGTCTTGATGTTGCAGAACTTCTCCATACCAATGTCGGCACCGAAACCGGCCTCGGTGATGACATAGCCCGCGCGGTCCTCCGAGTCGCCCTCCTCTGTACCGGCGAGCTTGAGCGCGATGCGGTCCGCAATGATGGACGAGTTGCCGTGGGCAATGTTGGCGAACGGACCGGCGTGCACAAACACGGGCGTGCCCTCGAGCGTCTGCATGAGCGTCGGCTTGATCGCGTCCTTCATCAGGACGGCCATGGCGCCCGCGCAGCCAATGTCCTCGGCAGTTATTACGTCGCCGTTCTTGGACGTCGCGACGACCATGCGGCCGAGACGCTCGCGCATGTCCGCGACGTCCTTGGAGAGCGCGAGCACGGCCATGACCTCAGACGCGACCGCAATGTCGAATTGCGTCTCGCGCGAGAAGCCCTTCTCAGTGGGCGCCTGGCCGACGGTGATCTTGCGCAGGTAGCGGTCGTTCGTGTCGATGACGCGGTTCCAGGTGATCGTCGACGGGTCAATGTCGAGGCGGGCGAAGCGGGCGGCCTCCTCCTCGGTGAGCTCGTTGGGGTCCGTCTTGTTGATGCCAAGCTTCTCGAGACGCTTCAGCATCGGCTTGGCAAAGGTGCGCACACCCTTCTTGGCCGGGCAGAGACGGTTGAAGAGACCCTTGTCCGACTGCGTCGACTCGTGGAACATGCGCGCGTCCAGGGCGGCGGCGAGCAGGTTGTTGGCCGCAGTGACGGCGTGAATGTCACCGGTCAGATGGAGGTTGAACTCGGTCATGGGGATGACCTGCGAGTAACCACCGCCGGCGGCACCACCCTTGACACCGAACGTAGGGCCCTGCGACGGCTGGCGCACACAGGCAATGGCCTGCTTGCCGAGGTGGGCACCGAGGGCCTGGGCGAGACCGATGGTCGTCGTCGACTTGCCCTCGCCAAGAGGAGTCGGGGTAATGCCCGCAACGACAATGTACTTGCCGTCCTTGCGGTGGGCGAGGCGGTCGAGGAGCGCGAGCTCAATCTTGGCCTTGTACTTGCCATACGACTCGAGCTCGTCGGCCTGGACGCCAATCTCCTTGGCAATCTCGGCGACGGGCTTGGGGGTCTGCGCGACGGCAATCTCAATGTCCGAGGGGACCTTGTCGAGAATGTTGAGTTTGAGCGGGGTGAGCTTGCGCTCGCGGTTGTGCTCCCACTGGCGCTTGGCGGCGAGGAAGGTGTTGTTCATGAGCATGGCGACCGTCATCGGGCCAACACCACCGGGGACGGGGGTGATGAAGCCGGCAACCTCGGAGGCCGGGGCAAAGTCAATGTCGCCGACCATGCGCTGGCCGCTCTTCTTGCTGGCGTCGGGGATAAAGTTGGTGCCGACGTCGATGACGACGGCGCCGGGCTTGATCCAGTCGGCCTTGACGAACTGAGCCTGTCCAATGGCAGCAACGACAATGTCGGCCTGCTTGACAATCTGCTCGATGTTCTGCGTGCGCGAGTGGCACTGGGTGACGGTCGCGTCGCGCTTGCGCAGGAGCGCACAGACCGGGGTGCCGACAATGTCCGAGCGGCCGAGCACGACCACGTTCTTGCCCTTGAGGTCGGTGCCCGTGGACTCGATGAGCTTGACGATACCGGCGGGCGTGCAGGGGGTGAAGTAGGGCTCCGAGATGCGCGAGTTGAGCAGACCAATGTTCTCGGGGTGGAAGCCGTCGACGTCCTTGTGGATAGCAATGGCGTCGACAACGTCCTTCTCCTCCTCCTTGGTCGCGCCCTCGAGCGGGAGCTGGACGAGGACACCGGCGACCTTGTCGTCGGCGTTGGCCTTGTTCACGAGGTCGAGGATCTTCTTGACACCGGTGCCGGCGGGGGCGCCCGACTCCTCGTCGGAGGGGACGGCAATGTGCTCAACCTTCATGCCCGACTCCTCGGCGGCCTTGAGCTTCATGCGGATGTAGGTGGAGGAAGCGGGGTTGGAGCCGAGCTGGTAGATGTTGAGGATGGGAGTCTTGAAGGAGGGGTTCTGGGCCTGAATGTCCTCGATCTGCTTGTTGATGTCGGCACGGATGCCCTTGGCGATGGCGGTGCCATCGATGAGCTGAGCGGTCATGATGGATGAGGTGGATGAGAAGAGACGAGAGGATGAGATGGGGTGGAAGTGGGCTGTGAGGTGTGCCCTGGTCCTGAGTGCGGCGGCGGATGCGAAAGAAGCCGAAGACGGAGAGTGGATCGATCGAGCGGTGACACGCGTGATGTGCGTGGTGGTGGTGCGGAGGCCTCGGCTAGTCGCAGCACTAGGGATCCGAGATGCAGGGGACACGACCCGAGCGCTGAGCATGTACTGGGACGGGGATGAGAGCAGCCGCGAGGGGTGTATCGTTTTCGAGGAGGGGGATGGTCTCAGCAGCATGGCGCCTGGTCGATGCTTTTGCTGTTTTGAATGGATCGTCTGTCTCGACTTTTTCGGCGGCGGACGCGTGCAGGTGTTGTTCCGGATGATGTTCGGGTAGATAGCATCAGCATCGACAGTAGTAAATAAATTTCCAACGATGCCGCGCGTTGGAAAAAAATTTCCCCTCAGCCAGTGACCCACAGCGGCTGCGAACAACTTCGACTCGACGCGGCGTCCATCCCTGTAAAGCTTACTGCTACCCATTGGCTCACCCCCTCAGCCACCCGCGGCATCCTCCTCGATCCATTATTATCTAACTCACCACTCTCCCATTCCGAACCTATGCACGGTTCCCCCCGTGGCGTGCTCACAACTGACCGGCGTTTGCCCGATCTACTCCTCTATGATACAGGTGCATCGACAGGCGACTATTAACGGCGACTCACTCGTCGCAGCCGCGACCCAACCGGGGGGCCGGCATGTATACTAGGTACAACACGGGAGAACGTTGCTCCGCCTCACTTCTTCCACCATAGCGTCTTGCGCGCAGCTCCAGGCGTCATGCCTTCGAGCTCCTCAATGCGAGGCTTCTTTAGAACCTCCTCCTCTTCCACAGCGGCAGCGGCAGCCTTGCGCTTCCGCTTCTCCTCCTTGCGCTCCCGCTTTTCCCGCTTCTCGCGCTTGCGACGCTGCTTCTCCGTCTCCTCGGGGACAGCCTCAACGGGCTCGGGCTCCGGCTCAGGAGCAACAAAGCTCTCATCCTGTGCAAGCAGCGCGGCTGCCTCGGCGGCGCGCTTGGCCTTCTTGCGCTCTTTCTTGTCCTTCTTCTCCTGCTTGCGCTGCCGCTCCGCTGCTCGCGCCTTGGCGTCCTCGACGAGCTTGGCCTGGGCCTCGCGGCGCTCCTGCTTCTTACGCTCCTGGTCCGCCTTGCGCTTCTCAATCGCAGCCTGGTCCTTGACATAGACTTGCAGCTTGTCCAGGATTTCTGAACGTCAGCATGATCATACCTGGTTACTCACCCCTGAAGGTCAGGCCCTCGCGGTCCTCGACCTGGCGCACGATCACGCTCCACGTGCTGCGCAGCGTCGCCGGCTTGACCTGGTCGTCCCACGGTACCTTCATCCATTCAATATCGCGTTCGTGCTGGTAGTCGAGCTCGCGGAGACGGTTGATCAGCAGCGCGTGGTCGACGCCGACGCGCGTCTTGCGACCAACGGCGCGGCCGCCCTGCAGACTGTCCTGCCACTTCTTGCGGCACTGCGTGCGCGTACGAGTGCCGCCCATGTTCGTGACGACAACGTCCCACGGCGTGTCGCCCGAGAGCGGGTCGAGGCCGGCCGCGACATTGGCCGACTTGACGGCCTCGATCAGCTTCTGCACCTCCTCCTCGGACCAGGCGCCCGTCTTGCGGCTGTCGCGGCCCTTGAGCTCGCCCTTCCAGCGGTCGCGGCAGTCGAATTCAGTGCGCTGCACCTCTTCGGCAATCTTGACCCACTGATTCGGGTACAGCTCGTACGCCTGCTTCAGCTTAAAGTCCTCCTCCATCGTCCACTCTCCCTTGCGTCCGCGCGGGTCGTACATGCGCTTGACGACCTCCTTGACGTATCGCACCGGGCGACCGGGGACGGCGCCGGCGAGCTCGGGCCAGAACTTGCCGTAGCGGTTCTTCTCCGTGTTCTTGCCCTTGGACATGAGGAGATCGACGAGCTCGGCGTCCGACAGCTGGTGCACCTCCTGGAAGTCCTCGAGGTACATCCTAAGCGACCTCTTCTCGGCGTCGGTAAACTTGCCGCGCTTGTAGGTAAACACGCCAAACGACTCGAGGCGGTGCAGCTCCTTGATGGGGATCCAGCGCGAGGCGAGGAATTCATGGATAGCGGCTTGCGTCGGTAGCGCCGCACGGAGCAGTTCAGGGGTGTAGTCGCTCCAAGCCACCGACTTGTTGTGACGGATTTTCAGCGCGACATGCCATTGTTCCTGTGTGATGCCGTCCGGACACGGTGTTTTCGTCGGGTCGGTGGGGTCGTTGATCGTCGACCACTCGACGTCAGCTGGCGGCTCGTGGACGCTAGAGGGCTGCGCAACCTCGGGCTCCTCCTGCTGCACGGCTGGTGATGGCGTCTGCAGCACCTCGACGGGCTCGACGGGCTCTTCCTCGGCGGTGTCCTCGACCTCGGCGCCGGTGGACTCTGGCGTCATGCCCGCGGGCGGGTCGAACGCATTGAAGGTCACGAACGAGTTGTTGACAGGCAAATCTTTGCGTGCAGTGACTTCACCAAGGTTGAAGCCTTCGTCCTCGCTGTGATCGGGCGACACCATGGACTCGGGGAGCGGCTTGGGGTCGAAAGCGACAGGCGTCTTCTTCTTCTTCTTCGCGAGAGGCGACCTTGGCGCAGATCGGGGCGACTTGAGGGAAGACCGGCCGCGGAGGGAGAGCGAGTACGAGTTTGCGTAGTAGTCGTTTTCATTGTCGCTCTCGTCGTCCTCGTAGGCGGTACTGCGCATGGCGCTGACGAAACCGGGGCTGTTGTCGACATGGTCGTTGATGGCTCTGGGATTCCTTGGTCGTTGTGACGAGGACGATGCCTCTGCGGCGGCCATGAGCATCTCCATGGTGTTGTTGGGATGAATGCTTTGGTGGCAAGAGATGGGATTTGGGTCGCGAGGAAGGATTGGGGGGTTATGCAAAGGCGCCATGGTGCTAAAACTTTAAGTGGGGGGACGGAAGAGGGAGAGTGAATAACGTCAGAACCGGGCTGGATGACAGTGTTTCGTGACCGACAAGTCCTCATCCACAGCATCCAGCACACCATGCACGAGTGTCTGCGTGAGAACATGGTCGACGACGCCGTGTCGTGGGGAACAGCCAAGGTGTAACGTGGAGCCCACGGGCGTGACCACCTTTGAGGTTCTCGCGATCGGCGCTGGTGTTTGGGGCACTTGCGAAAGAGTACCCTCCAGTCCAGCGACAACGGTCCCCGCGAGAGGGAGCCGGAGGGGTCCCCTAACGTTCAACCTTGTCGTCCCGAACCCTCGCGGTCACAATAAACAGGGCTTGGCATGCATTCGTTCATAAAAGGCTGTTCTTCTCTGCATCTGTCTCAATGTTGATTGTTGAGAGGAATGCAGAGCACAGACCGCCGCCGATGATGCATGATTCGCCACCCACCGTGGAGGACTGAAAGGGAAGGCTGGTCGATTCCAGCGAATCCCTCACTCACCTCCACTCCATCCTCCATCGTCATGCCGCTGCAACCATCATCAGACACCATCCCCGACCTCCAACTCGCACTCACCCCGTCATTGCATCCCCATCTCGTCATCAACGCAGATGCACCGCCAGGCAATTGTCGTCTATACCTCGCCCTCACCCTCCCCGATGCGCTCTTCCCCGACCCCGACGAGCTGACCGACCTCTGGGGCCCGGCAGACAGCAACAGCGCCGGTGTGCGTTGGTCCCTCTCCCCGCGGCGCATCGACATTGAGCGCCCCGTCGACTCGTCGTTGAAGAGCGTTCGGCTGGATGTGTCTGTTCCCTCGCCGCCCGTCGCTGGGCAGGCCGTAGCCGACATCCCACTGCATGCGCGCTACCTTCCTCCGTCCGAGGAAGACGGGTGGGACGTCTCTGTGTTCGACCTCGAGAACCCCGTCCGAGCAGCATGGGCGTGCAACGGGCAATGTAAGCTGCTCCAGGTGCTCGGAAGCTGACAGGCAGCACCAGAGTTCCACGACGTCCCCGCGCAGCTGTCGCTAACTCTCCCCGCGGCGAGGCAGAGCTACCAGATCAAGGTCGAGACGGTCACAACGCTCGCCGTCTGGGTCGCGGCAGGGTACATCGCCTACTGCGTGATCAGGCTGTTCCGCCAGCGCTCGTGATGTTGTATTATAACCGCATTGCTCAATGTAACATATATCAAGTCGCCGGTGTCGGTATCACCATGTCGTCATCGATCGCAGGAGGCATGGGGAGAGATTCGCCGGGCCGAACATGCCCCGCACTGCGCACTAGATCCCTTCCAGCCCTTCCTACACATGAGAGCTGCGCGCTCTCTTCGTTTATACGACAGAGTGGGGCACCCGGTACCCCGGAATGATCAACACCGAGACAGCACAAAAGCGAGAACGTGGGGGGAGGCGCTCTCAATTCAACTGCGGCACTTTGCCCGGCAGATCGCACTAACGAAGCTCGTGAGACTGATTGCGCTTCCGAAACATACCGGCAAAGGGCGGGAGAGTCTGATCAGCTGGACTAGGAGTCAATGGGAAGAACATGATGTGACGTGACGCTGTGTCGGAGGAACGAAGGCGGGGGAACGACTCAACTCTATCTCGTCTTTCCGGTCGGAGGCCGGTCGGACCTGTTATCTGTGTTGCTGCCCCATTAATTGTAGAGGAGGTGCCTCCTCTGGGTCAGGAGTTCTACTTCCCAGCCCTTGTCGAGGTTTCGACCCACAGATGAGTCTGGGGAGTGCGCATCTTTGGCTCTGGGTCGTTCCAGGACTCACCCCTGGACACGCCTCTTGCCCGAGATCTCTTTCGAGCCATGGGCGTGGGCTTGGCCAGACTCGATGCGAGGGGACGAACCCAGCGTATCTCTCCCCACCACATATGCGTATCGTGACTGCTCCAGTATTCGATATCTGTGCGCTGAGACCTCCCGATCGCGGAGTGTGCAGGCCTGCCGGGGACGTGCCGGGCCCATGCCGAACGATCGCCCTGCGCCTCAGCGCCGCTTGAAGGGTGCTCCACAAGCGTTGTCCGAGTTCGCTTGAGGTGCCTGCGGCACTTGCTGCGACTTCTACAAATCCTGCGGCAACGAGCGGTACTCGAGCGGCACGAGCTGACGCATAAGCCAATGGGGCCGTCAAATCGGGACTCTTGGGAGGGAGGGATGGTCTTGGCACTCCCACTCCACAGCTCGCACTATTGCCCAGTGCACTCGCGCAGCTCGCGTATCGTGTCAGATGTGAGCCTGTTCAGCCTGTAAGTCCAGGCGGCGCTCAGCGCCATGGTCAACTTGGTTGCGCCAAAGTCGCCAATGTGCTCATGTCCAAGTCGGACACTTTGACGACAGGCACGGGGGCCCAGATGTCGTCTTTGGAGTGACGAATCGGAGCGGCTTCCAGCCATTCGAGGCACTCGTGACTGAAATGCCAAGACTTCCATGCTTAATGTGGGCAGTGGGCTGTAGCTCACAGTGCAGCGGCAGTGGGCATGCCCCCATGCCAAGACAATGCATGGTTGCACGCGGTACACGGGGCTCTCTCGGGGCAACCAAGGGGCAAGGACAGGTTTCACGGGGCTCACGAGAGGCTCACGACAGGTTCACGAGCCCACACGTTTCCGCACGCAGTGGCACGGGGGTCGCCACGGGGCATGCGGAGCCGAGGGGAGGAATGCGAGACAGCCGATAGCGAAACCATCTCCCCCACTGTCCATAGAACTTTAGCCTCTCAGCGTGATGCATATAAAGTCTGCCTGTCTGCTGAGAATGTACGCCCCAAGCCCACGGGTGGACAGTAGCAAGAATGACGCCCACGCTCACGAACCGGTCCGAGTCGCCCGGCTCGCTCGACCTCGAGAAGAAGGAGGAGTTCCAGGTCGAGGCCGTCACCTCGGCGGCGATGAACGAGGACGACATCGCCTTCCTCGCCTCGTTCGACGACAAGCGCAAGGCCCGCATGTACCGCAAGATCGACATCCGTCTGCTCCCCATGCTCGCGCTGCTGTACCTGTTTGCATGTGAGTCGCCGGGCGAGGTGGAGACCGTGTGGCACTTTGGCTGACACCAGACATCGACCGCGCCAACATTGGCAACGCCAAAATCGAGGGTCTCACCGTAGACCTCCATCTCGACGGCACGAAATACAATACTTGTCAATCTATATTCTTCGTAACTTACATCCTATTCGAAATCCCAGGTCAGTTTGCATCGCTTTCGCGAAAGAAGCGAAGAAAGAGCATTGGAAACGGTGGAGAAAACAAGCTGACAACATCAGGAAACATCATCCTCGAAAAATTCTTCAAAAAGCGTCCCTCCTTCTATCTCTCTGCCCTGACCATTCTCTGGGGTACATGCATGACACTTCACGGTGTCGTGCAGAACTACGGCGGCATGATTGCTGTGCGCCTGGCCCTCGGCATCTGCGAGGCGCCCTTCTTCCCATCGGCCGTCTTCCTCTCCTCGGTTTGGTACCCCCGTGAGATGCTCAACTCTCGTATCGCCCTCTTCTACACTGCATCGGCTATGGCTGGTGCCTTCTCTGGCCTGCTCGCTTTCGGTATCGCCAAGCTCGGCGGCGTTGGCGGTATCGCCTCTTGGCGCTGGATCTTCCTGCTCGAGGGCCTCGCCACTGTCGTCCTTGGCATGATTGTGCCCTTCATCCTCCCCGACACGGCAGAGACGAGCAAGTTCCTCGACGCCGACGAGAAGCGCTACATGGCCCTCATGGGTACTGCGCAGGACACGTCTGCCCACGCCGGCGACGGAGACCACGAGAAGGTCTCGCGCTGGAGCGTCTTCAAGAGCGTCATCACCGACTGGCAGCTCTACCTCCAGGGCATCGTCTACTGGTCCAACACTGTCCCGAACTACGCCATGAAGTTTACTCTTCCTACCATCCTCAAGACGATGGGCTACACGAACGCAAACGCCCAGCTGCTCTCCATCCCGCCCTACGTCGTCGGAGCCACCACGGCGTGCCTCGCCGGCTTCTTCAGTGACCGCTTCCGGAAACGCATGCCGTTCATCGTCGCGTCGCAGGCCGTCGTCATCGTCGCCTTCATCATCATCATGCCACTGCGCTTCGAGCCAAAGAAGTACATGGGCCCAGTGTACATGTCGCTCTGTCTCGTGTGTGCGGGCGTGTACCCCATTGGTCCGGGCTGCAACACGTGGACAGCGAACAATCTCGCCGGCCCCGCAAAGCGCGCCATGGGCGTCGCCTTTGTCATCTCCCTCTGCAACGTCGGCGGTATCATCGGTGGGTACATCTACCTGGACCGCGAGAAGCCCCACTTCACCACCGGATACGCGGCGTCGCTTGGCTTTGCGGCTGCCGGTGTCCTCGCCGCGCTCACGCTCGAGTTTGCCTTCACCCGCATCAACAAGAAGAGGGAGGCGATGTCCAAGGAGGAGATCGACGCAAAGTACGCGCCCCAGCAGCTTGCGCAGATGGGCGACAGGTCGCCGTACTACAGGTACATGCTTTAAGCGTCCGCGGGTTCTGTAGATGCGTTGTGAATAGTAAAGGTGTTCATCGTTTATGTATAATGGTCCTGTGAATGACACACTGTGCGGCGTCAAGTTCGGCTCAAATAGTCCTCTAATCCGCTCCTCTGGCTGTCACCAGCAGCCATCAGTCGCATCAGTCAAAATGTTGGTCAGAACATCTTTCTCTCTGCACTCTCTCACCGTCACCAACCTTCATGTCCGACTCAGAACCTGTTCCGAACCACCCTTTCGACTCGGTCGGCGCCTACTTCGCTGCATACCGCGAACCGAGGCGCCGCTTCTTGAGCTCAAATAAGGACTCCCTCGTCTGATTTGCCACTGGAACAGTATCATATCGACCTGTGGGGTCCTTGGGGGCGGCGCTCTGATCAGGGTCGCGGATGATAACGAGGAGACGCAGCTCGAGCGCCGATTTAACGACGTTGTGAGTACACCATCCCGAGAGGCCGACGCTGACAGAAGTTCGGCAAGTGCTCCCTCAAGCCCATCTGTTCCTGGTACCACCCCAGGGTCCGGTCGATCGATCCCGAGCAAATCGCGGCGGAATCGAGGCAGACCATCTCGAACAGTATTAGCCATTGCGACCTGATCGGCGCTCGTGCCATCGATGCCGCAGAAGGCGCATTGGATGCGGGCACCCCGCAAAAGTTGGCCCCGGGATCCTCCCGCAAGTACAACCTCCACTGGGGCGAGACCAACCCCGTCCTAGCCGGCATCACGGCCGGCCGCGACCCCGTGTACGCCTATTCTCCAGGCCGGGACAAGCGCGGCTTCGCAGACGGCGTCGGCCACATTCTTCAGTTCCTGTGCGACGATATCTTCCCCGACCCTGTTCGAGCGCAGTATAGGACACTGTTCGGAACCCTGTTATGGCCCGCGTCCAGTGCAAGAACGACAAAGCCCAGGTCAAGTTCGTAATCGCCTTCGCGCACGAGAGCGACAGTGACGAGCCGGAACCGTTCAAGGACATTCCCGAGCACACGCAGTCGCACCAGCTTGCAAGGTTGGCGCACTCGCCGTGCACTCGCCGTGCTCTCGGTGCGACACTGTCACCTCGTGCGGGCTCAACGGGCACATGACATCTGGCGTATCGCACAGACGTGAGAAGGTCATCGTGTTCAAGGGTGCGAAGACAGCCTGCCTCCTTGGATCTGGGCACTTGCGATCGACAGTGCCAGATATGAAGAGCGTATTCATGAGACTGGCAAAACACTCGCGGCCGACGTCGTCGATGCTGCGCAACCCGGCATTCTCTGAAGTTGAGCGATACAAAACAACCCACCAAATCTGAGTTCACACCGTAAGTGACGCTCTTTCTCTCGCGCCGCGGGGAAGAGCCAGGAGCAAAGGAACCCATACCGATAACGAGTAGTATTGAATGTATTGTACTGTGACATGGTGAACGAAGCAAACCAAAGTCTAGACGGGAGGACCGATGCGATGACGGCTGTGGATGTCCGTGCCTGGAAATGGGCGGCGCAAGCGACGTCATGTGCCGAGACTTTCGACTTCTCGACATTTCGCCGTCCACCATCTCCCATCTCTCCACCTCGTTTACAGCAATGCTACGACACACACGGAGCATCTCCACGATCCCACCACGGCGGCTGTCGCTGCTGGCCCACCGCTCGAGCTCCTTCTTCACCCCGCCGCCCCCGCCACGGCCAGGTGCATCTGGCGAGGACCCGGAGGACCTCGAGGCCGAGGTCAACGACAGGGAGTGGGAGATGCGTGTCGCCCGCGGCATGATGCACCTCCGCGAAACGCTGCCGCTGCTCTTCGACCCGGGCGTGAGCTCGCGCGACCTCTTCCCCAAGGACGTGTACTCGCGCAACGTCAACTTGAAGCTGCCGCATCCGCTTGGTCTGCGTCTGCCAGGCTTGCACGCATATGGGCTCGCCTTCACGATTGCGCGGAACGGGCTACAGGGTGAGTCCTCTCTCGAGCTGACTGGGTCCCGGATGAGCTGACATCAGCTCTGCACCACGACTGCGGCGCGACGCTGGAACGACTGAGCTACTCGCCGCACTCATCGTTGCAGACAAAGCAGCCAGGCGACTCGTCACCGCCAGACAAACGTATGCGGCAGATCCGCGTCATGCTCACTATCCATGGCACTCCGCGCCTGCCCCCACACAAGGTGGCCGTCTGGCACACGAGCAACTTGTACACGTTCTCGCCATACTCGGGCCTGATTGCCGAGCACGAGGTAGAGGCCATCCGGCCGCTGCCAGGGGAGGGGGTGATGGAGTGGATCCAGGGCGCGATGGGGGGATGGACGAAGAACGGCACGCCGGTGCCGGGCACGGTGCGGACGGTGCGGGCGAGCGCACACGAGCACCGCCGACGATGACGCTGTACTGTACACTATGCATTATCACTACTTATCCTCTGAGAGCCGCGAGCTCATTCTCCATCTCGGAGACGCACTCGTCGAGCAAGCCCCGCTCCCACCGCCCCCACAGCCAGCCGATGTACAGACTTGTCGCGCCCGCGATCCCGAATGCGAACGCGAGCACGGTGAAGATCGGCTGGATCCACGACTTGGGCTGCCATGCGCTTCCCACCGCGAGCGCAATCTCGAGTAGGACGCACGCGATCGTGATGTCGACGAAGATCTTGGACCGCCGCGCCGCCTCGGGGTAGTAGTCGCGCATGACGCCAAGGGCCTTGCGGATGCTCTGGGCCTCGGCGCCGTGGCCCTCCCCTGTGGTGTGCGCGGGCTCGTCGTCAGAGTACGGCACCTGCGCGAGCGGATGAGCCTGGCGGCCCTGCTCCTGCGCCTCGCTCCTGCCGCTCGCCGTACTGGTGTCCAACGCAAAGGTGGACGCCAGGCCAAAGTGGTCGCTCATGCTCGTCGTCCCGTCGATGAGATCCGTCATGACCACATCGGAGCGCACAACGCGAAGGCGGGGCTTGCCCGCCGGCTCGGCGAAGAAGATGTAATCCAGCCTCTTGCCGCCGTTAGCGAGCACAGAGGCGGGGATGGGCTTGCCGGCGCTCCACGAGTTGAGCGGCGAGTCGCACGTCATGCCGAGTGTCGTCAGCGCGTCCTCGGCGCTGAGCCCGGCGGGGGCCGCATCGTCGCAGCCCGGATGTGCTTCGCGGAACGAGTCCTTCAGTCCGCCGTGGTTTTTCATCAGCGCGATGGGCACGCTGAACGGCTGCGAGTTGAAGTCGCCCATGCAGAAGACATATCGTCCCCCGCGGACGGCCTTGCGGCACTCGCTCGACAGCTGCCACGCCTGGCTGATGCGGTGTGCCTGCCGCGTCTCCGGCCCCGACTCGCCCGCAGCGTGCATGTGCGTGTCCCACACCTCGCACTCGCCGAAGCCGGGGACATTGACGACCACCCGCGCCGCAGCCTTGTTCACGAAGAAGTCGCCGTCGACCGGATGGCTCGGCAGCCCGCTGAGGTGGTACGGCAGCGCCTGGGACTCGATGATGGGGTACTTGGAGAACACGGCGAGGCCGCTTCCGAGCGCGCCCGTGTGGAAGAAGCGCGAGTACGCAAAGGTCCCCTCGACGTCGTCCCGGAACTGCCGAAACTCGGCGTGCACCCACAGCTCCTGCAGGCACACAATGTCGTAGGTCGAGTCTCGGAGCGAGGCCGCGATCGCGCGCAGGCGCCGCGGCCTGTCCTTGCTGATAAACGCGAGGCCCCTGGGGTTAGCTCGGGTCGGTCGTGGCAGCAGCTCACCAGACGTTGAAGGTGAGGATCTTGAGCTCGGCCATGGTGGATGGATCGAAATCAAAACGCATGACGTCGTTCCACTCAGCTCAAGCGCGGTCCGTGCCTGATTCGGGTAGCCGGCGAGTCCACCCCGTCCATGGACCTCACTCTTTTGGCATTCGATGCATGCTAACAATACAGAATCACCCAAACACCTCCATCATGAAGTAGTACTCGATGCGGGACCCGTCCTCTCTCCCACGCGCAGTCAGCAGCCGGCACCGATCAGCGAGAATCTCGCCAACCTTGGGCGCGCCGCAGAAGAAGACGCCGACCTTGACGCGGTCGTCGCAGTCCTCGTCCAGCTGCGCGCGATACCGGCGCATATCCTCGTAATGCTGGTCGAGGATGGCCTCAAAGTCGGGCCGGCCAAACAGCGTCTCGTTCGTCAGGCCTGTCAGGGGCGACTTGGGGTTCTCCTTCGTACGGTGCTTCTCGAGCAGGTAGCGGTACACGTGCGGCACGAGATCGCGCTTCTGCGTAACGTGCGTGTGCATGCGAATATCGAGGTGCGGGTGGGCGAGACCGTCGTGTTCCTCATGCCAGTCCTGGCTCCTGCAGACCGAGTTCAGCAAGTCCGTGAACCAGCCGAGGTGGTTTCGGGAGCGTACGACCCAGTGCAGGTCGACGCGGCGGTAGTCGTCCGGAAACTCGGGCGGGGTCGGGTTCCGTGCGCGGTCCGACTTGCTCGACTTGTTCGAGAAGGTGCGCGTCAGGAAGAGGCTGGAGCGCGACCGGCTCTTGTCACTTGATCGCCGAGAGCTAGTAACCTTCTCGATATTGTCGTCCGGTCCGCCGTGCCGTTTATCCTCGCGAGCCTGAAGGTCGGCCAGGATTCCCGAGAACGGTGTGAAGCCGATTCCGGACCCGACAAGGATCGTATGCGAGAAGTCGTAGAACCGCTGCGCCGGCGCGCCGTAAGGCCCATCGATACCGATTCTGATCTCGCCCTGCTCAGCGAGAGAGCGCAGACGTTTCGTCCAATTCCCGTCCGTCTTGATGTTCAGCTGGATGCTGTTGCCCGAGCAGGCGCTGACCGTGAACGGGTGCCATTGGAAGAAGCTGAGCTCCGGGACCTGCAGGAACACATACTGCCCGGCGCAGTAGCGATGCTTGAAGATGCGGGCGGGCAGAATCGTGGCCTTGATCTCGACAGTCTCCGAGTCGAGCGTCCGGATTTGCGCCTGAATCGAGTGGAATCCGGCCGCGAGACGATGCACGCGCTCGATGAGCACAAGCAGCGTCGGGAAAGCCAGAAAGTACCCTAGCATCGGCCACTGCAGCAGCGCCGCCGTGCCGTGTGCCATGAGACAGCCGATGATGACGTACATGAGCAGGTGGCCGAGCTGGAAGATCTCATAGTTCTTGCGCCTCAGCCACGGGGTCGAGGTCAGCCCGATAAAGTAGAAGCAGAACAGGGCGATGATGCCAGTGATGCCTGGCCGCGACCTTATCAAGTCGCGGTACGTCCAGGGCTTGGGGCCGAGGAGGCTCTCGAGCTGTTGCGGGCGATACGCGTTCGCGATCCAGATGAAGTCGCCGGTCAGGTGCGCGATCCCGTGCAACGTGCCGAGGAAGGTTGCAAAGATGGCCATGTAGATGTGGAACGCCTGCGAGAGGTCCCAGTTGATGAAGCGCGAAAGGTGGTACGAGCTGCGCATAGCTGTCGAGAAGATACGTGACATGGACAGCAGTAGGAAGAACAGGGTTGGGTACAGCACACCAGCGCAGGTCTTGGCAACAACAACGCCCCACCCGAGCGCGCCGCTGTACGCTGGGCCGAGGTACTTGACGAGCTGCCAGATGCCGAATGCAAGCATCATGCCCACGACGATGCAGAGAAAGAGAATCGATGGTCCGTGAACGGCCCAGTAGCTGCGCAATCGTCTGCCGATACCCATTTTCTTGATGTACTCGTCCTGCAGTCGCTCCTCGTCCTTCTCCTGCTCCAGAGAGGGGACCTGCCATTCCTTCACCCGCTGCACGAACTGGTCGCGTGGGATGCGCTGTGCATCAGAGCCAATGATGGAGCGGAGGAATGCATGGCGGTCGTGTCGAGCTTCAATGTCGTTCTCGTCCGGCTGGAGCTCATCGTAGGCGGCGTCGAGCTTTGCTTCCACTTCGGAATAGTCGATCTGGCCGTCGTTGTTGTGGTCTAGGTCGTCAACAAAGGTCTTGATTTCGTCGTCGTTCAAGGGAGTAACCATCGCGTGTGTTGGGGAACGACGGCATGGAGCTCTCTTTTGAGTGCATGCTTCCATATGTTGTTGGAGTGAGTTCGACAACAGGACAAGAGATCGCCAAGACGAATAACGTCACTGCGATGTGCCTGTCCTTGGCCGCCGTTGATCCGCACTTGGCGCTTCGCCGAGAGATACCAAAGACAGGGATCATCCTTTGCATCGCATCTATGCCGGTCTGGACCACTGTCATGCATTCGGTCATTGGTGGATGCGACGGCGAGATGTTGTTCCATCATCAAGGAGGGCGTGTACTGCGGCGCAACATCGTCGCCGAGGCTTGGCGGGGCGTCAGACTTAGCTGCGGAATGGGTTGCCCAAGCGACTCCATCCGTTCCTATATTGTGGCTTACGCAAATGGAGTCAACATCGAAAACGATAGAAACCCCAATGCCGCTCCTATTGTCACTCAAAAGTGGTGTCGGAGATGACGATGTGTGCAGAGATGAAGTAACCCTGTCAGGCTATGCTGTCACCATGTCGTTCTTCGCCGAGACAGCCGACAAAGAAGCCTGCTCTCGGCGTGCTGGCCGCGCAGTCGGTGACCACTGGAGCAATCCGCACTGCGGTCCGGCCGCCGACGACGTTAGGTCTGCGGCTTCACTGTCACCACCGCGTCAGCGAAGTCAGAGGCTGATCACATGGACAGGGGGTTATTCCGCACTGGCGTGGTCCAAGGGTCTCCAGTCGCTTGAGGGCCTGACAGGGAGGAACGACTTTCAAGGCCGTTCGGATTGAAGGTCATGACGCACAGCTTCGACCGTTAGTCGCATTCCGAGACGGGCCATGACACCCACGCCCGGCGACCGGAAGCCGTTTGCATGTGGAGCCTACCGCGCGGCTTCTCAGAATGTTGGTGCATCGCCTTTATTGGCACTTCCTCTACATTCTTCGCTCCAAGGCGCTACGAGTCATAGCGCCCGCAGGCGATGGCCGGTGCCCACAGCCCACACGTGGACAAGCTAGAACGATTGCCGCATACGATACGGAAGTCCGGGGCACCGAAGCTGCCCACTCGCACGTGCAGACCAGATGAAACCACCTCGCCGCCGGCAAAGCCTGTGGCGCGCAGCACATGGTGCGCCACATCCGAGCACACGTTTGTCGCCGACTGCATGCTGCCCGTCGCGTATGATGAGGCGTGCACTGAGACTGAAGACGTGGGCAATGACGTTTGGCACTACGAGTGTCCCTGGGATGGGCAGGCTTAGGCCCTTCCGCCACTACCGCCATGCCGCCCGACAGATGTTAGGGCTGCGGGTGTTTGAGGTAATGGAGACATCAACAAATGTCTGAATGATAGCTCGCAATGTCTTGGACGAATGCACAAGTCTGCTTGTCACTAGTCCACCAGGGTCCAGTCGACGTCCGAATGACTGCTCAGCTAACTCCAATGATCTGCATACACGGCTTCGGTTCCCATCTCATCCATTCGCGTTCAGGTTCACCAGTAAGGGCGCCAGGAACAGGAGTAGACAAAGATCTCGCCCTTCATAAAGTGCCCGATGAGGGGGCAATCGCCTAGCTCCTCCTCGCTCCATTCGCGATCGCAGTAGAGCTGGCGAACTCCAGCCTCAACGAAGAAGGCAACATTGCAGCGCTCATGTTCCTCTTTGTCGAGGGGACACTTGTATCCCCAGATCCCGTCGTGGTCGCCGCACTTGGTTTCGGGGCAGTGGCGCGCGACGCCCCATTCCTGGTGCCAGTCGTAGTTGCAGGAGAAGATGCGCCAGGCGTCGTCGTTGGTTGTGTTGCAGTAGGGGACTGGTGTACGAGCGGTGGCGAGGGTCAGGAGAACCAGAGAGGCGAGGAGCATGGTGATCGTGGAAGGCTAAGTGCGGTGTGAGGAGAGAGAGTGAGGTGAAGAACATTGAGAGTCAAAGCCTCTGCGAGTGATGGGACTGGCGGAGAAGTGCGACGCTTTGTGACATGGTGCAAAGTGCCAGGCAGATCGAAACGACTGACGTGCACACGAACGTACAGTGGCTAACTATGCATGGAAGTGCTACAAAGTACAGGGGTCCATTTCGAATGTTGAGTGTTGCGGGCGAGAGAGGTTGAGCTTCACGTCAGCTAGGAAGGCGAGGTGACTCACCGACTACTCAGTGTAGGGCTCCCAGGGGCAGCTGTAAACTTGAAGACCAAACTCGGGGATGGGGTCGCAGTAGTCGAATTCGGCGCGATCGGCCGTGACGGGACAGGAGAGCTCACGGCGAGCAGCGGCGACAAAGTATGTCTCGTCGCACGAGTTGCCAAGTTCCTCAGAGTCGAGAATGATGCACTTGTAAACGAAGTTGTCGCCGACCTGGGTCTCGGGGCAGTTGGGCTGGTTGCCGGCGGAAACAATCCATTGATAGTTGCAGGAGTGGACGCGGAGAAGAGTGTTGTCCTCAACGCTGGCCGTCACGTTGCAGTAGGGCGCGGGGGTGGCGGCGGCGACGAGAGAGAGAAGGACAGAGCCGATGAGGAAGAGCATGGTTGCTCGGTTGTGTAGTGCAGGCGAGACTGCTGATAGTGGTGGAAAGCTGAGAGTGGAGTAGTGAAGGAAGAAGAGGACGTGGTTGCTGTTGGGAGGAAGTTGACATCGCGGCGGAAGTCCTTATATGCCTTCGAAGGAAGGTAATCGCGTCCAAGGGTGAGGTTGAGATCTCTGCGGCCATGCGGAGGCGCTTGGCAATATCGCAGCGGACGGTGCGAGCACAACATAGAGAGAGCACGCCGGTGAGACAGTCATGAGGCGCTCATTACACCCAGCGCTAACCTGGGTGCGAGACGGTCTCGACCGTGCTAGTGAGATCTCATGATGGCGAAGTCGCCAGCGAACCTGCGAACCTGGTACCACCCAGCGATATCCAACGGACAGACGAGCCATGCATGCATATGAGCGAACACTCACCTGCGCTCGTCGTGGCTGCACCTAACAACCTGCATTCAGCCCCTCTCGAAAGTCGTCGTCGATATTATGCATTATCACCTCCCTCTGCCACACGCAGGCAGATGTGCACCACGTGACATTGACGGTCCGCGTCGACCTCCTTCCCGATCCAAACTCTGTTTCCTTCAACATGCACACAACGAGTTCAGAAGTTCTTCCGATCGCCGGATTACCCGCTGCCCCATGCCCATCATGGTTGCGCGCATTCTTTGATTCGCCTTCTGTGTTCTGCACGAGGACCCTACTCAAATTGCCTACGTCATGATCGAGCACATGCCCTCGAGCTAGTCGACACCGCACACAGGGCCGACCGACACAATTACACCCCTCCGCTACTCCCGTGTTGCCCATGTGCACTCGGCATCCCAACCGGCACAGTCGGGCAAGCACCCGGCTATCCGTGCTATTTGGAGTGCGAGTTGCGGGTGCTCGGTGGGTGGTGACGTCGTGCGCGACGCTAAATGCATGCGCTACGATGCGATCGGAGCACCGGAATGTCTGTGGTGGAGGGAGTTGTGCGGCGGAGTGACTCACGCTAAGCTCGGAGCAGCACAGCCCCGGCGCCGCTAGTGCACTCCCGTGACTGCGACAACGGCGCCAGAGAGTGCGAAGACCCACCCCTCGTCGTCACTTCGGATATCGCCCCCGAGGTCCGAAGCTTCCGAGCTTCCGAGTAGGGTCGATATCGGCGAAGGAGATGCGGACATGATGCATACTTAAGGCGACGAACACTGACCTTCTGACAACTCAATCCGCCTCTCTTGATCTCTTTGCTCTCACCTACACCTGCAAGCAAGACCACCATGCGCTTCATCACTGCTCCCCTCCTTCTCTCTGTCGCCGCCAGCGCCGCTGTCATTCAGGGCCGTAACCGCGAGTTCGGACCCTGCGCCCCTGGCGACAACAACCTCGAAGCCCGTAACCGTGAATTCGGCCCCGGGGCCCCCGGCCACGGCTGCCCCGACATCGAAGCCCGCAACCGCGAGTTTGGTCCGGGTGCTCCCAGCCACAAGTGCAACGACGTCGAGAAGCGCAACCGCGAGTTTGGTCCTGGCGCCCCTGGTCACAAAGACTGCACCGAGCTCGAGGCCCGTAACCGCGAGTTTGGTCCTGGCGCCCCCGGACACAAGTGCAACGATCTCGAGGAGCGCAACCGTGAATTCGGCCCCGGTGCGCCTGGCCACAAGGACTGCGGCGATCTCGAGGCGCGCAACCGTGAATTTGGTCCTGGCGCTCCCGGTCGCCACTGCCAGGAGGCTCGCAACCGCGAGTTCGGCCCTGGAGCTCCGGGACATGGCTGCGGTGACCTCGAGAAGCGCAACCGTGAGTTCGGTCCCGGTGCCCCTAGTCGTCACTGTCAGGAGGCCCGCAACCGTGAGTTCGGCCCCGGCGCTCCCGGCCACGGCTGTGGTGATCTCGAGGAGCGCAACCGCGAGTTTGGGCCCGGTGCTCCCGGCCACTCCGACTGTCCCCCGATCGAGGCTCGTAACCGCGAGTTCGGCCCTTGCGCGCCAGGCCACGGCGACAAGGAGAAGCGCAACCGCGAGTTCGGCCCTGGCGCTCCTTCTCACTCCGGCACGCCCAACCTCGCCGAGCGCAACCGCGGCGTCGGCCCCGGTGCCCCTGTCCCTGAGGGCCAGCAGTACTGCAACATCACGAACACGCCCGACGCCCGCAGCTACCGCTGCAACTACGACCAGCCGCACCCGCGCCCGGGCTGCGAGAAGTCGAACGACGGCCCCGTCCGCGTCTACACCTGCCCGCCGGTCCCCGAGGACCTGTCGTGGTGTGACGAGGAGTACCGCATCGACGTGAACGAGTACGTCGCTAGCTGCACCAAGGACTACCGCTTCAATGACGGCTGCAAGCAGTCGCGCGATGGCGACCGCTACGTCGTCACGTGCCCCCTCGACACCATTCTCACCTCCGAGTGAAGCGCTCTGCTTCCCGAGTAAATCTTGTAGCCCGTACACGTTCCTTGTAACTGACTCTAACTTCACATGCATACAATCACTAGCGTATCAAAGCAATACCGGCGAGGCCTCACAGTCACCGGCGGGCAGCTCACCGCGCTTCGGCGACATCGGCGAATGCGACTAAGCAATGGGTGAGTTAGTCCCTCGCACCTGAGAGATGCTGATAACTGCTACCTCGATCTTCCGCGTACCGAGGGACGAGAAATCATGTTTCAAGTTCTCGGGTCACACCGATGGTCACCCAACGGGAGCACCTTCGGACACTGACATCGGACCGCGGGTGTAAGTGGGAAGCTCCGTGTCTCAAAGCAAGCACTGTGGTCCGAACTTTGAGTTTGTCACCACCTCCTCCCTTTGATTCCACGCCGCATTAAAGTCCAACAGAGTCCGTTCCACTGCACCGCCTCGGTTTCGGACACGCCGCTGATAGCAACACCCGCGCTGACCATGTGCTTCAGTCCCGAAGACGCATGTGCTTCGCTGATAAGCATGAACACCCATGTATGGATATCGACCCGATGACTTCAAAGCGGTGCACGGCTACAGCTTGTTGCTGCGCGTGCGTTTGGTCGTCGGCGGGAGGGTTCCCGAGGCTTCCGGAGTCTGTAGGTTATGCTTAGCGACGCGTATCAGTTCCCGACAAGCGCGCCGTGAAAGCACTTCGGGGACACCGGTCCGGATCGCTGGAATTTCTGACAGCGTCCAGCGGTACCTAACGACAGAATGAATGCCTCACACAACTTAGACGAAGAAGAGAGTCGACGAGGCAGCATCTTCGAGGTGCCTTCTGACATATATAAGCAGCCACTGACCCTCTGTTCGTCACTCACAAATCACTCTCAGCTCCGCAAACGCCTACCAGCTCTACCAAACCTCAACCAGCACAATGCGCTTCTTCACCGCTTCTCTCATCGCCGCTCTCGCGACCGGCGCCTCGGCCAACGTCTTCGCCGTGCGCTCCCTGGACACCCGCGCCACCATCGAGTCCTTCTGCGACGTGACCAACAAGGCCGACGCTCGCGTCTACAGCTGCACCCACGAGCAGGCTGATGTTGACGACTGCACGGCCTCCAAGGCCGGCGACCGCTTTGTGTACAGCTGCCCTCCTGTTCCCGCCGGCCAGGACTTCTGCGACGTCGAGTACCGCCCCGAGCACAATGAGCTTGCTGCTAGCTGCACCACAGACATCAAGTATGACGAGAAGTGTGTCCAGGCCAAGAGTGGGGACAGGTGGGAGAACTCGTGTCCCCTCGACATTCTCGGCCAGGAGTAAACTGCTTTACCCGCGCGAGCCTTGTTTCCCAGAAGTGAAAGAAAGTCAATGCCGTAGCTAGTAGCTCTAGGTACTCTCAGTACATGAATGAAAGTCTACGCTGCTAGAGCACCGTGTGCTGTCTGAGGTTGCAGTTTGCAGAGGCAGGCTGATGCCACTGGCGAACTTTGCGAGTGCCTCAACCACGTGGCGCCCCTGTACAAGCTTGCCCAGATTGCGTGACGTTTGATAGCCGACTGACTCGGAGTCGGAATTGTCAACTCTCCCAAAAATCACCACCATGTCCGCCGTCGCTCCCCGTCCCGTCCCCGTCGCCCTCATCGGCCTCGGCGGTGTCGGCAAGGCCATCCTCCAGCAGCTCCTCTCCCCTCCCCTCTCGAACAAGTTCAACCTTGTTCTCATCGCCAACTCGAAGCTCTCCCTCTCCCTCCCCCTCCCCGAGGGCCAGCTCAGCCCCAACAACTTCCTCCCCATCCTCGAGCAGCACGGCAAGCCCCTCGATGTCTCGTCCGTCATCTCGGTGCTCCAGACCCACCCCGACGGTAACGGTGTCCTCATCGACTCGACTGGCTCGGACGCCATCCCCTCCCTCTACCCCACCATCCTCGGCATGGGTGTCAACCTCGTGACCCCGAACAAGAAGGGCTTCTCGGGCGACCAGTCGCTGTACGACCAGATCCAGTCGCTCACCTTCCCCAACTCGTCGACCCTCGCTTACGGCGAGTCTACCGTCGGCGCCGGTCTCCCCATTCTCTCGACGCTGAAGGACCTCGTTGAGACTGGCGACGAGATTGAGAAGATCGAGGGTGTCTTCTCCGGAACCCTCTCGTACATCTTCAACGAGTACTCGAAGCCCGAGGGCTCGGACGTCAAGTTCTCCGACGTCGTCAAGGTCGCCAAGGACTCCGGCTACACCGAGCCGGACCCCCGTGACGACCTTTCGGGCACCGATGTCGCGCGCAAGCTCACCATCCTGTCTCGTCTTGTCCCCGGCGCCCCCAAGCTGGAGAAGGGTGCCTTCTCCGTCCCGACCCAGTCGCTCGTCCCCCCCGCCCTCGAGAACGCCAAGGACAAGGAGGACTACCTGAACCGCCTCCCCGAGGGCGATGAGTACTTTGCCAACCTCCGCGCCGAGGCCGAGAAGGAGGGCAAGGTCGTGCGCTACGTCGGTGTCATTGACATGAAGACGGGCAAGGTCGAGTGCAAGCTCGGCAAGTACGACAAGGACCACGCGTTCGCGACCGCCCTCAAGGGTTCCGACAACATCATCTCCTTCTCCACCAAGCGCTACTCGCCCCGCCCCCTCATCATCCAGGGCGCCGGCGCCGGCGCCGATGTTACTGCCATGGGATGCACCTCGGACCTCCTCAAGATCTACGAGCGCGTCCGCACCCTCCCCACTCCCGCCAAGACTGCCTAAGTGCGGAGCGCGGAGTCACTAGACAAAAGCTAAGACGGGATTTGATAGATGCGCAGAAGTCTATGTCTAAAAATGCATGAAAGTGTCCGGCGATGTAACCCAAGACAGATGTAAACCCAAAGCGCGCTCAAAGACCTTTGTTAAAGTAGACCTTCTCGTGGTACTTGTGGAACTGGGGCTCGAGCTTGTCGGTGCTGACGCTAGCGCGCTGGGGGAAGTACGCAATAGCGGGGGGCAGGAAGAGACCGAGACTGAGGCCAATGAGCGTGAGCTGGGTGAGGTTGCTGAGCGTGTGTCCGCGGGGACCGACGAAAGCCCCCCGGTGCTGGAGGTACGTCATGACCATGGGCGGGATGATGAGCGTGGGGATGTTGGTGAGGACACGGCTAGCGGCAGACTGCATGACGGCCATCTGGCCCGCGCGGGGCGACTTGCCGAGATCCGTCTTGGTCTCGTCGCCCCGCGCATCGGTCGCGATCTGGAACACGTCCACGCCGTCCCGCATCTCCTTCCAGCGGATGCAGGAGATGTTCACGACTCCGGCGGACGCGACGGCGGCGAAAGGCACGAGCTTGGACAGAATGTTCTTGGCCGCGGCCGAGACGCGCAGGCGCGGCACGAGGCGCGTCAGCCCGACCGCGAGTCCGACAGAGGTAACCGTCGCTGCGACGTAGGCCGTGCCGATCTCCTGCGGGGACATCTCGATCGACTTGTTCGCGTTCGAGAAGTTGACGGCGACCTGGGCGTTAGCTTAGCCAAAGAGTGTCTGTAGCTTTTGTGAGCAGACCTCGTCTCACTGGTCGAGCCGGTGGGCGTGCTTCCTCCGCGTGCACATGCTCGCCGCACGTCCTCCAGCATGATGGGCTCGCCGCAGACAGCTTGCTCGAGAAGACGATTCGGCGAGACATCGGTGCCTTCGCAACACGCGTCAAGCCACAAAGGCACAGCGCGTCGGCAACCTCCGTCTCACCACCTCCCCACGAGATCCCAACTGCTTTCCACCACTTACTTGCCCTTTGCCTACATCCCCTTACTCACGTTGAGAGTCTGGTTAGCCCACTGCCAGAAGATGATGCTTCTGAGGGACGGGTTGGGCTTGAGCATACCCGCGCAAATGAGGAGGTTGGTGGGCACGAACGCGCTCATGCGGAACGGCAGCGGGACCGGCTTGCCAGTGTCGGGGTGGATGGACGAGTTGACGAGCTGCTTGGCCTTGTCGTACTTGTCGCGCGTGTCGGCGTCGACCCACACGCCGTCCTTGCCGGCCGCCTTGATCTTGGCGTCCCAGCCGCGCGCGTACGCGACCGCATCGTCCAGCTGCTGTCCCGAAGCCAGGAGAGTGAGGGGACTCGTCGTGCTGTAGAAGTACGCGAGGCGGCCGCCGTACGTGCCCAGGTCGTACTTGGGCTTGGCTAGTCGTTAGCTATGCAGGAAGAGGATGAGCTCACAGATGTCGTAGAGACCCTCGGCGTTGGGAGTGTCGCGGCTCATGGTGGTCGTGATCGTTTTGGATACCAGCTCAACAAAAGAATTCTCGACTCGGCAATGTCCTGCGGTGATGGTTGCTGCTGCTGCGGGGTCATGCTCCGGGCCAGGGAAAAACCTCGGGTGCAAAGAGCCAAGCCAGGCACGGGCACCTGGGTCCAGCCGGCCCGGCTTCTTTCAGCCAGGGGCCACCGTGGGGGAATGCGCCCTTCAGGGTCAGTCCACGCATAATCCACGTGTGCCACGCGAGTCGTGCGATTGTATCGTTCGATGTTCAAAGTGTTGCCACCTCCGAAGTGGGACGATTGTTGCGGCAGCCTAAGTCGTCTCATTCACGTTTCTCACTTACACCTCGACTTAACTCAACTCCACGACATCTTTGAGCACCACACACACACCTGCCAACCACCATCATGTCGGCGACCATGTCGACAGACCTCTTCAGGTTCGACGACGACGACCAGGTCTCCCCCTCCGACGCCCTGTTTCCCCCGAACCTCTCCCTCCCCGGCGACTTCCTCTCCCCCGACTCGCTCTCCATCTCGCCGCGCTCATCTTCCAACCCTTCGCTCTCGACTTCGGGCGACTCCCCACTCTCCTTCACCACCGACGAGTACCTCCTGAACAACTCCTTTGGCACCGATGCCCTCGACCTTCTCATCTTCCCCGAGGACGACAACAATCTCCTGAACACCAACCAGAACCAGACCGCCAATGCGACCCCGTCCAAGCCTCAGATCCAGGAGACCATCCCGCTGCTTCCCCAGCAGACATTTGACGGCCTTCTGAACCAGTGGCGCATGGAGCTGCCCCAGGCCCCCTTCTTCCAGCAGCAGCACCAGATGCCCCAGCTTGTTGTTCCCCCGTCCGTGCAGCAGCAGGCTCCGCCGCAGCCCCAGCCTCAGCCGCAGGCGCAGGTCCAGCCCGCTCCTGTCGTCAAGGCTAGCCCGGCTCCCCCTCCCCGCCGTTCTGCACCGAACGCTCCACTGAACAAGCGCGCGACGACTCCCCCGACCAACGTCGGCAAGCACAACAAGACCGAACGCCGCTACCGCCAGAAGGTGCAGCAGGCGCAGGGCGACCTCCGTGACGCCGTCCCCGCCCTCCGTGTTCTTTACGGCACCTCGACCGAGGAGCAGAAGGCGACGACCGACATTCGGGCTCCGGATGGCACCGTCGACGGCCTCGGCGAGGTGACCCGCCCGAACGCGTCGGCCAAGGCGACCATCCTGATCGGAGCGCGCATGTACATTGAGCTCCTGCAGCGTCGCACGGCCACGCTTCAGCGCAAGGTCGACGAGCTCGAGAACTTCCGCCTCATGGCCGAGGGACCCGTCAACTTCGAGAACTGGCGCGCCGACTTTAACCAGCGCGAGGCCGTCATTGCGGCGCAGGCTGCTGCGCTCGCTGCTGCTCGTGAGAAGGACGAGTCGGGCGAGGACGAGGAGGACTCGGACGACGGCGAGGCACCCCGCAAGCGCAAGCGTGTCACGAAGAAGGCGCCCGCTTCCAACAATGTCCGTGCTTTCGCTGCGTTCGCGGCCACCTTTGCCCTCGTCCCCAGCTCGAACGTGTACACACCGTCAACGGCTCAGACGGCGCAACAGCTCAGCGAAATGTCCAAGGGCAAGGTTCTCGCGCGCCTTCCCTTCATCACGGCGGAGCACTCTTCGCGCCTGCTCGCGCGTGCGCTCCCGACCGCCCTGGTTCCCTCTCCGAACCTCATCGTTGACTGGACGATGCGCATCTTCTTCACCATGTTCCTCGTGTGGCTGTTCGGCCCCTTGGTCGAGCGCGCTGCCCGCAAGCACAGGCACAAGGAGACTGGAGCTGGTACGCTCAGGAGCATGGCGAAGGATGTCGTGTCCATCAACAAGCCCGAGAAGCTGTCGCCAGAGTGGAACGCGCTCGCTGCCCAGATCGTCGGCGGCATGCTCAAGCCCTCGCCTCTCGTCAAGGCCCATGTTGCGCTGCGCCTCTACCGCGCCAACGATGCCTACTCGCTTGCCATGCTCGCGCTCATGGCGCCTGAGTACTCGGGCAAGATCTGGGTGCACGCGCGCGCCAAGGCTGAGCCGGGGACGCTGGCCACTGTGCTCGCTCTTCCGCTCGAGGAGGCCGCACGCAGCCTCGAGCTCGTCCCGCCCACCACTGCGCCCATTGCCGCCATCAGCGAGCAGATCAACCTCGTCCACCTCTACGACCTGTACAGCCGGTTCTTCGTCCGTCTCGTTTCCGCGGTCGGCAAGGCGTCCACTCTCTCTGGCATGCTCGCCGCGGTCAAGGGCAGCGATATGGCTCTTGACGGCTTCGACGCCGAGATCCGCGCCGTGCTGAAGGGCGTCCCCCGTCACTCCACCTCGCACGCCCTCGGCCTCGTGCTCCTTGGTCTCTGGGGCCTGTTCAGTGGGTACGCCTCTCCCGCCGTTCTCGTCTCCGCTCTCGCGAACGAGGAAGTCCAGGGCCCGCCCCTCCGAAGCGTCTCCGTCATGCTCGAGCTGCTGTACCCGGGCAGCTCGCACCCGCAAACGAGCGAGCTCCCCATCCCCTCTAACGCCAAGGCGATCGACAAGCTCGCCGTCGCGTGTATCGGCTTCGTCGACCTCATGACTGGGTCGACGGAACAGAGGCGTGTGCAGAAGGAGGCGGCGCGTCTCCGTCTCATTCTGACGCAGGCAACGTTCGTCGGGCTCGACGACGGCGAGGATGGCGTGTTCGAGGACGCTAGGCAGAAGCTGGTCGGCATTCTGGCCAATGTGGGCCGCGCGGCGAGTGGGCGTGGCATCCGCGCCGACGACTCGGGATTAGAGACGGATGATGAGTGGTAGGACCTCCAGATTCCATAAAAATGTTTAGCTAGATACCTCCCTATAGATGTCGTTGTATGGATAGTATGTTTTTCTGCTCACGACTCTGGCTGGATTTCTTAGAGCACCGACGATGTTGCGGGTTCAAGGGCGTCGGGGAGGGATGGTGTTCCGACCCGGATTTGCCACTTCGTCGACCTGGTCGATCAACCTCCACTTCACCCCATTGTCAACAATCCTCCACCCCTCCACCCTTCCTCGTCTTCATCTCACACCACCTTGCTCTTATTCCTTACCTACCAACAGCAGGAGCGATGGAGAAGGTCTCCGACTACGACGTCCTGAAGCGGCATCATCGGTACGTACCCCCGTATCGTAGCTGTCGGAGCAAGCAAGCATGGTAGCTGACATCAGATTCGTGCGCGAGGATGACGACGAGGAAGAGAGCTGGGAAGACCGCGTCGCGAAGAACTACGAGTCGAAGTTGTTTCGGGAGTATGCACTCGTAAGTCAAATATTCCCCTTCTCTCCCCTCACTTTGCACACCTCTCTCCTTGCTTCTTCTTTCGTTGAAGTGTTCCTCACATCTTTTCCGCCTGGTCGGGAGCGGCAGCCTCATCCCCCATCGCAAACGTAGGAAGACCCTGCATTCGGGGATCGTTGGGCGAGCTAACATCACTTCCTCGTTAGCTAACACCCAGATCGATCTGAAGCACTACAAGTCGAACCGGTATGCGCTGCGCTGGCGCACAGCCACCGAGGTGGTGGACGGGATCGGGGACGAGACGTGTGCCGGGCTCCGATGCGAGAGACACAAAGAGCGGACGAGGACGGAGGCGTTCGAGCTCCCCTTTGTCTATGTTGAGGATGGAGTGAGGAAGGAGAGGGAGGTGAAGGTCAGACTTTGTCGGCGGTGTGCGGCTAAGTTGACTTGGAAGCCGAGGGAGGAGCGGGATAAGATTGAGAAGAGGAGGGATAGAAACACCGAGCGGGACCGGGACCGTGCCGACCGACGAGATAGAGAAAGACGGAGCGAGAGCGAGCGACGCCGCCGAGACGAGGGAGACCGCAGGCGCGATCGGAGAGAAGACAGAGAGCGCAGTCCTCATCGGCAACGAGGACACGATCGACGGTGACATCCCACCACCACAACATAGGCATCACCACCCACAGCCCACGCACCACACACATCTGTACACTACACACAATGCATTGAGTAATCCAGCGCACTTTGTTCGCCCTCTGTTGCTGGCTGATGCAATCATGCATCTGCCTTATCGTCCACCTTGTTGTCACCACCAAGCATGTTACATAAGCACGCCTCCACCGCACCTCCACTGAAACCTCCACTTTTGCGTTGAGCGACAATCCAACTTTCGTCCGTCCATCCCAGCTTCAACACACACCCTTCGAACTCTCGACCGCAACGACGCCGTTCAATGCTCGGAACACGGTGCCTCCTCAGGCAGGCGCTGCTTCCTCGGCACTACCCTTCGCGGCCACCACCGCCGACCCGCGAGCTGCTCCAGCGAGCAGACGCCCTCCTCCGTGAACGGCCAACAACAACGAGCGCCTGCCACACGCACCTCGACACAGTTTACGCGCTGATCAAAGATCTGCAACCGCGAAATGCGCAAAGGGAGAGCTGGAAGGCGTGGAGCGCCAAGATGAAGCTGTGGACCCACTGGCTCGACGGCATCAGACAGCTGCACGGCCTGGGTGCGCTCGCCTTGCGAAAGCCCGACGGCCGACAACGCCTAAAGGCAGACGACTTCACGCCGCTCCTGCTCTCGCTCCAGTCTCCGAGCTGGATGGAAACCCGTGCTGCGAAGGAAGGCACCGTGAAGCCCGACATCGACCGCGTTTTCAAGACAATGTACGAGCTCGGCCTGCGCCCGACGCCGTTCCACCTCATGCTAGCGCTGCAGCGGGTGCCGATTGGGGAAATGCTCGGCCGCGCGGAGAGGATAGAGAATCCCAAGTCTGAGGCTCTCGGAGGGCTTGACAGGGTTGCGCTCCAGCTCCGACCCATGCTTCGCCGGAGTATGCTGAGCCGGGTGGGTCTGCGCCGCCGCTCCGGTGTGCGACACCACGAGGTCGAGCTGCAGAAGCTGCAACACTACGTCGATTGGCAGGTCATCGAGGCCGTGGCCCGGGGAGATGCGAGGTTTGAGCCTGCGCTCCAGGCCGCCAGGGAGTCGAGAGCGAAGCTGCTCGCGAGTCTTCTAGACAAGATCATCCGTGCCGACCTTGGCGAGGACGTGCGGATAGAGATGGAGGAGCTCAACGCTGCGTTCCTCCACATCATGGATGTGCTGCAGCTTGGCACGTCGCCGGGGTTCGTCGACTCGGAGGGCAAAGGTGTCGACCTCGCGGACCCGATTGAGGCGTACAAGCTGCTCGTTGCTGGCACCGACATTTTCAAGCGCGGGGACGGCGGCCAGAGCCAGAGCCTGCCCTCACAGAACAGTCTCCGACAACGGCGTCTGAACCGCATCGAACACAACTCCAACCACCTCCAGTACTAGTATCAATACCCCCTTCAGCATATTCATCCTTATCAATCACTGCATCTCCAGCATCCATCGACCCCTCAATAGACCCATCAGCATCATCACTCTCACCACGACAACTTCCCCTCTCCACCCCCCTCTCACCCGACTCTCTCGACTCCTCTCCCATCCTCTCCCTGACTATCCCGCGCCCAATATCCGTCGCAGCAATACACTGGGCGCGCACGCCGAAACACCCCGCGCGCCAATGTCTGAAGCGTCTCGCAATCGCCTGCGCCCGCACCAACGACTTCAAGGGCACACTGCAGCTGTGCGCCGCGACGACATTCCCAATCTCGGGCTGGCGTCAAGCCCCCTATCTCGCCGGCGCGGCGCAGACGACTGACGACCTCAGGCTCCTCCTGCCCCACCTGGAGCGGCTCAAGGTGACGCCGGCGGCTCAGGCTCCTGTCCAGACGCTGGAGAGCGTGCCCGGGGTCGTGTGGCGGTTGCGCCGGCTGGCGCTCATGCTTGATGCTGAGGCGCTCAAAGCCGGCGAGGAGCGCGAGAGGACGTATGCAGAGCGGTTTGACGTTTTGTTCAGACGGTGGGGCGTGCTTCCGCCTCGTGCCGGAGATACAGGGCGCGGGGCGGCTCCCATCTCTGAAAAACCAGACATTGACGCTGGCTCCGGGACCGAAGCTGTCTCTCCCCGCGCAGAGCCACAGCCCGCGACTAGAAAGACACGCCTCGTCCGCGATCGCCCCCTCCTAACGGCCCTGTACACTGCGACTGTGCCGGCATCACCACGCGTGACCCCCGCACCAACGACCAAGCTCGACCGCCTGCTCCTGGCCGCCCGCTCCGCCACCTCATAGTAGATAGGAGAATGAGAGAATGGTCAATGCATTGGATATAATCAAAGCCTTACCTACCAACAGCAGGAGCGATGGAGAAGGTCTCCGACTACGACGTCCTGAAGCGGCATCATCGGTACGTACCCCCGTATCGTAGCTGTCGGAGCAAGCAAGCATGGTAGCTGACATCAGATTCGTGCGCGAGGATGACGACGAGGAAGAGAGCTGGGAAGACCGCGTCGCGAAGAACTACGAGTCGAAGTTGTTTCGGGAGTATGCACTCGTAAGTCAAATATTCCCCTTCTCTCCCAACACGAGCCTTACGGTACAGATCGAGCGGGATGTGTCCAATCCATCCGGTCCTGCTGTCAGCTAGCAACCAGGGCCTCTAGCTTACGTTCCGAATCCGCCAATGTAGTAGATGTCCTGAATATCGAGGCGTGCCCAGCGCGCGACATGAGCGCCCTTAGGGTCGCCCGGCAGCCACCACTTGGCATCAGGGTGGTACTGGGTGAAGCACTCTTCGAGGCGCTTGCGTTCCTTCTCATCGGGGTAGACCGTTGTCAAGTTCTGCATTTCATCAGCCGCGAGGTCTTCGGACTCGTGGACCCGAAGATGCTTACACCGATGAACGCCGCGCGGGGCTGGCCATACTCGCTCCTGTGCTCCTTCAGCGGTGTCTGGAGGGTGTACGTCCTGGAGTTCAGACGTGTGCTCTTCCGATCTGTTCCAGCCCTTGATCTGCTTGGCACGGGAGTAGCGCGGGCTCAGCTCCTCCTGCAAGTACAGGGGGAGGGCGGCCTCGAGTTCGGGACTCGTGCGGCTCTCGGGCGCAAAGACGTACTCGTCGGCCCAGTCCTGGTCCTGCGGGCCGGGGGCGGGGCCGCGGAGCGAGACCGGGATCAGCGGGCGGGGGATGCGCGACGCGTCCTGCAGATTCAGCGTCGAGGCGGCCGACGCGCGCTCGAGCGTGTCGACCGGCATCGGGTCGGCCTTCTCCTTCGGCTGCGTGATGGGCCAGGGGATGCGGACCTGGTCGCGCGCCGGGTCGCGCGGGAGCATCGAGCCGTCCCCGCTCAGCGCGGCTGCGTAGCGCGCCCAGCGCGCCGAGCGCGTCGCGCGGTCGTAGAAGGGCGCCGTCGTCGCCACGCGCGTGGCAAAGACGCTGTCGGCGCCCGCATCGCGCACGCAAAGCTGCACGGAAGAGTAGTGCACTGCCCGGCGCTGGCTGATAAAGTTGCGCTGCTGCAGGTAGCTGTGGCGCTCGTCCTCGGTCATCTTGGCCAGCTTCTCCTCCGACGGCAGCGGCTGCGTCCGGTTCGAGCGCACATTCGTCAGCCCGTCCAGGTAAACGCGGTTGTGCACCATGTTCACCCCCGACACCGTGTACACGCGCCAGACCTTGCCCTTGGCCCCGTCCTTGCCCTGCTTGGTTGTGTCGTACTTCTCCTCCGGTTTGCCCACCATCAGCCGCACCTTGTCGCCCGGCACAATGTTCCAGCGCCGGATACGGTCCTTGGGCGCAGTGTACTTGCGACCCGGGCGCGGCATGCGCACAGCGTATCGCGAATTGACAAACTTGCTGTGCGACACCTTGTCAAGGTGGTGGAAACCTGCGGCGCTGTTAGCATACACCACCGTCACCACCGATGGGCGCGCGCTCACCTCTCGGAATCCTTTCGACAGTCGGCATGTTGGCGTGCGTTCGATGTCGTCGGTGTCGGAGAGTGGTAGCGAAGCACTTGTCTAGTCTTCCGTCTGAGGTCGTTGGACTTGAGGGTGCAGCAGAGGGCGGACTCGGACTTTTCGTCCACTCGTCCGGTATCACTCAACCTCCACCCAGGGGATACGACACAACGACGAAAAGTTGCTACACATCATTTTCTATTCCACTGCATCACGTGATCTCTACTAAATGTGGATTACGGCTCTAAGTCTAAGCGAGAAGAGAGAGAGAGAGAGGATGGTGTCTATGCGAGGAGGCCGCGGAGCTTCTCGACGGCCTGCTTGCACTCGTCCTCAGTGCCGACCGTGATGCGGACACAGCCCTCGCATCCGTGGTCGCTGCCGCGGTAGCGGATGACGACGCCCTGGTTCTCGGCCATGTTCTTGTACACGTCGAATGCGCGCTTCGAGTCGGGCTTGCCGTCCGTGAGCACCTCGACGAGGATAAAGTTGGCGTGGTTGCCGCCACGGATGCGGCCAATGTTCGGCACAGTCTGCAGGTCGCGGATGAGCTGGTCGCGGTTCGCGTTCAGCTGCTTCGTGTTCTTCTCCCACACCTTGAGTCCAGACTCGGACACGGAGGCAAGCGCGAGCGAGGCAGTGGGCAGCGAGACATTGTATGGCGCCTTGGCGTTCGTGAGCACCTGGATCAGCTCGGGGGCGCCCATCAGGTATCCGAGACGAATGGCGGCCAGGCCGAACGACTTGGACAGCGTCTGCGACACGCACACGTTGGCGTACTCCTTGACGAGCTCCACGGCCGAGGTGCCCTCGGGCGCAAAGTCGATGTACGCCTCGTCGACGACGATGAGACCTTTGAAGCGCGGGTTCTCGGCGATGCGGCGGATGGCGTCGAGCGGGATCAGCGTGCTCGTCGGGTTTCCCGGGGAGCAGATGAAGAGGAGCTTGACGTCGTCGGCGAACGCGGCGTCCATGCCGGCCTCGTGGAAGTCCTCGTCGAGCGGCACCTTGACAATGCCCACGTCGTTGACCTGCGCCGTCACACCATACATGCCGTAACTCGGGGGTGTGACCATGACCTTGTTCTTGGCGGGGACGCAGAGGCAGCGGAACAGCATGTCAATGACCTCGTCGCTGCCGACGCCGAGGAAGACCCAGTCCTCATTCGGGAGACCGCGCAGCTTGGCGATCGCCTGCTTCAGCTCGTCGTGGGTCGGGGACGGATACCGGTTCAGCTGGGCAATGTCCGCCGCACTCATGGACGCGAGCGCGGACGCCGCGGCGCTGTCCTTCTGCTCCTCGATCGCGATCGAGGGACCGTACGCATTCTCGTTGGCGTCGAGGAGCACGCCGGCAGAGTAGTCGTCGCGGGCACAGCGGTACGGGGTGAGGGCGAGGATGTTGGGGCGCACGATGCGCTCAATGTCGTAGTGGGCGGGCTTGGAGGGTCCCTTCGACTTGAGTCCGAGGATCGCCATGGTGCGTGAGAGATGTTTGTGGTGGTGGGCGAGGTTGCGGAACAGCGTCGCTGACATAACCCCTCGCCTTGTTATCGTCGCCCGTCGCCGTTATCGATATCGAGTCGAGAACCGGAACGCGGGGCCCACAATGGCAGACGGCGTTTGCGACTCGAAACCTTGTGGCAGCTGATTCGTACTCGACTGGTGCATGCTTATCGAGTCAATGGCGGTATGCAACAGAGTAGTACCAAAGAGATGCATGCATGGAATGGTTCTGATGCATAAAAGCATAGGCGTTGTTTGTTCTCAACAACTGGAAAAAGTTGGGCGGAAATGTTGGCTCAGTTACGCGATCCACCCACACCTCCACATGAATGATCGCCGCTGAATAGAGCCTGCGGAGACATCCTCATACACCGTCGTCCGCGTCCTCTATGCACGACTGACGCGTCGCGGTGGGCTCTACTAGCTCTACTCTCCTTTGCACAGGGGCCAAGCCAGGAACTCTCGAGCAAGGACGAGGGACAAGACGAGAACAAAGAGAGAACAAGGGGGGCTTTGGATTACTCCCGATGGAATTGGCCGACTGAAAAATATTAAGGGTCTCCTCACGCGGCGGGGCGCGGCTGAGCGGCGTTCCTGCGGCCGGGCTCTCTGCTGGCGCTGGCGAGCAACACGATCGTACCATCGAGCGAACACCGCACGAGACTGGCCTTCAACGCTCTTGACAACGCTCCATACACCCCCCTACACACAATGGCGACCGTCACCGAGACCCAGACGAAGACCCAGGAGCCCACCCTCGACGGCTACGACGAGGAGCAGGTCCGCCTCATGGAGGAGCGCTGCATCCTCGTCGACGAGAACGACAAGACCTACGGCGAGGGCTCCAAGAAGCGCTGTAAGCATGACTCTACAAGGGCATTGAGTGGCAAGCTAACGACACTCAGGCCACCTCATGACCAACATCAACGACGGACTGCTGCACCGCGCCTTCTCCGTGTTCCTCTTCCGCCCGTCCGACGGACGGCTCCTCCTCCAGCAGCGCGCCGAGGAGAAGATCACCTTCCCGGACATGTGGACGAACACCTGCTGCTCGCACCCGTTGTACATCAAGTCTGAGCTCGTCGACGAGGGCCAGGCCGGTGTGCGCGCCGCCGCGATCAGGAAGCTGCCCCACGAGCTCGGCATCCCCGCCGAGCAGCTCTCGCCCGAGGACTTCACCTTCCTGACGAGGATACACTACCTCGCGCCCTCGGACGGCATGTGGGGCGAGCACGAGATCGACTACATCCTCTTCGCGACCAAGGACGTGACGCTCGACCTGCAGCCGAACGAGGTCAAGGACGCGCGCTACGTGTCCAAGGAGGAGCTCGAGGCTATGTTCAAGGACCCGGCGTACAAGTTTACGCCGTGGTTCAAGCTGATCGCGCGCGACCTCCTGTTCCCGTGGTGGGACCAGATGATTGAGAAGAGCAAGGCGCTCGGCGGTGACGTCCGCGCCGACGTGCTCGCGAACGGACCCCAGATCAACGACCTCATCAAGATGACTTAGAGAATGCCAATCCTATGCATAATAATCCCACAGGACTGGTCACGACCTGGCCAGACCTCGCCGACTGCCGAGGCTAGCTTGCACCGAGGTCGGTATCGAATTGTGTTGACGGAACCCCACTACTGCCCACTGCCGTTGGCTCCTCGGGCAGAAAAACAAGAATTGATGACGGAACCCGGCTGACAGGGTCCATCGCGTCGCTGACTGATTCCACTGAACATTGAATACGCAGAGCTCCAGCTTTACGACCGCGACGACCCTCTCCCAGTCCCCCGGGACAACTTCTCGACCGAGGAAAATGCAATCCAATTCGGCGTAACGGCGTGCGGAGCGTATATACGTACGCCCGCAGTTTCCATGGAACAATCGAGGCACCCCATTTCCGCATTCCGCAACCCGACTTGCCGGGGGCTCGCCATGTCCATAAGAACCCCAGTTCCCATCCTCTCGACCCAGTATCCATGTCCACAGCTGTTCCCAGAGTACTTAAGCACGCCCCCAAGCACCTCTCCAGACACACCTACAGCACCATGTCCCTCCCGACCAAGCAGCGCATCTGGGTCGTCGCGAACCCGAACCCGACCCAAGTCTCCGCGTCTATCTTCAAGCTCGAGGAACGCCCCCTGCCCCAGCCGGACGCCGAGTCCGTCCTCGTCTCGGCCGACTACCTCTCCAACGACCCCGTGACGCGCCTGTCCTTCAACGCGAAGGGATCCTCGCCCAACGTCGCTGCCGTCGGCACTGTGCTCGCCGACGCGGGCAAGTGGAAGAAGGGCGACCGCGTCTCGACCCGTCTGGGCTGGTTCGACTATGCCGTCGTGCCCGCCTCTTCGCTCTCTCCAGCCGAGGAAGTCGAGGGCAAGCCGTGGGCTGTCCTGTCCGACCTGGGCGCGACCTCGCTCACGGCGTATGCGGGCATTGAGACACTGGACGTCAAGCCCGCGGACGTGGTGCTCGTCGGCGGCGCTTCCGGGGCCGTGGGCACCGCCTTCGTCCAGATGGCCAAGCACGTGCGCGGCGCGAAGCGCGTCGTGGGCGTCGCAGGCGGCAAGGCCAAGTGCGACTGGGTCAAGAAGCTGGGCGCGGACGAGTGTGTGGACTACAAGTCTGCTTCTTTCGCCGAGGACCTGAAGCGCGCTCTGCCCGATGGCGCGTCCGCTTTCCTCGACCCCGTCGGCGGCAGCGTGCTCAATGCTGCCCTCGACAATATGCAGAAGGACGGCCGCGTCGCTGTCTGCGGCAATGTCGCCGCGCTCAACGGCGGCACGCAGGTCATTGACAAGCCGCTCGTCATTGTGCAAAAGCACCTGACCGTCAAGGGCTTCTCTGTCATGAGCTGGATGCCCCGCGCCCCCCAGATTCGCAAGGAGATTGCGGGCTGGATCAGGGACGGCAAGATCAAGGCCGACGGCACGGACGAGGTCGTCGATACGCCCGTCGACCGCATCCCCGAGACGTACATGAAGCTCTATGACGGGACTAAGCACCCCGGCAAGCTTATCACGCACATTATCCACTAAAAGTCTGGACTTTGTATCGATACAAGTTTGAATATGCAAATATTATTGTGTCTATGTCTTTTCTATCTGGGTTTTGTGGAGCGCTTCCAGCCCTGACCTGTGAAGAGGAGACGCCGCCAGAGCGCCACTGCCAGTGGAATCGCTAAGGGGTCGCCGGAACGCGGCGCCTGCAGGACCAGCACGTCCTCGTCCTTCACTGATCGCAACAGCCTCTCCAACTCTTCGACGCGCTCGCAGGGCTCGCCATACGCAGCCTCCCGCAGCCGGAAGAGGGGTATGCCCGGCACGCCGCTGCGTCGCTTCAGCATGCCCCTTGGCGCGAGGGATGAGAGGTCCTCCGTCCGCAGCGGGGTGGGCTTGCGGTCCTTGTCCGGTCCAAGTGCAGTTGGCTCCTCGAAGGAAGACCGCAAATCTACGATCGCGACGACCTTGCCGTCCTCTGTCCCCTGGATCAGGGGTCCCTTCCGCTGCACCTCGGAGAGGGAGAGGATGTGTCTCTGCCCCGCGTCGCCCGCCAGTGCCTCAGCTAGGAGGATAGCCTCCTGCAACGTTCGCTCCAGTACGCCCTCCTCGACCATCCGCGTCGCCTCGGGGTGCATACTGACATCGCCCCAGATTCGGCGCAGATACCGCAGGTGATTGCCTTAACGTCAGCTTGATCCGCTGTTGCAAGCTTACCTTTCGTCTGCAGATTCTCAACTGCGTCCCGATGCAGTGCAGTCCAGAAAGAGCGGCCCTGTCGCCGGCGCTTGAACTTGGGATGCTCGAGGCGGTCAGGGAACACGATGTTCGCCTCGTCACCTTCCCCTGCGCGAAAGCTGACCATGAACGCATTCGGGAGGTGGGCCTTGGTCACTGCGCATTCGCGCTGAGGGCTGAAGGCCATGGTACTGAAGAGATCACACTTCCAGGCTTCATCGGGCTTCGGGGCCGGAGGCGGGGGTTGGTTGACGTACGCCTCGAGCAGGGCTGATGGCCGGGACGACGACGAGGGCGGGGGCCGAGGGGTCGGAACCGAGGACGTCGCTGCCACTGCTGCTGCCGCACTCGAGGCCGCGCCAGCCGTGCCAGCCGTCGAGAGGCAGCGCTTGATGACGGACATGGCGCGGATGTCGGCCATGGACATGGGTGCGGTTTCGAAATCTTGGGACGCCGGGGTAAGCGGCAAATTGCCCCCGTGACACCGGCTATGTGCGCCGGGCCGTGCCCATCTGTTACCATCTTCCGACGACCCACAACGCTTTCTTCCATCCATCCCATCCAGCATGCCCGACGACAACACCCCGCCGTCCCCGCCCGCTGCAGCTACGACCGCCGCCATGGCCGCGCCCGCCGTGCACCACCTCTCTCACGCGCCGACGCCGTACCGCGCCTCCTCGCTGCCGCAGCAGCTGAAGCGGCTAGCAGCTGAAGCGGCTAGCGTACGTCGTGTCGATCATTCTCGGAGGCGGAGCCGTCATCGCAGGCTTGTGGAGCGCCTTCCTCCTTCCCCTCCTCCATGCGACGTATAGCGCGCGGAACGCGCTCGCTCTCCCCCAGTCGGAACGCTGGGGACAGCTCGTCGAGAAACTCAAGGGGATCCGCGAGCTCGCCATCTTCCCCGTGCGCAGCGAGGAGGAGACGCGCGCGCTCGTGCGTGCGCACAAGGCCGAGCTGGCCTCCCAGGCGTCCCAGGTCGGCGAGGAGGAGACGGAGGAGAAGGACGGAGAGGAGGGCGAGGAGAAGGACGGCGAGAGGAAGCTGCTCACAGCGCCTGATGACAGCCCTAAGAGCGCGAGCATCAGTCTCGCCGAGACGGCCGAGGAGAGCGTTGCGCCTCCGCTGACTACGAGCCAGCTGCACGCCGACCCGAGCGTGCTCGGCCCCGCGCTCCGCGAACTCGCGTCAAGCATGGAGGCGACAGCGACGACACGCACGTCCCTCCTCTCCACGCTCGAGGGGTACACTTCCGGCCTGCACCGCGAGCTGTTCCTGAGCCGCGGCGCAAACTCCTCCCCGTGGAGCAAGGGCACGAGCTCCGTCGGTCTCGGCACGCTCAGCGCCAACCTCGCCAAGGCGGGCGGCAACACGGACTCGCCCCTTGGTCTCCCTGCTGCCAAAAGCGAGGAGTGGGACGCTGTCCGTCGCGAGGTCCGCGCGATCAAGGGCATCCTCCTCAACAGGCGCAACTTTGCGCCCGCCAGGCCTGTCCACTAGCGGTCGACAGGCCCGCACATGGAGGACCGTTGAGTCTCTCTGTTCGCTAGGTTTCATCATAGTTCCATCATGCATTGTGTGTAGTGTACAGTGAAGTTATGTTTTGGGGTATTGGTCGGGTGGCGAGTCAGCAGGGAGTGAGGGAGACGGTTGCCCGCACTTATTCGGCAATGTGTCTACGCAGAATGCATGTCATGAGTGGTACAACGAGAATGTGTGCTCGGAACGGCTTAGAAGTCCTGCATTGTCAGCTCTTCACATCGGGTCAGCTTACCGTCGCCCTTCCGCCGAACTGCCAGTCAGCGTCGCCGGCAATGAACGGGTCCTGCTTCGGACCTCCGATCTCGCCCGTCTTCGGGTTGACGTCTCCCTCAAACTCGGGCTTGGGGCCCTTGCGGAGGTCGCGGTGCTCGAGCTCCTCGGCGGCGGCCTCAAACTCGGCCTCGGTCAGGGGGTCGGCCGTCGGCGCGACCTGGTTCTGGCGAATGAGCTCCTCCATCTCGGCCTGCTCCTTGGGCGGCAGGGGGAGGGGACCAGGCCGGCCAAAGGAGCCAAAGTCGGAGCGGGCGACCGAGGTCGTCGCAAAGCTGCGGGCGAAGAGGGTAGTGCGGAGGATACGGACGAGCATGGTTGTTGTTGTTGGAAGAAAGTCGGAGCAGGTCGAAGCCGACTTTCATCTCATCTCGGAATGGGCTCGAGCACGGAGGCAAAATGAGATGACATCAGGTAGTCACCTGCGTTTATTTTGACAACAACGCGAGAGGCTTCGGTCGCGTCAACCAGTTTACCTTCTCCACCATTCTCCGCCTCACACGCACACTCGTCATGCCGGCCCGCAAGCGTGCCGCGTCGACAGCCTCTTCCCTCTCCCCTCCGCCAGCGACCAAGGCGAAGGCGACGAAGAAGAAGGCGCCCAAGTCCAAGTTCCCCGCCGCGATCGACGTCTCGAACCACCCGCCCAGGCAAGGCCTGCCGGCCTACGAGTTCCCGACCCCGCACAAGACGAACGGCGCGATTGTGCCGCCAGACTACTCCCAGACCCTCTTCGTCGGTGCGCATGTGTCCATCGCGGGCGGCGTCGCCGGCGCCCTCCTCCGAGCCGGCAAGATGGGCGCGAACGGCCTCGCAATGTTCGTCAAGGGGCACCGGACGTGGAAGGCCAAGCCGATGGATGCCGAGACGGTCGAGGACTGGAAGAAGCTCTTCAAGCCCGAGTCTGAGGAAGGACTGGGCTACGGCCCGCAGCACGTTCTCGTGCATGGCAACTACCTCATCAACCTCGGCAACCCGGACGAGGCAAAGTGGAAGCAGGCTTACGAGTGCTTCCGCGACGACATTGCCCGCTGCCACCAGCTCGGTATCAAGCTCTACAACTGGCATCCCGGGAGCACTGTTGGCGCGTGCACCAAGGAGGAGAGCTTTGCGCTCGTCGCCAAGGCGATCAACCAGGTGCACAAGGACGTGCCCGAGGTCGTGACGGTGATTGAGAACATGGCGAACGCCGGCAGCAATATCCTCGGCACGGCCTTTTCGGACCTTGCGTCCATGATCGAGCTCGTCGAGGACAAGGACCGCGTCCGCGTATGCCTCGACACGTGCCACCTCTTTGCGGCGGGGTACGACTTCCGCACGCCCGAGGCGTATGCGAGCATGATGGACGACTTTGAGCAGACGGTCGGGCGCAAGTACCTCGGCGGCATCCACCTGAACGACTCCAAGGGCGAGCTCGGGTGCAACCGCGACCTGCACGAGAACATTGGGCTCGGCTGTATCGGCCTGAGCGGGTTCCGGAATCTCATGCGCGACTCGGGCATGGCGGGCATCCCCATGGTGCTCGAGACGCCGAGCGGGCCGGCCAAGTCGGTCGAGGACGGCGAGCTCGACATCTGGACAAAGGAGGTGGCGCTGCTATATGAGATTCAGAAGATTGGCGTTGAGGACTGGACAGAGGACAAGGAGAAGGAGGTCACGGAGCGGTGGAGGAAGGAGCGTAATGCCATCGATCCGCCGAAGGGCAAGGGCAAGCCGCCGCCGAAGAAGGCTGCTGCCAAGAGGGCCGCGAAGAAGGGCAAGAAGAAGGACGAGACGTCGGACGAGTCCGAGTCCGAAGCCGACTTTAGCGACTAGACGTAAGACGTAAGCCAAAAGTAGAATACTGTCTGCGGCCAAAAGCGTGTAATGTGTACATGTGTAAGATGCATATGCTGTGATTTGCTCTAGATCTATCGGCACTCCTCCCAAGTCCCCGTGACCCACAGCCCCGCCTTCGTCTGCCTGACCCACCCGAGCTGGTCCCATAATCGCTTATACGCCCTCGTCAGCAGTCGTGGCGTAATGACACTCGGCGGGCCCCAGGTACTCGGGTTCTGTCTGGTGTGTGCGGGCCGGGGACGCGGATACGGGTCTGGCGGTTGCCCTCTCCTCCTCCGTTTGGGATACACCGCCCTCAAAGACGCGGGCAGGTTCTCAAACGTCTGCAGACTCCGCGTATCCACCGGCACATTCTTCGTCGGCGGTGCATCCCCCCTCTGTCGCCGCGGCATCGGGAGCTCGAACCCCCCTCCCTCAAGCCCGGCGAGGACGCGCAAACTCTCCGCGACGCCCTTGCCCTCCCATCCCGTCTTCGAGCTCCCCTTCAGCGTAAGGGGGACGGATGTGATTGCGTCCCACTCCCTCTCCCATTTCCGCCTCTTCTCCCTCTCGAGCACTTTGGCGGGTACCTCCGTCCTCGCCCTCATCGGCTTCAGGTCGCCTTGCTTCACCTTCATGAGCGGCCGGAGCGGAAAGGGGACGGGCTGGAATGTCTTCGGCGGGAATCGGGGCGCCTCCGGCCACACCTTCGGAGCGAAGTGGGATGAGAGCGTGATGTTCTTGATCAGGTGCCAGCGCACACTCCCGCTCTGCCCGTAGCTGTACTTCAGCAGGCGCTCGAGGGCGTGTGGGTGGCACGCGACGGCTGCGCGAAGTTGTCGAAGCGCTTTCGAGGCATGCTTGTCCTTTGATTCTCGGAGGTAGGTTTTGAACTCGGGAACGAGGACGGACCACACATGCGGGTCCGGGAGGTAGCAGAGGTTCTTGAGGTAGCGGCGGTAGAGCTGCCGCGGGGTCGTGAGTGTTGTCGACATGGCGACCAGCTCCCAGCTCGCTGAATGTCGCTCGTAGTCTTGAGAGAGTCGAGGGCGCCGCCAATGTCGTCGTACGTGTCGTGCGAGGTGTTGTTGTGACGTAGGTGCTGCAACTCGACCACATCTTCGAACTTCTCGACACGATAATATAGACCACGTGACCCGACACGAGGATGCCGTGCCTGAGTCTCGGCTGGGTTGGCCGCGCGGCCGGATTTTGATGTCCACCAATGGTCTTTTCGAGTATTGACACGGGCGACCTCTTGGGACGAGCACTCGGCTTCCACCTTTACCTGCCTTTGACTCTCCTCACACACTCCCTTACTCTCTCCCAAAGCCTCGACTCGACCTCCGACAATGACGAGCGGGACGAGCGAAGCCGGCCCCTCCACGCCGCGGCCGCGCGTCGAGGTGTCCTCCTCTTCCAGCGGCCTGCAGGTGTCCACGAACCGCTCGGGCGAACGAAAACAGTACAACCTGCGACTACCGAGCAACCTCGTGTGGATGGCGCCGAGTGCGGCGATGATCGGCTTCTTCATCGGCGCAAAGCGCGGGGGTGCGCGTGCGCGTCTCCGTTTCCTCGCCGAGAACGCCCACAGGGCGCCCAAGACGGTGCAGGGCTGGTACTTCTACACGAAGACGAGGAATTACCGCGTCATGCTCCAGGGCCTCAAGAGTGGTGCCAAGTACGGCCTTTACTTTGGCGGCGCTGTTGCCGCTTTCGTCGTTGCGGAGGAAGGGGCGGGGTGGCTTCGAGAGAGGCTGGAGCCGCCGACACGGCCGAATCCCAACCAGGACAGGTACTCTTGGCGCAAGGGGCCGGTGCATGTTGCGGACGGAGCGGTGGCAGGTGGATCGTTGGCTGCTATCGCGGGACTTGCCTGTGAGTGAAGCATAGGAGCGGAATAGCTCGCCGGGCAATGGAAGCTGACTCCAGTCCGTCTACCGAACCCGCTCCTGATCCAGGGCGTCGTGATCTCGACTCTGATGGGAGGACTCATGTCCGGCCTGCAGCACGTGCAGGACGACCTGTACCCGGAGGCCAAGTTCGAGCGAGCTGCCAAGGAGGCAGTGGACGAGGTTGCCGCGGGCGATCTGGACGGCGAGCACAACGGCGACGCGGAGCGACAGCCCATGCCGACGGCTGTGCCCGAACTGGGAGGACTGGGGGAACTCGGCACAGTGGCCCAGCAGCAAGCACAGGCGCAGGGGAACAAGTGGTGGTCGTGGAAGTAATGCATCTTACATCATAGACATCAGAATTTACCATGTCTGGCCCATGCCGTTCAGGATCTTCTCGATCAGCGCACGCTTCATGTACTGCTCGCGCGCGAGCTGGCGGACCGCCTTCAGGTATCGGTCCAGGTCGAGGCGTTCCGCATCGAGCGCGCGTGTCAGGTGGTAGATCGTGTCGCTGAGCGCGTTGTCCTCGGCCACGAGGTCTATGAGTCTGCACGTTAGCTCAGCACGCCGGGTCTTTGAGCTCACTGGTTGTGCGCAATGCTGATACCACACACGACTTCGTCAACTGAGACCTCGCCTCGGCGCTCGAGGTCCACGACGCGCTCCTCGCCCTTCTGCACGACGTCGGACATCTTCTCGACAACCACATCGCACACTTTCTTCACCGCCTCGAGGCGCGCCATCTCGTCCCTGATCGCTGGCTCGCCGGAGGCTAGATCCTCCCGCCGCTCGAGGAGGGCCTGGCGCTGCGACTCCAGGTCATGCTTCAGTGCCGGCAAGGCTGCGTTCAGGTGCGGCTGCAGGATCGCATGCAGGTGGATCAAGGAGGGCGGAGGCGGCTTCGGCGGTGCAGCTGGCGGCGTGTCCTCCGGAAGGTCGGACGTTTCGTTGTTCGGGGACGAAAGAAGATCTTGTCGCGGCTGGGGTACAGACAAGCTCGCCTGCGGGTGGGGTTGCGGAGGCTGCTGGTGCAGCTGCTGGTGCTGTTGAGGCGGATACGGTGGTTGCTGATGCTGAGGTACTGGGGGATGCTGATATCCGTGGTGGGATTGCTGGTGCTGGGGTGGATAGTGTTGCTGATAAGGAGGCTGAGGAGGCTGAGGAGGCTGAGGAGGGTGAGGCGGTCCAGAGTGCTGGGCACGAACGGGCGACTGGACATGTACTGGCGACTGAGGACCCGGCGAGAAGTGCTGCTGCTGCTGTTGCTGGGCAAAATTCAGCGGAGGCGGTGGTGACATGCTCGCCCGGTACTGCGGGAACGGCCGATTGGGGATCGGCGGCGCATGGCCTTCCGGCTGAGTTGGCTGAGCGTTCACTGGTGGCGGGGACAGGCCCGGTCTCGGCGGCACTGGCGGCGAACCCGGGTCCATCGATCCCGACCGACTCGGCTGGTGACTTGGCTGGTATTGCGGCAAGACTTCTCTTGGGGGCTGGGGCGGGGCGGGTTGTTGCGGAGGCGGTGTCGACATGGAAGATTGCCGTGACGGCGTCGTCGTCGTTCCAGGCGGCTTGGCGTACACTGGCGGCTGGCGCGAGAAGACCTCGATCATCTTATTGATGAACGTCTGGAGCTGCCTGTCCTGCCACCACTCCTGCGCGACTGTGATTCTACCGCAGGGGTCGACCTCACGCCCCTTGCGGACTCCCATGTCCTTGGTGGGCACGACGAAGGCCATCGGCGGCGCCTGCGGGTACTCGTGCGGCAGCTATATGGCCACGGGAATCTGGTACGTGTTTCCCTTATACGGTGTCGGGAGCGTTCCATGGAGCTGCAGGAGCAGTGATGTTTGGCCAGAGTCGAAGGCTGATGTCAGTTGCTTCCAGTGTAGCTAACTCACTGAAGGCATCTGTCCGGACTGCGAGGGAGCGGTATTTCCTGAGGATATCGAGGACCTCTGAGAGGATGCGATCCCTCGCGGGGTATGGCCGGAGAACGGACTTGAGCCAGTCTCTGGTGGCGTCGAGGGACATGAGCGGGGGAGATGGAGAAGGAGGACGATGCAATGTTTGGGAGAGATGTCGAGATGAGATCGGGTGTGTTTCCTCCCCCGCATTCGCGGCCACGATCGATCATGTCATAGCTCGTCTGCTCGGCTCATCCCCGGATAAACGGATGCAAACCATGCCCTTGCCCGAGTCCTTCTGCCTCGTCATCAGAATCAGACATCCAGCAACCACAACAATCATGTCCCAACGGCAAGGTGAGCTAAACGCGGAGCGATGAGCTGACAGAAAGACAAGGCTACGACGGAGAGGAACGCGCGCATCCTGCGCGAGCTCGTGCGCCAGCCCGACAACAAGGCGTGCGCCGACTGCCGCAAGAACGACGCGCGATGGGCGTCCTGGAACCTCGGCGTGTACCTCTGCATTAGGTGCTCGGGTATCCACCGCAGCATGGGTACGCACATCTCCAAGGTGAAGAGTATCGACCTCGACATGTGGACGCCGGAGCAGATGGAGAACATCCAGAAGTGGGGCAACAAACGCGCGAACGCGTACTGGGAGCGCCACCTCAAGCCAGGCCACATCCCGCCCGAGCAGTGAGTTGCAAGCGGCCCATCGCAACTGACGAGCAGCAAAATCGAGTCCTTCATCAGGTCAAAGTACGAGTCGAGGCGTTGGGCGATGGAGGGACCGCTTCCCAGGGACCCTAGCGTTCTGGACGGTGGCGCGGCGCCGACCGCGACGCAGACGTCAGCGCCCGCTGCTCCTCAGGCGACCTCGCCGCCTCAGCAGCACCACCACCACCAGCAGAGGCAGGCGCACCCTCTTCTCTCGCGACAGCAAAAGTCGTCTCCTGCCCCCGCGTCTGCGCCCGCCGCGGCTCCTGCTCCCGCGCCGATCGTCGACATCTTTGGTGACTCCCAGCCGACCTCTGCTCCCGCTCCCGCCCAGACGGCCCCTGCCCAGCAGCAGCAGCAGCAGCCCGCCGCCAACATGTTTGACCTCGACTTCCGCCCGCCATCGAACCCCCGCCCGCAGAGCAACAAGGACGACATCATGTCGCTGTTCAACAAGCCCACGCCGACGGCATCTGCTCCGATCGGAGGTGGCTTCTTCGCTGCCACGACGCAATCGCCCCCACCCCAGGCTGCTAACCCTTACGCGTCATGGAACGGCGGCATCACGAGCTCGGCTCCCCCCCAGCCCCAGGTCATGAACACGGCCCCGGTCCCAACGTGGGAGGCCAACCCCTGGGCCCAGCCTGCTACCCAGCCTCAGCAGCAGCAGTCCCTCGCGCCCAAGAAGGACGACCGCGACCCGTTCGCGAACCTCTGGGACTAGAAATAGTTAAGTTTAGACACACACCTCGCGTCATTTTGCGCAAACATATCCGTCCTTGGGCTATAATTCATGCATTGGTCTGATTAGATCAAAACTGCTAAGCTTTTGCTGCCTCGTGCCTACTCGTCCTCGGTGTTCCACCTGACGGCGTCGACCTTGCGGATACAGAGCTCGTAGTATCCCTCGCTCTGGTGGTCGGTCGGCATGCCCTCGGAGGTGGGTGCGCCGCCGCCGACCTTGTGGTACTTGTTCTTGGGGGCCTCGGACTCGGCCTCGAGTGCGGCGGGTGCCTCGTTCTCGGCACTCCGTCCTCCGCCGAGGAGGGCGAAGCCGATGGTGCGGATCTTGTTCTGCATCATCTTGATCTGCTTCTCGCTCGTCTGGCCCGAGTTGGTGAGCACGAACCCGTCGAGGGGCAGGTGGACGGTCGTAAAGTTGAGACCGGTGCATTTCAGCGGCGACATGGGCGTCGGTTCCTTCGAAGCATACTCGGAGGGAAGATCGAGACGGTGCTGGAAGAGATCGGAACGCACCGGCCCGTCCGTCTGGAGGTTGCACACCCAGCGCGAGCGCCAGACGTCCCACCCCCTGTAGGCCAGCTCGACGCGGAGGTGCGTGTACCGGTCCAGGTCCCAGGTCTCCTCGCCCATGAGCGTCTGCCTTTTGCGGTTGCGGAAGGCGGCGTAGCCCGTGCGGATCTTGCCCCGGTGCTCGGCGGGGACGTTGAGGGAGAGGATGCCGTGGAAGGACGCGTGGGACGGCTTGCCCTTCTCCTCATGCTGCGTCTGGGCCGAGTAGGCCCCGCCCGAGGGGCCGGTGTCGTCAGCCGCGCTCCCGGCCGAGGACGGCAGCTGGGCCACAGACCCGCTGTCCGTGTTGGCAATCTCGCCGAGGTTGTCCCCCTTGTCGCTGACCTGGGTGAAGACACAGGTCGACTGACCGCCAATGTCGAGGTCGGAGCCCAGAGCAAAGTCGCCCACCTCATTGACGGGGGGTGAGTCGGCCGTGAAGGAGAAAATGGGGAGGGCGCCGCTGTGCGGGTCCGGGTTCATGCGGAGGACTGCCGAGGTCGTCAGCGGACGACTCGCGGTGTTCCACATACCCTTGCCCGTGTTGCGCTTGAGGCCGTCGAGGGAGCGGTTCAGGCGCTGTGCGAACGACATGATGGATGGATTGGTTGTATGCAACAGCAGAATAATACCTAAGGAATAGCTTATAACGTTATAAGAGGCTTCGCCTGAGATGACCGAGGTGAGCGCGGGTGTGAGGTACCGAGGAACGGCTGTGACGGAGCAACTGGAGCAGATGGAGCCCGAAAGGATACGAATGGACAATGTTATGTTCCCTCTCGCTACGGTGAGAAATCGAACCGCACAGAACAACGTCATTGCGCGGAACCAATTATGGATGCGATCAGCCAGGCCAGTCACCATGGACGGGCTCCGATACGTCGGACCTCTTATCCCGATCGATCACACCTCGCTTGGGTCTCTACTGCTGCATATGTACACTGCTACTGAAACTCGTCGCTATTTACAGCCGCGAGCTCGGTCTACCATCAGCTCAGGTCTGCCTTTTGTTTGGTTACCCGAAATCTGGGTATTCACTTGAACGCCGTTTTCGGGTACTGCGTCTTGGCCGCCGCGGCCGAGTCAACAAACCAGTACACCTGGCCGGGCCTGGTCGTTAGCTTCTTCAAGGATGATCTAGCTTCTGCATGTACTTACGTAACAGGGCGGACACGAGAGCACGGGAGACCCTTCTCGGGCTCGTCGAGGACGTCGTGGAGCGTGTCCTGCTTTCCGGCGCCGGTCGCCACGAACGCACAGCGCTGCGCGTGGTTCAGGTCCGGGAAGGTGAACGTGATGCGGCGGGGAGGAGGCTTGGGGCTGTCGATAATGCTGGCGACCCACATGTCGTTCTCGGCGAGGAGGGGCGAGCCGGGGAAGAGTGAGCAGGTGTGGCCGTCGGGGCCCATGCCGAGCAGGATGAGGTCAAAGGTCGGGTAGCGGACCGCGTTGGGGACGGCGAACACGCTGATGAGCTGTTTCTCGTAGTCGTCCGCAATGTCCTGCGCCTCGCGCTCGTCCGCCTCCTTGTCGGCGTGCTGGCCCTCGGGGTCGGTACGCGACGCCTCGGTCAGCAGATCAGTGTTGATGGTGTGGATCTGTTCGCGCTTGATCGGCACGTGGTCGAGGAAGGCCTTGCAGCACGCCGCATAGTTGCTCTCGGGGTGGTCGAGGGGCACGATGCGCTCGTCGGCGAAGAACACCTGCCACTTGTCCCACTGCATGCCCTGCTCGTTGATCAGGGGCTTCAGGTTGTTGGGAAGCGAACCGCCAGACAGCGCAACAGTGAAGAATCCGTGGTCCGTAACCGCCTTGTCCTGCGCGGTCTTGATGAACTCGGCGAGCGAGCCCTGCAGGCCCGGGACGTCGTCGAAGACGTACAGGATCGGCTCGGAAGGCTTCTGCAGAGGTGCGTTCGGCATTTTGGAGGTTGGGGTGAGTGGTGTTGACAACTGTCTCGGCGATCGATGTCAGGTTCGTCATCATCGACCTCGGTGTCGTCCGCCAGTCACGTGATCACCCCAGTGTTCGCCGCAATGTCTGGGGATGGAAATCTCGGTGATCTTCAGTTCTCTCTTTGATCCGAAGCCACCGTTCGCCCGAGAGAAGATGCACGGATGCATAGCATGACAGCACGGACACTAAGTGTTTGAGTATCTGGCTAAGGCTCTACGGAGGTGGCAAGTCCAACGTCCTCTATCGATTTAGAGTGTAATCCCAACCCTCGCGTTCCTAACTTTGCAGTCGCGATACTCGACATAGAGCTTCGTCGCCGGGCCGAGCTGTCTCCGAACATCCTTCGCGAGTCCCGAAACGGCCCCCCTGACACCGTCTCTCATATCCATCACGGCCTGAGCCACTGGGGCCGGCTCCCTCGCCCGCTTCGGGTAGGCATACACGGAGAGCTGCCACAGAATCCGCCTCCAGTCCGTAGTGACATGGACATATCCAGCGATAGCCCTCACAACAGAGGTCGCAAACCTGTATACGGGTGCCTCGTGGTGGTTTCCTGCGCGGACGCGTCGGTCCGCCACACGCTGTACTGCCTCCTCGAGCAGTGTTGGTACGTCGGGCCGCGGCGCGGGGTCAGGAAGAGGTACGATACCGTCGAGCACCCACTTGGCCCGCTCTGCGTACAGCATGTTGGGAGTGAGACTGGCAAGCCGCGCCACACGATCGTCTCGCTCTCGCACGTCCGTATCCCGCTGGTCTTGGACGACCTTGATGGCGGCGTCACGGAAGTCGCGAAGGGCGTCATGCTTATCGAACCCTTCCAGGATGTCTAGGAGATACGATTGAGCTGCCTTGAGAACATTGAGTACGAGCTTTCGGTGGATTTTCACCTCCTCTTCCGGGTCGTTGACGGTCCAGAGTGCAGAGTGGACTGCTTCGAACGCTGGCGTGTAGGGGTAAGGGTGGATGTGCAGGAGATGACTTGAGGGGCTGACTGCTGAGGCCATGTTGGTGTATGTTGCCGCTCATCTCGGGATACTGAGACGCTTATGTACCCTGAGGCTGAGTCCGGGGTCGTGTTGTCGGCAAGTGTTACATTGAGATAGCGACAGTGACATTGGACATTGTGGCAAGGAGACGTGCACATGATTCATTGTGGTGCACTGACTTCAGCAATCAGCATTGTTTACACTCGACGCCGGGCGATGCTGCTATGCTGACGGTGCATAGACAATACAACATCGCTCCACCAATGTCCCCTCGAGCTGGTCACGCACTTGCCTTACTTGTGGCGGTGTGTTGACAATGGGTGGTCATACTAACCATAGATGATTGTGCTGCCACCAAACCAAATTGGCCGAACTTCGGTCTCTTCCAACCCGCATCCGCCACACTACCCTCAACCTACAGTCTTCTCAACCTTCTCGTAGAGTCAGCGGCAGCTCATACCTTTAGGGGCTACTTCGTTCATACCTGATGAGGAGGGCCCTGAAGTACAGATCTTGCGCTGGCGAAACACACAGTCATTTCCCATGACGAGGCAACTCAACGTTGGCCTAGCCATCATGTTAGTGGCAGAAACACCTCCTGCAGTGCCCCAGCACATGACACTGATCAGTCCACCCCTCCATTCAGCCGACTCTGGGATGCTCAAACCCTTCAGAATACACTCCTCGACTGTCCAGATCTCAAAGTTGCCCTCCCAGCTCTCGATCCGGCCATCTGTCGCTCACAGAAACCGTATTACGTAAGCATTTCCTGGGCGTGGCGCCGCCGCCGCACCGGCCTCCAGAAGCAACGTCTTCTCCTTCCTGTTCGTATAACGGCTAGTATGCTCGCTTGTCACGCGGGAGATCGGAGTTCGATTCTCCGACAGGAAGCTTTTTGCGTCCTCTGCATGGTCGCCGGTTCGACAGGGAAGGAGAATGATTGCTGCACGGTAGGATGGATGGTGGTTGGATGAACCGGGTGGATGGGGGCAGATGGACCGAGCTTTCCCACGGTCGATTAGATAATGTGAACTTTTCCACGGTCGTTTAGATAATTCGGGCCCTTGGAGGTTGCCCTTCGCAGATTCAATGTTTCCCACGGTACGGGTCACCATTAGGCTTCCCACGGTCAAAGAGATAATTTCAGCTTTCCCACGGTCGTTTAGTAATTCTGACCGTTGGAGGTCGGCCCTCGCAGATTCAACGTTTCCCACGGTTGTGATCTCTACTCCCTCCGGCCCTGTCAGCACCAGCGCTGCGACCGACGCGAGCCACACTTGCTGTGACCATCTAACCGCCTCTCCTCCTTCCTCCATGCATGCCAGAGGCTCCAAAAAGCTTCCCGTCGGAGAATCGAACTCCGATCTCCCGCGATCACCATGACAAGCGAGCATACTAGCCGTTATACGAACGGGAACTGGTGGTTGCTGTTGTGTACTGCGGCGTCGCGCCTGGTGCCACCGCCGCAGCGGTTACGTAAGATAATGCGCGGTTCCTCTTTCATGATCCCTCTCCGGGATTCACTGAGCGCCGTGCATACACGCCGCTACTGAGAGACACAGAGACATTGAAATGGTTATCACTGTACATATCTGGGGTGGACTGGGCTTGGAGACCACACGTTAATTGCGCGGGCATTCTTGTGGCAGCAGTGTCTCGCGAAGCCGGGCGATCGACTTAATTTCAGCAGCGTGAGTCTGCCCTAGCAAGGCGAGCGTCTCGACGTGTGCGAGCTTCAGCTTTGCGAGTGCGGCAATGGCGACTGGGTTGTCGCTGCCGAGTTGCTCAAAGTGCGCGCATTGTCTCAGATACTCCTCTGTCGTGTCCAGGACGTTGTCGGCGTAGCGCTGGTCGTTTGCGGCTTCGCGGTCGCGGAGGCGAGTTTCGAGCAGAAGCCGCAGAGAGCTGGGTGCGGCTAGGTCTGGGGAAAGATTCATTGTTGCTGAGCCGAGAGTTAGGGAGGAGGGAAAGGGACTGTCGGCCGGCGTTTTGTGCAGCGAGTCACAAGTGGTTGGTGTCGCCTGCACCTCGCCTCATGTTCGCGTCCTGTGCCACTCAAGACAAGATGAAGATTTCCATGATTCATGATCAAGCTACGACAGAGCGCCCCTGCGCCCCATTAACGTTATGTACTATATCCCTAAAGAAATGAAAGTGGTGATTTATATCCAGTAATCTTTTTCGTTTTTGCGTGGTCATATCTCTTCCGCCTACATCAGCACGGCAGCGAGCGCACCCAACGCCACGGCCAGGAACGCGGGCTTGGCCACAGCGGCGCTGTTGCTGCCTCCAGCCTTGACCGCGTTCGGGTACGTCTTTCCCGTCGTGACGGGCTCCGCGCTCTGGCGAGCGGGCGCCGATCCCTCGTTGAAGTCCTTGTTCTCGACCCGGGCGCCAGCCTTGACGGGCGCGAAGCCGATGCGCCGCCCCTCAAGGTCCCAGACACTGTACACGGCGCTCAAGAACGGCGTGCCGAGCCACGGCCGTCCAGTAGCCGCACTGAGCAGGGCGCGGCACGTGCTGCCCTCCTTCGCAATCCAGTCCTCGGGCGCAAGAGAGACGGTGATGTTCTCGAGACCAATGTCGAGCTTCGAGGCCGTGTCGCACGGCAGCGTCCAGACGACGTCCTCGCCCTGCGTCCACTTCTGCGCTCCGGTGATACCCTTCATGAGCCCGTCCAGCGCGGCGGGGGGAAGGCCAATGTTCGCCACGGGCGCGACGTCGATCTGTCGGCCCTCGAAGAAGTCGGTCTTCGCGGACGCGGACCCGGCCGCGAAGCTCTTGAGATGGACGGGCCACTCGCCCGTCGACGTCTCGGTCAGATTGACCCAGACTGGCTCTCCCGCTGCATAGGCTGGATCGATCTTGCCCAGGCTCAGGGAGCCGATGCGTTTCGTCTCTCCCGCTTTGTCGCTGTAGCCCACCCGGCGGGGGGAGAGGTACAGTCCCCACAGCTTTTGATCCCACTCGGAGCTGAGGGCGGGCGAGGGCGCGTCGCTGTATCCGAGGCCGAGGAGGGCGTTGTTGATCCCCGGCGCCTCGGGTCCACTCTGTCCAGAGGGGTTGGCAAGTACTGCTGTCAGCGCCTTTCCTCCCCTCTTTGCCCCCTCTCGATCTCAAAACTTACGGAACTCAGTCGTCAGCCCCGCAGCACCAACGACGATCCGATCCGCGACCCTCGTCCCGCTCGTCTTCCTCCCGTCCGGCAACTCGTGGCTGTCGACCTTAGCCCCCTCCTTCAAACTGCTCGAGGCGGGGGCATAGAAGCTCCCGCCCGCAAAGGGCGAGCCGCCGACCACGGTCAGGCCCGAGGTGACGTCCAGCTGCGCCTGGAGGGTCTGCGGCGGCGTGCCGACCTGGATCGCGACGACGGGCGTGAAGTCGCCGGTCTTGCTGTCGAGCGAGCCGCCGCCGACTGAGCGGCGCTGAAGGTTCTCGTGAGCGTAGAGGGGGACGGAAGTCGCCGCGGCGAGCGACGCAGCGACGAGGGGCAGGAGGGGGATCATTGTAGGATCGTAGTCGTTGGGAGCGATGGGATACGAAAGAGAGGGGCGCGCGGCCCAAAAAGATGCAGACTTTTATGCATTCGGAGCACGAGCCGGTATGAGATGGACAAGAAGGGGGAGGGAGGTGAGCTGGTGAAGGGATGGCCCAGACGCCAAGACTGCCGGCTCGAGCGCAGCACATGACCTCGGGAACACTACGCCTCGCAAGAGGACGCAAAGAGGAGGGATCTGGCGCGCGGGAGCGCGAGCGCGCTTCCCCCGCTAGCCCATGGGCTGCGTTACTGAATGGTAAGTCGGCGCCGGGATGTCTTGGCTCGGAGGCGTTTCACGCTTTCACCTGATCACCCCCGGTTCCATACTGAGGACCCCGGATGTGGATATGCAGCACATGGTGTGCTTCATGATTTGGATCACCCCATTTCGAGAACAAAGGAAGGCGGCGATCAACTTGCAATGTTGCGCGAGTATCGGGAGGTAAAATGACGCATGGACCTTCGGCCAAACTCTGGACTCTCTCGTTTCGAAGGGAGACGGGCCGTGCAGCCCGTGCAGTCAAGTCAGCGCATCCGCGCGGGTCTGGAAGTCGAGCAGCAGTGGACACGTCCCATTGAGCCGTGGCGTCAGGCGGGCGGGCAGCCTTGTCTTGGCACGAGCCATGAGCCATCGCGCAATCGCGGGCAAATCATTAGACTGCTCTTCGTGCATTGCTCTTCTATCAACGGCTACAACTGTGATACATTAGATCTACCTCCTTGCCCGCTCTAGTCTACTGATACTTCTAACCTACAACTCTCCGCGACACGCCTAGAAGATGTTGATGTTGAGACTGGCGCGCTTGTGCTCCTTGACCCCGTCGTCCTCCTTCTTCAGCTTCTGCCTATCCTTCGCTGCGCGGATAATGTTGGCGTGAATAGCCTGGACGGCGGTATCGACGCCCTTCTCCTGCCTGATCCTGATTCCCACATTCCTCGACTTTTCAATCATGACTCTATCGCCCGTCACCTTTCTCAGCGCGTCGGCGATCTCGTCGCTCTTCAGACTGGCCAGCTTGACTCCGCAGCCCATCTTGGTCACGCGCAGGGCCCAGAAGTGCTGGTCGCCGAACCACGGCTTGATGATCGTCGGCAGGCCGCAGCGGAGCGACGCGCCCGTCGTGCCCGCGCCGCCGTGGTGCATCGCGGCGTCAATCTTGGGGAAGAGCCAGCCGTGCGGAATCTTGTCGACGCTGTAGCAGCTGGCGGGGAAAACGACGTCGTCCTCCTCCTTCTCGCCCGTCTCAGAGCGCGAGGACCATCCCTTCGCGATGATGGCACGCACGCCCGCTTTCTCGACACCCTTGATGATACCGCGGGACACGGCAGCGGGGTCGGGTACCACGATGGATCCGAAGCCAATGTACACGAGCGGCTTCTTGTCGTCCCGCGCCTTCTGCATGAACTGCAGCAGGTCGTCGGGCGGAGACCAGTCCATGTCGCTGTTCTCCAGCTCCCAGTAGCCCGTGATGGTAATGTCGTCGTACCAGTCGAGCGGCTTGGGCACGACTGCAGGGCTGAAGTTGTATAGGAACGGCACCTTGGAGACGGAGAGCGAGCTCTGGTCTGTCGCACCGAGTCCGAGCCTCTTCTTCCTCCAGCGGTTGATCTGCCGCGCACTCGCCTTCCACATGATGTTGTCGAACAGCACGTACGTGGAATAGTTGAACTGCGGGCCCATCTCAAACGCAGGCACCATGAATGCCTGTGGGTACAGACTGGTGCGCGTCCAGGGCATGGTAAAGGCGCGGAAGTAGGGAATGCCGAGCGCCTCGGAGATGTGGATGCCTGCCATGGCTGAGGGCGATTCGATGAGGACGTCCGCGTCCTGGCACGCGTCCCACGAGTCGTTGAGGAGGTCATCGAGCCACTGCCGGAATGTACCGAGGGCCTCCTTGAAGAATCCGGGCGAGAGCATCTTGTGGTCCTGCGAGATCTTCATGAGAGCCGTGGGGTCTCCGCCGGCCTGGCGGTGCTCAATGCCGTATCCCTCAATCCAGTCCTTGAACTCGGCATGAGTCACGATAGTACACTTGTGTCCGTCCTGCATCAGGCGCAAAGACAGGGCAATGTACGGCTGCACATCACCGCGAGAGCCAATCGTGAGCATCGTGAAGCGGCGCGGCGTCAGGCGCACGTTCGCGCCGCCACTCGACCACGGCCGGTTCGCGACGAAAGGCATGTACGCGAGCGCCTCCTCGTTGAGCGCCTTGGGATAGACAAGCAGATCAGGCGGCGGGGCGAGGAATCGCGCCGCCTCGGATATGATCCGCATGTCACCGTGCACGGCGTACTCGGGCGAGACCTGGAAGTCATTCTCGGTCAGCTTGATGTCCTTAGCGACGTCCCAGAGATTGCGGGAGTCGTTGCTGGTCGTGGTCGTCTGGAGGCTGAGCTCAGAGCCCTCGGGCTTGCCGGCTTCCTTGGCGCCGGGAGCCGCCTGGCCCTCTCCCTGCTCAGCCAACTGGGCGACGACGCGGTTGACCCGCTTGACGACAGCGTCGCGCGACGCCTCGCTCCAGAACTCAAACTTGAGATCCGGCTGGCCATTGATCTTGAGCGCCATGCCGTTACGCCTGGGGCTGAGGGGGAACTGCGTGGCCACTGCCCCCTTGATATCGGCGGTCGGGTAGCGGTACTTGATATCTGCGCCGAAACGCGCCCGCCTCCAGAAACAGGTATACTTGGGCGAGATGATGATGTGTCCTCGCGCGGGAACGACACCGTTCTGGACATAGGTCCGCTTGAGCCAGATACCATCTCGCTCGCGGAGACCGAACGTCTTGGCGGCGGCACGCGCCTTGCGCGCCTTGTGGTTGGACGCCGGCTCGGTCTTCTTGTCAAGCTTGCGCTCGCGCTTCTTCTCAGCGCGGCGCTGGGGATCGGGGTCGTCGTCGCTCTCCGACGAGTCGGAGGAGCTCGAGGGATCGTCCTCGTTCTCGTCATCGTGACCGGTATCAGGGTGCGACATGCAGTCGTACCCGCCCACATCGATCGCCATCTGCTCCGGCATAGCACCACGGACGTAGCGTCTGGCCTGGGCGTGAGGAAGCGCCTCGCGCAGCGCATCGACGAACCACTGCTGATCGTTCAGGATCGCGATCAGGAACTGGTACTTGTTGTCCTTCACCGCCCAACGGCTCTCGGCTCGAATAGTAGCACAGGGCTCCGCACCACCGGGGCAGCCTTTCTGCAGCGATGGAGGAGGGTCTGTGTCGATGTAGTCGTGCGCGTGCCCGTCGTGCTGATCCTCGTGAACCGCGTCGGGGCGGCCAGTGATGCGCGACATGAGCGTGCGCGATCGGTGGCGAGGCTGGGGCGGAGCGGGCTTGTGACCAGGTACCGCTGCGCGCATGTCGGGGACGGTCGAGCTGCGTACAGCTTCGTGGTGGAGGGGGACGTCAGAGCCGCCCTGCGTCGACTGGCTGGCATAGCTCGACTGGCTAGGACTGCGCGAGGGGGATTGGTTGATCGGTCCGGAGTGGTCGGGATGCACCACATGGTCGTCGGGCATAGCATCGGGATCAGTAGGGGGCGGATGGTCGGGGAGTCCATCCTCGTCGCCCTCTATGTTGAAGTCGCCGTAAGCGGCAAAGTTGCCCGTCGCAATCTCCTCGGGGCGCCACGAAACCTGCGTGTCCGCCTGAAGCTGCACGTCCATGTTGACAAGCGTCGCGAACTGGTGGTAGTCGCCAATGTGGCGCAGCTCAGTCTTGTCAAGGGGCACGCAGCAGCGGAGAAGCGTCCACTTGGACCCGTCATCTTCGTGCGCGTCCGCCTCTTCCTGCGTGATGATGCCCGACTTGATGGCGTCACGGCGGTGCGACTGGCGGAATCGCTGCGACGCGCAGCGGAACAGCACTGCCTCGTAGTTCCGCCGCCAGCGCATGGAGGACTGCGTGTTGTCGACGGTGAAATGGAGCGTGTTGATCCCATCGGCGCCGTCGTACGTAATGTAGAACTCGACAGGCTCCTTCGGGTCCAGGGGCTTCAGGCGGTAGATGGACGACACTGGCTGTCAGCAACGCTTGTAGGGGTTTACTCACTCAGAATGGAAAACAGGGGACGGGTCTTGCCCGCCTCATCGGCAGAGGGGTAGCAAGTCAGCATCTCGGGCGTGAGTTCCATCCAAACACGCTTCTGGGAGGTGAAGATGCCGCCCTGGTGCAGCGTCACGCTTCCGGCCTGGATAATGTCCGGGCGAGCTTTCAGCGCCGCAGCCTCATTGTCGTCCAGACTCTCAAAGTCCGGCCCCTGCGTAATCATGTTGTCGGGCGGGAGGAGGGCGTGGAACGTGAGCCTGTGCGTCGTGAGGTGCAGATTGCCGATCATCATGACGCCGCGGAAGAGACTGCCCTGCGACTCGGCGAGGATGCGCTCTGGCTCACACCTGCCCTGCGCGTCGACCATGACAGAGGCGATATCGCCAAACTCCTCCCGCATGACGCGCAGCTTCTCCGCCTCGGGTACTTCGCTCCTGTTGAAGCGGGCCTTCTCCTCCGGGGTCGCTTCACCCGCGGGAGGGACAGTGTTGGCATGGCCATGGTCGGCGCGGAACTTCTCCCTATTCTCGCGCTCCTGCTCGCCCTCCTCTGCATTCTGCTCCGCCATCTGTGCCAAGGCCAGGTCCGCAATCTGCTCGGGCGGTACTCTGGCTCCTTCAGCCGGATTGGCGTCGTTCAGCGCCGCAACCATGACGTCCTCATCGTCGGCGTCTTCCTCGTTGCCCTCAGGCACGTCGGTCGGTCGCCGCCGTGCCTTTGGCCGAGACTGCTTCGGTCGCCGAGACTGTGGAGCCCTCTGCGGCGAATCGTGAAGATGGAGCTGGGACAGCTGGACCGGGCCGAGCGTCTCGCGCAGCCACCGCTGCACCTCGGGGTCGTTCTCGTCAAAGCGCGCAATGTGGAGTGCCGGCTCGGTCGTGCTGACGCTCGCGTGCCGCTTCATCGCCATGTGCGGGTCGTGCTCGTGCTCCTCCTCCGTGGGGAGGAACTGGGGCTCGCTCTCGGAGCGGTGCAGGTTGCCGAACCCGTCATAGGTGTATCCGGGAGGACTGTCGTCGCCGTCGTCCGTCACATCCGTCGTTTGGCCACTGGAGACGGTTGACACTTGGCTCATGTGGCTTCTCCTCTTCTGCGGGGCACGGCGGCGGGGCGGCTCGTCCGCGTCGCTGTCGGATGTGTCGCCGTCGCGAGAGTCCTCAGATGCGAGCGCCTTGAACATGCCGAACAGCTGTGAACACGGCACGCCGCCACTCGTGCCGCAGTCGTTGTTGTGGAGGAAATTCGGCGTCAGCTTCTCCTTGCACTCCTTCGCTTTGCCTCGGAGCGCATCGAGCGGCGAGTCGTGGTGCGCCTGTGCCGGCGCGTCAAAGTCCTCCGTCACTGTTGGGGTGGGGACGTTCACTGGCCGCGGGTCGGGAGGGCCAGCCCGGGGTTGAGACTGAACAGGCGTGCCGGGCTGGCTGGGAGTGTTTGTGGATGGAATGTGGGAGACGGAGGAGGCGGGTGTGCCCTTCCCTCCGAGTGTCGAGGGCACGTTCGTGACGGAAGATGCTGGGGTGGAACTCTTCGATGTCGAGTTCCGGCACTTGAACAAGGAAGAAGAGTTGGAGGGCTCCCGCGTCATACCTGCTTTGTCGCCTGGTTTGGGCGAAGGAGGATCGGAGTGTGGAAGGACCTTCTTGACCTTGCTCTCGATCTTATCGAGGAGCGCGGGCGCCATGGTGGGTCGCGTCTGTCTCGAGCGTGTGTATGTGTGTTGGGTGTTTGGAGAGAATGTCTAAGAGTCTGTATTCCGTGGCGTCTGGCGTCTTTGTGTTAATTCGATTCTGAGGGATCTAGGGTGCTCTGGCGGTGGTGGGTGGGTAATGTGGAGGTGGTGAATGGGGGTGGATGTCTGACTGTTCGTGGAGGTTGTTTCGGAAGCGTTCAGAGTGAGCGGGGGGTGAAGGGGGTGGATGGGAGTGGAAAAGAGATACATCATGGCATCGTAGGTCGGTCGGCGTCGGTGTCCGTAGGCGATGGAAGTGGTGTGCATAGGTAGAGGCCGGCGGGGATAGCGGGCTTGAAGACGGTGCAATGGTCATGATGCTGAGTGATGTATGGTACTCCTTTACGAGAGGGGGATATCTTTTCTCTGACGTCAGCCTGGGAGCACAGTCGCTCCTCTACTCAACGGCGCCCGCGCAGTCGAGCGAGATACTCACCCCCCTTCCTTCAGGGCTATCACGACGCCGTTCCTGGGGACATTGGGGCCCAGACTTGCGGGTCTGCGTATGACACACCCGGCAGAGAGACACCGTGGGAACTCTGGGCGCTTGACCACCACCTCCACATTCGCCACCCCCTTCAGTTCAATCACGTGACATCGAATTTCAGTCCTTCCCCCTTCCTCCACCCCCAGCCCTCACTCACCAGCCGCGATCAACGAGGAAGGTCAACTTTGTTGTTGACATCCCCCACACAAACCATGGCCCCGTCCAAACCCACGCCGAGAGCAAAGGGCGACCTGCTCCGCTTCACGGGCCACGCCAACCTGCGGCAGCGCCTGCTCCTCTCCATCCTCTCCGGGAGGAGTATCCGCGTCGACGCCATCCGGTCCGACGACGTGCACGTCGGTCTGCGCGAGTACGAGATCAACCTGCTGCGCCTGCTCGAGAAGGTCACGAATGGATCGACCATCGAGATCAATGTCACGGGTGAGTGTCCGCTGGAGTGGCTGCCGGCTGGCAGCTAGCAGCCAGCAGCTAGCCGGTGGGTGGAAGAACCAGGAGCTGACACCCAGGTACCTCGTTCGTGTTCCACCCCGGCCTCCTCCCCGGCGGGACGTACACGCACACGTGCCACCTCGGCCGCTCTCTGGGCTATTACCTGGAGGTCTTAATCCCTCTGGGCCCCTTCGGCAAGTCCCCCCTCACCGTAACGTTGAACGGCATCACCTCGTCGTCCCAAGACCTCTCCGTCGACCTGCTGCGAACCGTCACTCTGCCCACTCTGTCCCTCTTCGGCGTAACCGAGACAGAGCTGAACATCAAGCGCCGCGGCGCCGCGCCCCTGGGTGGCGGGCAGGTGGTTCTCAAGATCACGCCGGTGAGGGCCCTCAAGACCGTTCAGTTCGCCGATCCGGGCAAGATCAGGAAGATCAGAGGTATCGCCCAGTCCACGCGCGTCAGTCCGCAATTCGCAAACCGTATGGTCGAGTCTGCCCGATCCCTGTTGAATCGCTATATCCCCGACATCCACATCTACACGGACGTGTACCGCGGCGACGAGGCGGGCAAGAGTCCCGGATACGGGCTCGCGCTCGTCGCGCAGAGCACGACGGACGCGCTGCATTCTGCCGAGGCCCTGTCAAGCGTGCCCGGGAAGAATGACGGGGTGACCCAGACGCCGGAGGATATTGGCCTGCATGCTGCCCGGCTGCTGCTCGAGAGCGTGAGTCAGGGCGGGTGCGTGGATAGGAGCCAGCAGAGCCTCGTCCTGCTGCTCATGGTGCTCGGTAAGGAGGACGTTGGAAGGGTTCTGCTGGGCGACCTCAGCGCGCATGCCGTTCAGTTCTTGAGGGATTGCCTGCTCTTCTTTGGCGTCAAGTTCAAGATCACCCCGTTCCGCTCAGAAGAGGAGGGAGAGAAGGGAGATGGTGAGGCGGGACATAAGGGCACTGGGCCTGTTGTCGCCTCGTGTGTCGGTGTCGGGTACTCCAACGTCAACAAGGCCATGGCTTAGATTGTGTATGTATATTATGCTTGGTTCATCTCGTCCTAGCTCTCGATGACTGACCCTGCGCGGCTGACTCTATTCCTCTGTCAGACGTTTCTGGCCAGCTCGGCTCGCTTCGCTCGCCGCTCGTGCTGCGCATCTATTCATAATTCACGGGCAATACGGTACTACACAGAATTAGTCGCTGTAACTGGGGTTGCTTTGTTGTGGTTGTGGGTTGTTGGGTGTTGATGGTGATGTGATGCGCGGGGGCATGCGTGCTTTTCGTTGCTCGTGCTGTGCTCGTCCTCTGCGGGCGTGGCTGTAGGACCGTAACGGGATGATAATGAGGGACGGGGTAAACCTATCATTCACTTCGCTTGCGCTACTCTGCTGTACTCCGCTGCGACTCCTCGGCTCCTGATTCCTCCACTCCGCCGTACGACTCCGACATCTCGACTCTTGAGCTTCTCGTCGTGCGGAAGATTTTCTCAGAGTATGCCACCTCGCGTCTCATCTCGTCGAACATCAGTCTTGCGAACTCGCGACGACGCTCGCCGCTCAGATTCGGCCGCCGTGCATGAACGGCGGCGG